TTATCATTTGTGTAATGTTCCCTAGTAAAACCCAAGCATTTTTTGTTCGCGTACCTTAAAAAAGCCGTCAAGTATTACTGATAAATGAAAAGTGACAAAGAGCATTTAAAGATAATTTAAAGAAATAATTACTGAAAGTGGCTCACGTCAATTTCCTTCAATATTCCCTAATTTATAAACGGTGTGTGAAACATTACTCAGGGTAAAGGGTTAATATCTTATATACAGAAGAAAATTTGAAGTTGAACTAAATATAGACGAAACCACATCCTTCTTATAATTTCGAAGAAAACCACAAAGACAGGCACGTAGAATCACTGTACAATGACGAGTAATCCTCGTTTAATCAGTGGTGTGGGGACGCTTGGAGATTCAAGAACATATGAACCTGAAGATGATTTCGAAGGATTTACAACGCCCGAGAAACTAAACGGAACGGAGAATCTCTTTATACGCCCTCCAGCAAAAGAAATAGGCATAATGAACTACTCACCTAAGCATTCAAAAAAGCCAAGTTCATTGGGAAGTAGAAATATGAAGAATCTTTCCCTTAATTTGCTAGATAGTGATAATTCTAGATTTGATGAGGGCGACTCTAACACAACCGATTCCTATTCAAGCATAAATCCACTGGCAGACCTTCGCAGAAACTTGACTCTCTCTATTCCAAGCACAGATGAAAAAGAGATGCTGCAGCTTGCCAATCCATTGGCTATGAAAACACCTAACAATGACCCTTCAGTTACTCACGCTAAATCCAAAAGTTATACAGATGACTTTAAAAATATTAATAGTCATAAAAAGTCTTTTGAAGATGTTCCTTTCAAGTTCCCAGCTCAAAAATCAGACATCGATCAATCTATGAATCAAAGTCATATAGACTATCCTAATTTGAAAAGTCCTTTGTTTACCAAAGAAATAGAAAGTTCAATTATATCAAAGTTTTCTCAAATGTCCATTTACAATACGGGTCAGTTACCAGAAGAATTACAAGAGTCTAATCAATTAGATGCTTATTTATCAGGGCCAGCTAATGTTTTGAATGATACGCTTTATTTGTACTCTGACCCTCTCTCGGGCCCAAGTAAGGTTGACATAAATCTGTATGATTTGGTGATAAATGTTGCTAAAGAATGCGAGGATTTATCGCCAATGTTTGACCACCAAAATGGATCAAAAGAATATCTATATGTTCCATGGTCTCACACTTCTTCTATTCTGAAACAATTGTCAAGAATAACCCAAAAAATCCTGCAATATGATGACAGTCAGAAGACAGAGGGAAAGAGAAAAATTTTGGTACACTGTCAATGTGGCGTTTCCAGATCAGCTTGCGTAGTTGTTGCATATTTTATGTTGAAATTTGATCTTGGTGTTAATGAGGCTTATGAACTCTTAAAATCAGGGACGAGTAACGTAAATGAATCCACGAACCGAAACTTAAGACAGAAAGGCTATTATATCGAGGCCTGTGACAAAATTTGTCCTAATATGAGCTTAATATTCGAACTAATGGAATTTGGTGATAGTATGCGTAAATCTAAAACACTTACTTCCCAGTAGAACCATGATGGTTTGACATAACGAAGTGACGACAAAGATTTGATCTTTTATTTTAAATCATAGATTCAATCTCTAGCATAGTAGTATACATATATATATATAAATGTACGTGCATTCATTTATACATTTTGTTTAGAAATAAGTTTCATCTTTAAGTGCGATGGTTAAAAAGTACAACAGAAAAACAAAGGAAAATATTTTAACAGTCAATATATATGTTAACAAACCAGTGAAAGAGGCAACTTAATAATAAATATCAGTAAGACTTTGCTTTGGTATTAGAGGGGCGTTTATTGTGTACTACAGCTTCTCGCAAGATATTGGATTGTCCTTGAATTGAAAGACTATTCTGATTTTGGTGCTATGCCATACAATAACTCTTCTAACCGGAACAACAATAGTTCGTTGTATAACTCAAGGTATAACGGCTCTAGGTCAAGCAATCATTCAAGATATGATAACGGAGGTGGTGGAAACAGAAACCATTCAGATTGGGACAATTCTTCCTATCATAATAGGAGGAATGAACATGATTTTTATGGAGGGTACTGGCAGAAAAAGTATGACAATAGATATGGAAACTATCAGTATCAGAGAGATTCTGGGAATCAATACTCTTATCCACCACGAAACGACGGCTATAGATCCTCGAATAACTCAGTGGGCTCTTCGAGATATGCTTATGACGATAAGGGAAGTGAAAGGTATGACGATTATTCTAAAAGAAGGGAAAGAGAAAAAGAAAGAGAAAGTAACATCTCCGAACCTGCCTCAAGCAAAAAATTCGGGGCACCTTCGGTTGAGAAGGTGACTGAAGGTAGACATTCAGAGTCAAGAGGAGGTTTCGTGCCGAAAATGAGGAATGATTCAGAAAAGTCGGAGCCAGAATCGATACCGATGCAACACATCGGAAAGGAGAATAGTGAAGAAAGAATACATGTTCACAAGGAAGCTGGTGACCTGAACGAAGATGGTAATGAAAGATTTACGAAAGAGAAGAACAAAGAAATGGAAGGAATTGAGAAAAGGAGAGGAACCGCGGACGAAGATGAGAAGATAGTAAAGAGTCCCAAACAAGATTTTAATGAAGGTGACACAGAAAAGGGGAAGATTAAGGAATACAATTATAAGGAAGAAGATGAAGTGAATGGAGAACACCAACGGAATATTGACAACAAAGAGGATCGAGATACAAAACCTGGCATACGAAATGAGGCGACTACTCAAGATGCTAATGATAATTCAAATATTGATCTTGCCAGTAATCTGACTAATAATAAATTAGACTCTTCGAATGATAGAAGATCTTCTTCTAACGAACCAAATGACACCTGGAGTGGCAACGAGAAAGAAGAACTGGAAAACCTTTCCGAGGCCGAAACGGACATAGCAGACTCGCCTCCTAGGATTAAAAGAGGGAAGAAACTTGTAAGGAAAAAAAGTAGAGACCATGTCTCTAAAACAATTGATAGCATGAGTGATGGGTCTGCAGAGCCGGAAAATTTACCTAGTCTGGATCAAAGAAAGATAACAAGGAAACCATATAGATTGAAAAGAGATTCCAGCGGCCGCTCTCTATTGCAGAGGGCTTGCGAAAAGGGTAATCTAAAGGAGATAAGAAGTTACATTGAAAGAGGTGCAGACGTAAATGAACATGATTTCTGTGGGTTCACCTGCCTTCATGAGGCTGCTCTTCAAGGACATACTGACGTTGTGCGACTACTTATTAAATATGGTGCAAATGTCAATGCTCAAGCAGATGAAGCTGGTGATTTGGAAACACCTCTCATTGATGCATCTGAAAACAAGCACTTAGAAACGGTTAAACTATTGCTTGAAAATGGAGCTAATCCGAACATTTTTAATCTAGATGGGCTTACTGCCTTGACAAAGATTTACAATGTTCATGGAGATGAAGAAGGCTACGAAAAAATAGTGGAAGTGCTAGAAAGTGCCAAAATGAGCTACAGCTCAATTAAAAGTGAACAAGACTCTTATGCAATTACCAAGTGCGATGAAGTTTTAACACATAAAAAGATTGTCGAAGATCCTAATGATAGCTATTTTAACGATTTGCTCAAAAAAAAAGGTATTTTCAAGTTTGCAGCAGAAGGTTCGAAAGAGTTAACAGCAAACTATTTTGTTTCAGGAAATAGCTTGGACTCTAAGCCTGACATATTGTTCCTAGCTGCCAGAAATGGTCATGCTGAACTTGTTGATATCATATTGGGATTAAATCCAAATTCTTTCGACATAGATAATGAAAATGCTTGTGGAGTCACAGCATTACTAGCTTCAGTTGGAAGGGGTCATTTACAGGTCGTTGAGTCACTATTATTAAAAGGGGCTGACCCACTCAAATTCCGGAGACAAGATCATTTGAACGCGTTGGAAATTGCTCAGTGCTCTGTACATTTTGACCCTGAGGAAATACGCCTAATTAAAAGATACATTGAGAAAAGGAATTCAAAATCTGTCGGTCATGAAGATAATAAAATTAAGGTAAGAGATTTCAGTCCGAATGATACTTCAAAGACAAAAGAGTATCCGGAACAAATGAAACAAAATATAGAGGCTTTATCTTCTACGGAACCTCATCCAATAATTGAAAATGAGAACGCAAGTTCATCACCATCTAAGAGAGTGTCCGATGATCATGATTTGAAAGGTAGGGGAGCAAAGAAATTCAAGCCCGAAAAGCTGTCCCAAGTGCCTATAGATGAGCAAGCTTCGACTTCCACTCTTCCTAGTTTATCTGATCGTCAACAAGTAACAAGTCCTGATAATTCCAAATCCAGGAACTCAAACCTGATTTCTCCTTCACCATCATCAGTTTTGAACCAGAAGATTGCGGAGGAGCTCAAAACTAAGAATGTGGAAGATGCTAGAGTGTGGCAGGAAAAAGTTGAGGCGAAAAAGAAGGCGAGAATAGACATGTTTTTGAAATTGGAAAAAGAAAAGGAAAAAAAGAGGAAAGAGGAAGAAAAGAAAAAAATTGAAGAGGACAGGAAGCTCGAGTTGGTCAAGGAAGAGGAAAAGAGAAGGCTTGCAGCGGAAGCGAGGGAGAAAGAAAAGGAGCTTAATGAAAAAAAGAAAATATTACAATATGATATGATCCTTCATGAGTATCCAATTGGTCTCAAGTATGCCAAATTTGGAGAGTCATTGACACCAAACGAAATCGTTCATTATGCTCCTTTATATTTGTTTGACTTGAACGAATCCACTTACGTCGTGGACCTACAGGTTGCTCTTCTAACTGGCTCGTTTATTTCTTCGTTTGCATCGAAAATCTCTCGTTCTAACAAAGTTGAATTAAACTCAGATCAAAAGTCAAAAATTTGGGGTCTTTTCTTTCCTTTTATCGGAATCGGTCCATCAGATAACCTAGCTGCTTTGCTGAAAGATGGTTACTCTAAATTCCAAAACCTTTCTTTACATTTCATTAAATTCGACGAAATTTCACATTTGGTAATGCAAGATTATCCTTTAGCATTCAAAGAAATTTGGGATAATAAGAAGATGGTTTCAGTGGACTTGGAATGCCTTCAAACACCCGAGATTGAGATATCTAAAGAAGCGGATAATGCCACTGAAGCAAATGTAAACGCTAAGTTGCTCGAGGAACGATGGTTCCTTCCTCCTTATTTGAGAAATAGGAAGGACTCTCTCAAGACTATATATTCAGCATCTTCGCCTTTATGGTAATATGTAAATATTTCATACCTTTATTTCTGGTGTTGTGTTAATAAATTCTATTTCAGTATTTATTTATCGAGATGTTTCTGTACTGCGTAAATTTCGATTTCAATGTAATATCTACATTTGAAAAAATCTATTTCTAAGGACATCCAGCTCAAACAAATAAGTAAAATAAATCTTTAAAGCTGAAGTCAAGCTAGTATAAAGTGTCATAATGGAGTTGTTACCAGATGGTCAAAGTAACACCGCTTCGGAAGTATCATGGGAGGACCAACAAAAGATTAATAAATTTTCTACCTTAATCAACAAGAAAGACGAGGAATTGGGAAATCTTGAAAAACTCAGAACAGAGAAGAGCTACATAGATGATATGTCCTTAGAATTAGAGCTTCTTGATGAAGATGAAAAGATTCAATACAAAGTTGGAGAAATTTTTGTGTTTATGAAAGTAAAATCCGTGATTGAAAGAATAGAGAAAGAAAATGAAAATTTAGACGTACAGATCAAAGAGATTGACGATGATGTCGAAGATATGGATGAGAAGTTGGATGAGCTCAAGAAACAGCTATATGAAAAGTTTGGAAAAAATATTAACCTTGAACGTTAAATAGATAGGCACAGGGGATGATGCTGACAAATATTATGACACTGCTAGATATTTGGTGTTCAGAGTTTCTGCAAGTGGGAACTCTTACCTTCAGATTCTAATGTTTCATGTAGGCTATTTGGAGCTTCCTGATGATATCCTTTGCGGGAATAGTTATGTTTCACCCATAGCTAGTTGAATACGACTTTTCATTTTTCATATGAAGAAACAGGCGAAAGCTGTCTTTGCTCAGGGCATAAAAATATAAGCACAACAGCGATTGATAGATTGAGTGTAGTAATTCTGAAATCTTTTGTTTTACCGCCATATAGCATTCGACGAGTTGAGAAGGTATTCTCAAGGATCATGTGACTATTAACGTAAAAATTGCAACCACTTTTTGTAATCTTGAAGAACACACTTTCAAATATACTATCGCCAACCAACAATTTCTTTCGAAACAAAAGTGAAAACATCGTGGAATTCCAGTCCCTTCAGTGAGCTCAAAATTGTCTCGAATTCTGATCGGAGAGAATTATAAGGCTCGTTTAACCCGTACAAATAACTACACGCGTTATAATATGAATAGTATATTTTTATTTTGATAGTATGTTTGGAATTATTAAGACGTGTTACAAAGCAGCATCTGGAATAAGATCCCTCAATAGTGATTCGGTTAGTGTGCCTATGAGTGTCAGTCGTATCAACAAGGAAAACGAACATAATGACTTCGAAAGTGACAACCGCAACAACTCATTCTTTAAAATGATAATTAATATTACGAATAAAGAAATTTATCTAAAAGGCTTGAACAGGAGAGAAATAGGCATGAATAACTCTCAAATTCTAAACGGAACAACCACTGTAATAGTTTTGAAACCATTAAAAGTTAAAAATCTTACAGTTCGGTTTCGTGGGTGCAAGTATGTAACTGTTTATGAGGCAAGGGGTGAGAATATTAGATCAAATGGCTTGGGCCTTGATCAAGAGAACAAAATGAAGCAGCGAAAACATTACATTCCCCTTGTTGATGACAAACTTATTTGGACCCATCAAGCAGATGAGCAATTACCAATTGGTATATATAACTATACGTTTAATTTTGTGATTGACCCGCAATTACCAGAATCTATTACATCAATATATTTGAATACGAGTTACTTTGTGGAAACTCAACTTGAGTGGCAACTGGATGATGGAGAAGCAAAGAAAGCCAGAGATTCCACTGAGATAAATATGATACGTTGCACTTCGGATAGCCCAATCTTTTTCTCTGATCCTATAATTGCAACAGGAAACTGGAGAAACTTATTAGTATATGAATTCAACCTTCAAAACAAAGTGGCTTTTTTGGGTATGCCGTATTCTTTATCTATAAGATTGTATCCTTTGCAACATGATCAGCATACCTTCGACGTGTACAGTATCTCAGTGCACTTGATTCAAAAATTGCAATTTAATATTGTTGAGCCAGATAATAAGACTTCGCCAGATAGTACATTAATAAGGAAACATTGCGAGTCACACAAAAGGTTGCTTTATAATAGAGCGCTTACATTGAGAGACTGGGAAAAAGAAGGAAACACATATCATGTCAACAATGCAATTATATTTCCGCCGTCCACTTCCAAATCCAAAGATAAACACAAAAAGTTCATTCATCCTTTTGTAATAAGCGACATGAATGAGGAATTTGTAATCAGTCACATTTTAAAAATTACTTTCGAAATAAGTGAAAGAAGACCAGTTTTAAAAAATCTCAAAGATTCAAAACTTCCCCATCTTACAACACCTTCGCCAAAAACCTCAGGTGACGATAATATTCCTATATGCTCCGCATTCCACAACACTAGAAGTGAGTTGAATAAGTACAAAAGAGTAGAGCTTTCTTTTTCAACACCTATAGTTATATTAAGTTCCCAGTCCATCAAGGGATCTATGTCTCCACCCCAATACACCCATTTTTCAGAGCATTCATTTGATTACCCGCAATACGCCTCCTCAAATGATTTTAAAGACATGAGTGATTTAGGAGAGATAGTTCCACCATCTTATGGATCCTCATAGAGTCCAAAATTTTCTTTAAGATTAGATATTGTTTCGAACTTGAGCCGATCAACTATGATCTAGTTTATTTATATATATTATTCATTGTCACTCTCTTCATAAGTTGGTATATCTTGCAACACTTGAGTATCTCTCTTATCTTTGTCTGCATCGAAATCTTCAACCTTGGATCTTTTATGAGGTGGTTGGAAGGTATTTTTCAGACCTGAAATCACATGCTTTGTCTTAGCTGATCTCTCATTCGCTCGTTTCTTCCACTCATTAGCTATAATAGGACATGCTTTTACTATTTCCTCTTCTTCTACACCGTCTTGGATACTATGCAAAATTTTGTCCACAACATGGAAATGATTTCCATTATTCTTATCATTTCTAAATCTATTCATTTCCCAGTAACCCACTTTGCTAAGTTTCTTGCGGCACTCAACAATTCTTCCCTGCAACGGCTCGTTTAAATTTTTCAATTTCTCCCAGTCTTCATCCGATAAATCTAATTTCGCGAAATCTTCATAATCTTGACCACCTTTCCATACCAATAGCTTGATAAGACTCGGCTTCGAGTCATAATCAATATATGATGAGTCAGGGTCTCTGGGATCCATGTCAGGGTCCTGAAAAGTATTGAAAACTAGTTGCATTTTATAATCGATGGTGTTTTCATGTGCCGGCTTCCACTTTAGTAAGCTCTGGTCTGTACCGAAGACATAAGGGGTTTCAGCACACGTAAAAATTAAGCCATCAGATTCATGAAATAGTTGTTCTTTTTTTCTAAGAACATCATCGGCATGGTATGAGAATGTCATAAGTTTAAGACTAACTTTGAAAGGAAAATCGGGAGAATTAACAATTTCTGGGTTATTCTTCTTGAAAACGTCGAAGGGCTTCATGACGTTTTCCGTTATATATCCTAATCTAGTAGGTAATGATCGCCTGGTAATATCCTTCCCATTTATCGCCAACGCATCAAATATACAATATCTCAAAACGGGCGTTTTCAAATTCTTGGTTTCCAAAACCAATTCACCATCCAACAAGGTCCCATGATGATAAGTTTTACTTTTGCTTTCATTTGTGGTCAAAGGAAAATGGATATTGGGGATATAATGATAATCATTCTCTCTAGTAACAAGAAACACTCCCTCACCCTTCTCAGGATGATTAATTATAAAAAGAAGACACCTTAATCCATCCGTTTTCTCACACACATAATAATCTTTATTCATTAAAGACTCTTTTAAGTGATATCTTTCAAATGACACTGGTTGAGAACCAGGAAAATTTGGATTCTTTCTACTTAAAAGATCTGCTACCATTAGCCTTAGCTCGTGTGCTTCGTCTCTGTCTAGCTTTGTACCTGGAATAACAGGCATGTCCCTATCATCAACTGCGATCATCCTTCACTCGAATTGTTTATATAAGTTTCTATGTCAAGTTTTTATTTTCAAATGACGTTTTACAGACTGGAGGGAGACATCATTCTTTTTTTATTTAAATTGAACGACATTTTTACTACTCCCAAATGGCTACAAATTGTCACACGGTTCATAGGATAGTGTAATGCGATCGTAAACGTTATGAAAGAGAGCTATGCCGAGATTCAACTGAGAATATCACCTATAGAAATGTGAGAGCGGCTTTCATTTAGAGGACTCATGCTTTGATATTTGCTTAATCCAGGTTTGAATACATCCGACAACTTGTCATCAGCGCTAAGTATCCCAAATTGCTCACCATTCAATGGCTCTTGAAGAAGATCAAGAAATTCTTCACTGTCATCTTCTAAGTGATTATTCTCATCAACCCCCCTTTTATGGTAGCAGGACTGGCAGAGATTATGAGCAACATCAGTTTGACCAGCTCCCTGGTTATCAAGCCACCACATGGGGGAAGATAGAGTCTTACAGAGATTGCAGATCTTCTTCTGGCTTGGCTTCTCGAGAACAATACCATTCGCCAGATTAAACAATCTAAGATACTGATTTTGAGCTTTAGACTTTTTTTCTCTTTCTTCAAATATTTTACAGCTTTCAATGTAACCATTCGATTTAAACTGAGGACCCGTGAGTTTGATAGTGTTAGACTTTAAAACGTCCTCCAAAAATAAACTAATCAACGGCTTCTGCTCTTCTTTGTTTCCGTAAGTTCTTGCGCCCACATCTCTTAAGTTATATATCGATTCATTCGATTGGTCGTGCTTTGGACATAACATTATAGGTTTCAATTTACCAAATGATTTTTCAATTCTTGTTAGTTTCAAGTCCTTAACATTCGATAAAGTTTCTAGTTTAAAACCAAGTTTGAAATTCGGAGTATCCTGAGCGCACGTAACGTGGAATTTTGAATCTTTTTGGCCCGCTTTCTCACAAAGATCGCATGATACTAAGGATCCATTATACGAGTTGCAAATACCACATTTTTCAGAGTAATTCTCCAAATAGATCTTTGAAACACTTTCAAGAGAAATAGCATTGTAAATCGCATCAGGTATTCTTAGTTCAGTGCCTTCTTCCCTTAAAGACCTCCTAGAAGCCCAGGATGGGCTCTGAATTGGACGAAAATCAACTAGATTATAGCTGTACAATGCGCATAATAAATGACACCATTTTCCAGAATCGTATATCGGTTTTAGATAATCTGGACGAACCAATGGAGAGCCCAATATCGAGAGTTCATAGTTAGACTCGTTCGCCAAACACAAGGAGCAAGAATAAAAGATTGAATGCTGAGGCTTTAAATCATTTATACAAGCTTCACAGAGCCATTCCTTAATTGGTCTGGCAAGCAGTTCAGGAATGCTAAATCCAACGCAGCCGCTATGGACATTCACACCACAATGTGAGCATATTAACATCTCTGACTTCGAAGTCTCCTGCTGAACATGCTCTCGACAGAAGCTGCATTTCCTTTCATTCACATCGAATGGCAACCGAACCAGGAGATGAGGAATTTGCATCGCCTGAACCTGGGTTGTTAAATCAAGTAGTTGTCTCTTTCTATAGTTCGTCACTATCTCTGACATTTTGTCTTTAGTCATTATTGGTAAATTCTTTCTATCGATTTTATATGTTGGTCCGGTATCTGGGGCTAAATAATCACCATTGATTAGTGGATTGAATATTCTGTTTGATAATGAAACCAACTTCCTTTGTCTTTTGTGTAGTGTCTTGGGTGCAACAGTGATGCCTTTAGTTTGACCTTCATTTACCATGTTTTCTTCTTTAACTGAAACCAGTTCCTCAGGTTTTCTTTTTCGCTTTCTACCGACCTTTTTGCTTTCATTGCTACTTACTTCTTTAAGACTGGACAAGACTGTTCCAGTCTTGGCTGATTCATCGACTTTGGTATTTCGTATTTTTTGCGGCTTTGATGGTGACGGCTTGTGAGAAGATTTCCCATTCGCTTGTTTACCTTCAAGCTTGACTGCTTCCTTTTTGTGATCCTTCTTTGATGGTTTCTTCTGGTCCTCTTTACTTTGTTTTTTTAGTTTACTATCTGGCTTCTTTCTCTTGTCCTGGGATTCTACTTTCACATCCTTTTCGATCAGCGTGTAGCTTGAAGAAGCTGATGACGGAGTTTTAGAAGCCGGCTTTCTCCCTCGGGAAATGTTGACTATGCTACTTGTGACATTTAGACTTGGCTCATAAGATAATTCAGCTCCTTTTTCATCTGCTTCATTCAAAATTGAATTAGCATCTCTAATCAACTCAAACTCTATTTTTTTCTTCCATCCGCTGTATGATTTTGATGTTTTCTTCTCAACTTCTTGTGGCTCTTCCCAAGTGACTGCATATCTTCTCCATAAACGAGCACATCTAAAACAGAGGCCAGTTACTGTATTTTTGGCTTCACCATCTACCTTAGTATTTGCATCGTATCCTGTGAATCTAAACCACATAATGGATACATTGGTATGACAATGCTTGCAAACAAAAAGCTTTCTATGTTCAATAATTTTATCTCCTTCATAAGCAGAATCATCTTCAGCATCGGCTAAATAGTCAATACCCAGCATACTGTCTTTTTTGCTTTCTTTCGAAAGCAGTTCATCCTTGACAATATTTTGAACCTTTTTATGAGCTCTTCCTTCGAAATTACCCCATATTAAGCGCCCATTTTTTGTCTTTTTCCATAGGTAATAAAATCGAACGACCATTGATGAGGGTTGACTTTTGACTTCTTTGAACACAGGATAGAGCTCACTTCCATATTTCTTCACACCTGCCTCGAATCTTTTGATTTCCTCTTTAGAAAAAGTGGGCTCGCGTAAAGATTTTCTGGTTAACTTTGAAACCTCAACCAAAGATGCTTCAATATCACCAGAGTGGTCCATATAAGATTTTAAAATAGCGTCCATAAAGTTTGGGGAGGTTGCAAAAAGCTTCAATTTTTCTGCAACGGGTGAACACAATTTAATGTAGTGATCTAATTTGGCAAAGTCATCGGACTCGTCTTCTTCTGAGGATTTCCACAACAACGTACAAGTGATCCCATCACCATCATCTACTCCCCTTTGTATATAACCTTTTGGTCGAGGTTGAAGCCAGTCTGGGTAATCCTCTGGAGGTGTTTCCTTGAACTCTTCGGGAACTTCTAATTTAACCTTGTCTAGTTCATCCTTGGCCTTTGATTTACCTGTCTTTTTTGGTGTCTTTTTCTTTCCCCCATTTTTAGACGAGTCATCGTCGTAGTAAACAATGTAATGATCGTTCATCTCAGGTATATTTGTAGCCTGATGTTTTGCACCCAATCTTGTCGACGCTCTTGGATATGGTGATCTATCTTCTATATCTACTCCATCTTCGAGCCTTGAATGCATCCCTAAATATCGCATACTCCACTCTTCCTTTAGTCGTCTTTCTTCTAGCGTCAATTGAGCATCGTTCTTTAAAAACTCCATTGCCATTAATTCATATTTTGGAAGGAGCGAGCCAGATATTTCGCTATCACTTTCCGAATCTTCTGAAATTTCAACTGGAGAACTAAGTTCACTTCTTTCTTCAGAAAGTTCTTTTTCATTCGAGGACTTATTATCATGAGATAACATCAAAGTCCTTTTCTTCTGACATTCCAAATCGTGTTTTTTGGTACATGCAGCACAGGACCACGAGAATCCCCTACTAGGCTTTTTCATTAACGGTGGGTCAAGACAGAACATGTGATAAAACTTTTCACATACTGCACAACTCACAGAATCTTGAGTTGAACACCATTGACCGCACTTTTCACAGTTGCACGAATTAGAGCTGAAACCATTGATGAATGATTTCAACCTTTGACTTTCCACAAATACAAATTCAAATCTTTTGTTTAACGCAATCAAGAAATTTCTACTTTTATTTCCCTCAATATCAGCGTACTTAAGCAAGCTTGAAGTCAGTATTATATCGTAGAATTTTATCATATATCGATCAAATAATTTATCGAAATAAAACGCATTTGGCTGTTCACTGTATACATCGAGGGCTGAAGGAGGCGAATTTGTGGACTTCCCGTTAGAATTATTGTTAATGCTTTCATTTTTATTCCCAATCTTAATCAAAAGTTTGTCATACTCGTTCTCAATATCGTGCTTATGTCTGACAGTAACTAGACCCCTGAAGCTAGAAAGCGGACATGTATCAGAGTGCATGGATGCATATATTAAACGTGAATCAGAAGTCGATCTAGATATATCTCTTGGTCTGTAAAACCACTGAATCTGAAAAACATAATCTTTCGCTTCAGCAATATCTTCGTCGGCCAGGAGCTCGGTCGAGCTATTGTTCCGTGAACCAACTTTTGACGTGAACCCCAAGATTCTTCCAATGTAGTATGGCTCTCCTGGAGGTTCACTTATCATATATATATAATCTCCTTTCTTTATGTGAAATATATCCTTTGATTTTCTTCTTCTTGGAGCGCCGAACGACATTGGAATTGGCAACTGATGTGGGCAATATAGGATTTGTGACTTCAAGTTGATATATGCTTCGGTCAAGTCTAGCTTATTAGAAAAAAAGTCTATAGGCGCTGAAGGTGGTTGCCAGTTATATGGAATTGTTTTTTTGGTAGTGGCCCCATTTGAAGGCAGCTTATTTCGAGCTTCATTCTCCAGTCTCTTTGGCCCCCTATTTTTAGTTGTGCTAGACGATGAAGTTGGTCGACTTGTTGCCTGCTCCTCAAATATCGATTCATCTATATTTTCAGCATACTCTTTATTAATTGTAGCCCTACGTTTTGGCCGTGTCAGAGTCATTTAGGACTTGAAGGTATATGTGAAATCTTCCTTAATATGACTTTTTTTTACTACTTATGAAAAGTTGGAGTAGGACGGTATACTTCAAATCAGTAGATATAATCTTCAAGGTCCCGTTCCTTAAGAAAAATTCTGGCGACAATATCCCTTGAAGTAAGAGAAAAGCTTAAAATGCATAAAAATTATTTAAAAGTCGGCTTTTCCATACTGCCTCAAAAATTTTATTAGAGGATTCTCTATAAGCACAATTCATTCGTTTAATAATTACAAACACTACGGAACCACAACCTTCCTCTACTAAAACTACAAAACTATGCTAATGACGAAGAAGAAGACCGGGAATTAAGGGATTCAATACAAAAGCAAAAACTCCATACAAGCTTATGCTTTAAGCATACCCTCTATCTTTTCTATTTCGTCGATACTTTCCGCATTTTCCAATTTTCTAAGAAGCTCGATCCTATCTTCGTCAGTAAGATTTTTTGAAGTAGTTTCATAGTTCAGTGTTTCAACTGCTGTTTTTGAACCATCCTGTGGATTACCGCCATTCAACAAGAAAACAGCAAGCTCATTGGGTTCACCACGCGGCCCATATTGTTTCTCGGACTCAATCCTTTCCGATTGCTTGACTTTATTGAAGTCCAAAATCTTTAACGTTGGTATTAGCCATATGGTGAATAATCTGTAGTTGGTTAATTGTTCTACTGGGTTACCAATCAATGCCAAGTCAGTGATATTGGACTTTGAAAGAGTCTTAAGATTGTATAACGTTCGTATTTTATTATTTATCAAAGATAGCGATCTAAGCAGTGGTAAATGTTTCTGAAAAAGCTCTGAATTTTTAGGTGAAATTTCTTGGATATTATTTCCAGCTAACAATAGAACCTCTAAATTCTTCAAAAGTGGAATACTATCAATCTCGGACAATTCGTTATTCGTTAAGTCTATGACTCTAAATTTATCTTCTGTGATACCTAAATTTTCAAGGTAAGGGATTTGCAAATTTCTTAGTTGCAAAGTTAGCTGTCCTTCAGGATTAAGTACAACCGGTGCATTTGATAATACCAGAGAGGTTAGTTTCATCGTGATGGTATAATCGATTGCCAAAAGTCAAGAATCTAAAGTGTTCCAGAACATCGCTTAGCCCATTAATCTTTTCGTTCTACAATATCGCATTTTTGAAGCATATTCTTAATAACTTTACATAATCACAAAGCTAAGATTCTGGAGTAATGCTATTTAAAAGTATTTTCAATATATCGTAACGCTGGAAATGCACCCATTAGAGTCAATGACTTCCCAAATACATCTGTCGCAGCCGTATAATTTTGACTGACCCCATGTCTTAATTCTAGAATTTGAATTGATTGAACTCGAAGAGGCTGATTTCTGCTCAGATAATGAATTATTGCTATCAACCTCGTCTAGATTGATGATATCGAGGTCATTATCAATGAATTCTGATTCATTCCTGTTCAAGAGAACAGGACGGGCACTACTTGGGGAGGTATTTTTTCTGCTGAAGAAGTCTTGAATGTCACTAAAATACATCGTTGAGTCTATTTTCCCAAAATCGTCAGATGTGTCATCAATGAGCTCCCAGTTACATCTATTCCATTTCATGAAATCCAAGCTCTCCGCGATTCCACCATTATGAATGATTACTTTTTTTAGAATTCCTGTTTCATGTGCCGAAGAAGCGTCATTTAAATCATATAAGAAATCAAGGCCATATCCAAAATAGTTATGAAATTTCCAAACAGATGAGTTCGAAGTGGCGTCTGAAAGATTAAATGATTTAGACAAATGATTATGTATAAGCAACCTTGAATCAAACTTATTAAAATAATCTTCCGGCGGTCCAAGCACATTTAAAACTGCCTGTTGAGTGGTTTTCCCTAATTCCAAAAGGAACTCCCTTCCATTTTCAAAGCATATTCTAATAGTGCCTAATCGTAAATTTATCTTTAATTTTTTTATATTATCGTTATTTTCAACCTTAGCTTGCCCAGTTTTCAATTTTGAGTGGAAATCATCCCAAGAATTACCTTCGAAAACTGAAATAGATTCCGCCGAGACATCTTCTGATCGATCCCAGTTTAATAATTTGGATAAGATTTGGTTCTCGTTCGAAGACACTTTCGATATTCTTTGTGACAATTCCGGCAGTTTGATCTTAAACTTGAATGAAACACCTGGATATGACAAAATATAATACTTAGATTCTTTGCAAAGCTTTCCAGGATAGGTAGGACCAAATATTTTGTTGTATATAAGTTTTAAAGTCGGTGGTGTCACTTTTTTAATTGCTTCAATCTCATTTAGCAGTCTCTCTTCAGCCGAAATTAATGAATTCCTAGATTGACTAGAATTATCTTGACCTCCTACGAAAGTATTGTCTTGTGAAGATACGCTTATATCGTTTAGGGCCAGCCCATTATAGAATATTTTCAAATGTTCGAAACTTAAGAGCTCGATAAGAAGCAAATTTTGGGAGCCAGAGTTCTCGAAGAGTAACCTTATTCCAAGCGTTGGTAAGTGAACTATAATTGGAGTATTCAAATAGTCTTCCTCGCTGTAAGAAATTATCATTTTGTAATTGAATCTGTCAAATCTTTTAACAACGGAGTACATCGTTTGTCCTAATCGCAATGAATTCCCGATACCCTCACCTGGAATTAAGCATGTCTGTGTTATGTTCGCCATAGCTTAGAGGCTCAAACAAGGTAAGAATATATGAATGAGTAATGAGTGGCTTTAGCAACCAGCAGCTCAAGGAGTTAATTTAATTTATTTTGACACCCTTATCAGTGGTGTACAAAGTGCCCTGTAATGAGGATTCCCTTTTTCAAATTTCCTTTAATCTAATTGCAATAGGGATTGTACGGAAGTATATCCTTATATCCCGCGTGATACACTCTAACGTTTATGAGCTCAGTTGTGATTTATATTGCTTATCTCAAATGTGGGTAATAACTCAAATTCTGAACTTTCAATTCTTCGCGATTACGTCGCCTAATGAATATTCGAGTATTACTGCTGAGATGAAGAAAGAAAACGTAGCAATGTTTACTCTATTGTCACAAAGCTCATAGACGTAGAGGAAGAACAATTGTGCAAACCTTGAGAGCGTGTCCTGACTTAGAAAGATCACATATTGTATGATAGAAGTGACATGGTGACACAATTATGGGTTGCAATTGTAAACACCGTTTAGAAACAATGCTTTGATATAACACATTTTTGTCTTAGTTTGGATTATCTCTCATCATAGAGCCTTCAACCAACGGTATTTCTGTAGTTTCCTTCGTAGTAGTACAAAGATATGCGGCATTGAGCGCGTTTGAGTCATCTTAAAACAGGACTTAAAACATTTAAAAAGCCAAGTATACTCGAAGAAGAAATTTGTACGGCGTTCTCCTCTTTCATTGGTCTTGAGAGGCGTACAATTCTTTTAAAAGTCTTCCAGCAAAAACAGAGAAAGTTAAAATATCAAGAGATTAGCCCACTCGCATATCAATTAATATAGAACCTTGATCCAAAAAAATGATTTCTAGCACTATGGATCCACAAAAATTTGAATTAGTCCACATAACTGATAAAGAGTTGATTGATTTCACTAGAGAACAAAATGGTCACTCTTGGAAAGGACCTTTGTCAATTGAAGACTATGTCACCAGAGAACACGTTTTAAGCAAAGCCAAAATAGCTCTGTCAGATATTAATCGTCTATACGTACTCATGCTCAAGGATTTGCAGAGATCTGATGCTAAGATGTGCTCGATGGAGATGCTAGTGAGACGTGCCTGGAAGTTTTCATGGAGTCAGACCCAAAACGAAGTGGTTAAGGAAGACATCTGTTGCGGTTGCATTGGAGGAGTCTTCACTTACCCTGAATACAGAGGAAAAGGACTAGCCAAGATCATGATAGACAAAGCAGTAGAGTTAGGAAAAAGTAAATTTATTGGGCCAAATGGTTTTACGTTTCTCTACTCTGAAATTGGTGATTTTTACGACAGGTGCGGCTTTCGTTCTTTTAATGTACCCTTGGTCCGTATAAAATTGACCAAGCCGTCAAATAGCGACACCTTCGAAGAAATCCGAGCCAAGGAGGACATTGAGATAGGATTTATAAAGTACCATGAGTTCGGGCCGTATATGGAACTTTATAGCCAACAATTGAAAGAAAAGTTACGAAAAAAAGTTGAGAATGATAAGAAACCAAGAGTGTCTCTAGTGCCTACTGCTGACATCATCGATTGGTTTCATCTTAGGGCAAAGTACTTCAGTTTCAAGTTATTTCATGAGTCTAGTACTCAGAACATTGACTTCTTGAGTAGTTGCTACGAAGATTTGGTGGAGAAGTTTGAAAGTTTTGATCCTCACTATTTTGGTATTAAAATAATGAGTGAAAACAAATGCATTGCCTTCATAAGCTGGACGTATGATTGGAAAAAGACTGATGATAAGTATGCTTCTAAAGCTACAGTTCTAAAAATTTATGTTGAAGAGTCTCAAGACTACAATCATATGGCAGTTAAATTAATCAAATTAATGATTGTATACTTAGAAAGTTTACGAGGCGATAGAGTTGAATCTTTGTCAAACCCTTCGGAAATTGTAATTTGGAAGTCCGAGACTTCACAAGAGGTCCTTAAATGGATTTTGTCTACTTGTGATGCAGATGAGATCGACGATAATCCCTCAAGATCTGCTATTTTGATTAACACTGGAAGCGACGATAACCTTTTAAGGAACGGTCAATTAGTATGGGAAGAAAATACCAAACTTCCGTGGTTTTGATAAAAGTAAACGATCAAATAGATCTTAGACTTTGATTTCACTATTTGAGAAGCCGCTATGTAAATCTATAGTACTAATTTTCCCGACCTATCTAGCGACTGTAAATCAGAGTTTCCTCCAATATGTTTCCCATTTATAAAGATATTTGGAACTGTACTTTGTCCTGTCATTTCTCTTAAACCTTCTTGAATTTCCTTTCCATTTGCTAAGGTGTTCAACTCCAAAACCTTCAATTCCTTCGTTTTAGAAGATAGAAGATCCTTGGTCAGGGTACAATAAGGACAGTACGTCTTTGAAAATACCATAACCTTGTTTGATTCAATTAGCTTCTCAATCTCATTTTTGGTCTCAGCTGACACAGGTGTTGGTTTGAACAAAGAAGTGATAAACTCAAACATAATGAATAACTTCTTCTTTTAATTCTTATATTTGATAAACTTAAGAATTTTAAGTTAATTCAGGATCCCGCTTTTGTAGGTCTACGCAGAATACATATATTTGTGCAACTACATAATATTTAAATTCTAGAAAAGGCTTCCCGCAATAAGACAGCAATATCAGTGTACAAAGAAAGATATTAATCAAAATTGTGCAAAGATTGGTAGGTGTTTATAAGTGACATCAGATATACTAATCGTATCAACTTCCGACTGAGAATACTTTCCTGAGAAGAGATCAGAAAGCAAGTGATTAGATTCCATTGGTTTAATTTCAGGAGAAACGGTTCCAAGCGTGACATGAAGGTGTTCATTCAAGGGCTGAAAAGTCAATTCATTGTTCTGACTATCGTAAGCCTTTAATAAACTTACTTCAATACAGGCTAGTTTATCTTTAGCCAAGATTATTTTGTTTAGTTTGATATCACAATAGAAGTCTAAAATAACTCTTCTATTTGAATCAAGTTTCAAATTGTGTACCTTTACATTGTCTATTTTTAAAACAGCCAATAAAGACTGCCACTTTTCCAAGCTTTCCGCAGAACCCTTGGATGTTGCTACATGACTAAGAGTGGCATGAAAAGTTTGCTGCAAGCGATTTCCATTCTTTAAAGCTTCCCAAGTTTCGTTATTACCTGCTGCTACAGCAGCTTTCAGCGCAATTTCATTAGGTACATATATACCAATGTATGATGGCTGTCTGGAACGCTCCTTTTTTTCTGACTTCTGTTTTTTATTGAAAGTTTTCGTAAATGTTGGCTTGTATTCCAATGACGTCTGAAAGCTTCGATCATACTCATCAGCCGTAGGTAAAAACCTAAGTAAGTTCGGATAGTGCTTTTTTAACAGATCTACTATCAATTTCGCATTTTTTATTGATGAGTCAGATCCTAGCTCTAAGTCGATTACCAAGTCAAAGTTACTATCTGGTTCTTTGTCAATATTCAAAGGCTGAAATCGCTTGATAAAACCTTGCATTATGGACCTGGATAGTTTTTCGTCCGTTTCACTTTTGATTGACTGGTGATTATCGCCTCTTTCTACGATTCTGCTAAATGTGATGTCCCATAGTTGATCTGTGCTCATGGATTTTGGAACGAAATTAAGAGCAATATATTTGAAGCCAACATTCGATGACAAGTAATTGTCTTTTAATTTCAGCATATCATAGAAGATTTGTTTTCTCTCTCTCAATTGGTGATTATTTCTATCAAAACATACCACGTCGCTAGATTGAAGCGCTTCCAAAGTCAATTCAATTAGCTTTTTACTACCAGACTTGTTCCCTATGTTGTCATTTTGTATATGAGGCCAGCCGTATAAATCAGATAAAATTTGAAATACTGTGGTTTTACCGCAGCCTATAGTTGCCACAGATACTAAAATATACTTATACTTAGTAATGGTTAATTTTTTAAGGCTATCATCAAATTTGTCAAAACCTATCAATTGCATGCCGTGAGATTCATTTAAATGTCCAAGAAATTTTTCTCTTACTTCTATTATACCATGACCACTCAAGTATTGGTCCTTTAAGGTGGTATTTTTCTTAAATAAATCTTCAATGAACTCCAAATAATTTAATGTTATGAATCTATGTTGTTTAACCGACGCTATGATCGCTTGTATGGACATTCCATCACTTATAAGCTTCTTGGTCACTTCCCTGAACTGACGATACAACAAATATGGCTCTGTGAATTTATATTTGAAAAAGTAGTCTTCATTCTTCAATTTGCAGCGAATCACAAAACCTTCAACTTCTCTATTTTCATAAGTTCCTGTTTCCTTGCAGCTCTCCATAAAAGTCCAAAGTTCTTCAAAGGTCAAAAACCTTTCATATTGTACACTTTTAAAGTTCCATTTCTGTGCAAACTGTTTCACTATATCCATTGGATATGTTTGAAAGCGTATTGTGTTGAGATTCAACCCATGTAAATATAACCCTGATCTCTCTTTTGGATAAGGGAGTACATGTTCTTCAAACTCATCATCGCACAACTCTGCGACTGCGGTTACATTTAATTTATACAATAATTTTCCAAAATCATTCAAAGATTTATTCCCAGTTGCAATCTGCTGCTTTAAATGCATTTCGCCTCGAAGGGCATGATTTCTAGTTAAGTCATCTCTGACACCTGTTGAGTGCTTAGAGCAAACAACTACTTCCCCACTTTCAAGACCTCCTATTAAAATAATGCAACCGTTTTCCTTCACAGTCACATCATAAGGACCAGTAGTTTTACTTTTCAAATTTTCAAGCTTTGTGTCTACAACTTCGTTTACATTAAAGAACTTGTCATACCCTCTAGCCAAGATCTTATCATTGGTTGTAAACAATCCTCTAGCCTTTATAGGAAGTATAATCTTAGGTTCTTTGCCGTAGTCCCACTCATTAAATTTCCAGCTATCAACAACTTTCGCTGATCCATTAATATGATTTGAATATTTTGTACATTTCCCACTCTTTGTCAAATTCGTGCTTTCGGTTAAAGCTAAAATCAATTCTTTCACTTCTTTTTCAGAATTTCGTACCTCAATCTCCCAAGGGGTCATTTTAGCTACTGACAATACCTAAGTATATCTTTTAAAGCGTTAAAAAAAGAGTACTTCGGTGTGCACATAATAATATTAAATATCTCAAGAACGTGAAATTCGATAGCGGGCATTAAATGATCACATCGTAGTAGGAAGATATGTCGTTTAAAGTTGATATTGACGAAGCTGATGTTGCCGTCCTCAATCAAAATTTAACGAAGTCAAAAGACTTGTTTAATCAGATTTCGAAATCGTTATATTCTATTTCTACTAATACTTCAACAGCATCAACAAAAATTAAACCCATTTTAAAGGATGTAAACAAGTTGAATAATAACAAGAAGCAGATAGACAAGGGCCTTGCAATGTTGCAGGATGTTAGTAGATATGCAGAGCTAACTTCAAACCATGAATCGATATTGAATAACTCTATTGAGCTCATCGGGTTAAAGAAGTTTATTACTAGTTTATCGCAATCCAAACTACTTTTACATGAAATGAAATCCCACATCAAGAACTTTAAAGGGATCATGATAAACTTCGAAACGCTAATTGATAAATCTGACTTGAAATTGCAAAACTATTTTCAAAAGCTTTGTCTGAGTTCTGACTATAAAATCAAAGAGATTTGTATGATTATAAAGTACTTTGAGAACGACAATTCTGACTATATTTTAAAGAACTACATAAGAATTAGGGCCAATAAATTCACAGAAGCTGTCAAACCGTACGAGAACGTGTCAGTGAAATCATCAGCTCCTTACGAGAAAGGAACTAATGGAATGCATAAATTTAATACTGAATTTATTGCATGCATAGATAACGAAATTGCTATATTGAGCGAGATTAATAAGAGTGGAGTTCAATTGGATTCTGAAATACTCAAAGATATCATAGAACGTGGATTAAACTCGGATTATAATGACATAGTAAGTAAGTTTAACAACTTCATAAGCACCAATGGAATAATGTCCAATGAAGTTATGATTTTAGAGCTTATATCTAATTTGCTTGATTTAGAGGCATATTTGAGAGATATCAAGCTTTCCTTCCCAGTTTTTATTAAGTTCAACGACTCATTTAACAGGTTAGTGTCAAATTCGTCATCAATTTTCAAAGACGTGGTGCGACTCATTGAAAATAAAATAACTTCTGCGGACAAACTCAACGACAAGAACATTCCTGAGGTTACTGTAGAATTAATCTCAAGAATCAGAAAAATAAGTGAATTTCATAACTCTTTGATTCAACTTATATATGGATACAAATTGGGAGATTGGCTCCTGATCAAGCCCCCTGTGAAATTTGTTAGTACATACACTTCGGTAATTCCAAATGCGACTGAAGGTATTGATGAATCATCTCCAGATTTCTTATTGAGTTGTTACTACAGTGATTTGATAGATGCTATCATAGTCAGTATCGAGATTGAGTTGAAAAGTGAAGTTAGTCTCAAGAAAAGTACTCAAGGATTTTACTTGCTCAAGGATCTAATCTTAATCGAAGGAATTGTGAATAGATCGCAGCAATTGTTCGATGCTTTAGGTAATTTGGGAATTGAGAGAATGAACAAGTTGAAGAATAGATACCTCAAAATGTTCTTAGATGATTGGAACTATGCATCCTACATTATAATAAGAGATATGACAAGCATCACGACCTCACACGCTCAATCTCATTCTCTGGGTAGTGGTATGTCCAATAAGGAACGAGAACAGGTCAAAGATCTATTTAAAAACTTTAATGAATCCTTTGAAGAAGCATTAAGAAACTATGAGAAATACAATATAACTGACGTGAATCTCAAGAGTTATTTGGGTAATGAAATAAAAAAGCTTATACTAAATGCGTATTTCAAGTTGTACGACAAATATGCTAACAGTGAATTCACCAAAAATAAGGCTAAGTATGTGAAGTACGATAAAATTCTGTTTGAGAGATTGCTAAATGACAAACTTAAGTAGCTGTCTAAAACCGACCTTTAGCTTCATTCAAAAATATTTCATTTGTGTAATTCACTTCATATGTGTTGATTATTAGATAAAGAACACAACAATCTTAATGACTAAGCGCTTCTGATAATATTTGTGTAGAGCAAAGCTTCCCCTAAGTACATTTAGATATTTATGCAAGCCTTGTAGACGATTGGCTGCACCACTATATGATCAAAAGTAAGTTAATCCGTCTACACGACGCAAAGATTTTGAGAGCCCTGTGATTTCAAGAAAGACACTATTAAACTTTTACAAGGACCGCATACACACCGAGCAAGTTGTCCCGAGATCCCCTCGGCGCTCACGTCACAGTTGTAACAGGGATCGTCAAAACCTGCTGCCATTCAAGTTAATGCCGCTAACCCGCATGTGTTCTTACCGACCAGGGGCGCCCTCGGAGAAGCTCACATATGTGGCAATTTGTGCATTGATGTCTTGGCATCACCTCCTAAGTGAACGTTTGACACAGATGTCACCAAGCCTTACATTAAGTGAATATTTGACGACAGAACATCCCTCTTGTCGAAGTCCATATCAGTTCATCAAACTATCAGAACATCAGTACTAAAAATTTGGAGCAGGTTTAATGACAAATCTGAATATAGAGTACTGATGTTTATCTAAAATCTGACAAAATATTACATGTATGGGAGGGTTCACCTGCATAGCAAATGAAAATCTTTGTAGTCAAGAATTCTAATTTTTAGATGTAGTTCCTTCATCAAACGCTCAGAGCCCTTGATGTTATCGACGTACTAGATGAGGAATTTCCAGAATAGGATCGCAACGATCCCTTGTGATTTTCAGATTCTTGGATGTAACCTTGTCTTAGTCCCGTTTAGATTAAATGTTACGCGGTAAAAGAATCCAAGGCAGAAAACCATTTGAATGTATATGAGTGGCAGAAGCCAATGGTGAATGTGCTCATCCAGTAGTGTTATTATAATAGAAGTTCAATATTTAAAACTAAGTCGCACGATATCTCGCGGGCTTGTTAAGATTGGCGCCCAGCATACTTCTGTCGTGACAAGACAGACCTAGCCAGACGTTGCATTGAACATGATATGCAGACGTCCTTTTTTGTTAAATATGCCAGACTCGTAATTGGGGACTGTCATTACGGACGGCGCTTCGCTGCGGGTGTATTGTTATGTGATAATAATTGTTCTGCCCAAAAAAATTTCAGTCAGTCAATAATTATTTTAGGAATCTTGTGTCAAAATTCGCTGATCCCTGCGCGTTCCGGTTGACTGTCGGACTTCATCGAGGGCTTTGACTGACAGGTGGCAAGTGCCCCCATCCATTACGGAAGCGGCACGTGCAAAATATCCTTGATTACTTAGTACTGTTAAATTAAAATTTTCGATTGCATTTTGATACTACTTGGCAGGTATAGCTGAATGCTCTTGTATTTATGAGAATTGATACTTAAAGTTGGCTGATGCGTAGAACTGTTTTTCACTTGAGGTAAACATCCTTTTTGTAGACTTACAGATCTATGGTAGATCAGAAGCGTTGCAAGTGTATGCGGACGCAACCGGATTAGTTGACCCCGGTTTTTGCACCGTCTCTGAAACGTCAGCTTGACATTTAGATTTCCAAGAAATTAAAGATAATACTTTAGATTTTGACACTCGAATATATATTAGTACACATTTCAAGGCAAACTTAAAATTGCGATTGAACATGGGTTTCATCAAGATAAATATAAAGTGAAGAACCGTTAATGAATTTGGAAAGATTAGTTGACGGCAAACAGATGATGCAGCATGGTAATAAGGTGAGCTTGCCTCCCATATCAAACATTTTAATGAACAAGGCGAATACACCACCTCCCGTTGCTACGGTGAGTTCAATTCCACCATTACACACTACAGCAATGGCTGCGGCCTCTGCTGTACCTGTTCATGGTCCATCTGTGTCATATGCTAACTACGGGTACACAACAGATCCATACCAGCATAACTATAAGTATTATGAATACCACAGGCAGCTGCCACCACAGAGCGCATCTAGCCAACCTTCAGTTAGTTACATACAAACTGCAAATGTACCGCTGCTGCTTCCACCTATATCTCTGGTGCGTCAACCTTACAAGTCAGCTTCAATTCTGACTCTGAGTAGTAATGGAAGTCCAGATATAAAGTCACTAAGAAGAAAAACCAGGAACAATTTACCAAGAGAAACTACATATATTTTACTTAAGTGGTTAAACGAGCATTTAAATCACCCATATCCTAATTCTTTCGAAAAGAACCAATTAATGGTTTCAACTGGTTTGAACCAACAGCAACTTTCTAACTGGTTCATAAATGCCCGTCGAAGGAAAGTTAAGGTACTCAAAGAACAGAAAAAGCTTTCTGGATAAGGTTTCAATTCGTTTTGCATTATTTAATGATTCTTGTAGTAGTTAAAGTTTTAATGTACGTTAGCATGTTAATTTTAAAGAGGTGTATTATTTGCTCTCTTCAAACTTAAAAATCGCCGATCAACTTGTAATATTCAAAGCTGGTAACATTCCATGACGACTGCCAAGAATGACCGGTATATTAGGAGCGTTCGGATGTGCCTGACATGTATTGCATGACATTGAGTAACTACGCAAATTTATCTACGATATTCAAGTTCTAGAAAGTTATTGTTTCCACACGATCACTTAATTAAGTTCCCAACAATAAGTACATCTCGTTTCCATTCGCACCTCAGACTTCATTGTTTTCATGTTCCATTCTATTGTACGGCAACTACGTTATCCAGGGGCAATTTGTGGATTGAGTCGTCTGAGATCCTGTATACGGAAATGTGTCTTTCCTAAATTTATTTTAGTTGCACCTTTTTTGCTGTTATCTTTAAGTGCTGCTCGAGCTATGTACGGTAATCGCCGCTGTCTCATGACATAATATTCATGAAAAGAAAAAATAGGTTAAATAAAATGTTTTGGATAGGTAGAACAAGAGAGTCAGTGCTCACGTCAAACTTTATTAGGGTCCTGAGTAGAATGCATGAAAGCGTTGACTTCCTAATAGGGCAATATACTTTAATCGAGACAGGATAGCTAATATTTGTTTACAGTTACTATATCGGTCATTGAAGACGTATACGTCAACAAAATATATTTCTCTCTCCAGCTAGAGAAATTTTGTTCATAGTTTTATCACGCTAGGAAATGACTGTGGTTAGTCCATCAGATGCCTTGATTCTGGTGTCGGAATCCATTCTCAGCTCTATCGATGAATTAAATAGATTGGAGTTTCAAAAAAAAGGAAGAAAATATAGGTTTGTCGACAATAGCTTTCGCAGAATAAGAGAAGAAGAAAGACATTTAGTCATATGTCCAGAAGACCTACAAATGCATGCCTCCATTGCAAGCTCTTATTTCATCTTATCAAACATTGACGACGGTGCTATTTTGAATCGATTTCCAGATCTATGCTTGGCTATCGTTGGCTTTGCCAGTGAATTAGAACGCAATGGTTGGTATGAAGAAATCAACTCTTCGGTTGTTCACTTGAAGGATGCAAAGTTCAATCCGATGGCAACAAGCCTGGAGGCGATTGAGTTTTTTAATCGTGTGCAGCCTAAGCATATATCAATGGGAGTTGATTTGATGATCAGCTCTAAATTAAACTTTATTCATACGGACCATCACGTTGGTGCGAAGTTGGAAGGTCAGTATTTGAGGTTTTTCGTGGAGAAATATTTCGGAGAAGAGGCATTGCTATCTAACGAAGTTTTAGTTGCACTTAAAAGTTTCGTACATTGGGGAAATATCAAGGGAATATTGTATAAATTAGAGGTACCGAGTGTAGAAATCTCACTTCAACTACAAGAGCAATTCAATTCCTTCCCAGAACCTAGCAATGAGCTTAAGCGGGCCGTATTTGATAGATACCCTTCAGGGACATCGAAGTACTCCTTACTCAAAAGGGCAATCGATACTCTTGGCGAGTGGACTTATGCAGAATTGATTCCCTATCCTAAAGGAAATGAGTTCGACTTAAATTGGTTGTATGAATTGTGCGATGATATTGAAAATAATCCTATTAAGTATCATCTACGAAGCTCAGCTAAGAATTTGTGCAAAACGCCAGTAAATCTCGCAGAGTTGTCAACTCTGTATTCATCAAATGTAAATAAACTATTACATTTAATTGCATTAATCATAAACATATTCGATAATACCGGTGGAGAATTTTTACTACAGAACTCAAAGATTCCAAAATTTGAGGATGACCTAATTAATCAAAATATCGATTATTACAACGACCTTGTGGCCATCAAGGAAAAAATCTACAAATATGAAGAAAAGCAGTGGGACCATGATGACATTGTATTGAGATTACGAAATGATGATATTCACATGAATTCTTTGTACGAAAAGGTTCATGCCATGAGGCAGATCTATAATGATGATCTTGAATGAAGCAGATCTCCTGAATTGAACTTACTTCATGATACACAAATATATACCATTATCACTCCACTATAGACTTTAGACAATACATTCTCACGGGGTACAATTCTCTGGGAAGGCCCTTCTGTAAGTCGCTAGCAATTAACTTGAGCCCAGCTTCTTTAAACAAAAATCTAAATTTTTCATCGCTTCTAGTGACCGATGAGTCAGTCTCATCAAAAATGTCTTCTTCCGGCGCAATATTCTCTTTAACAATTATAGTTCCATTTTCCATCAATGCATTTTTACATCTTTTCAAAAACTCTATAAATTCCACATCAGGGAGCTGACCAACGCACCATTGGCACCAAATCAACCAATATTTACCAATTTTTGCTTGAGGGCATATCCAATCTTGCATCCCCATTCTGTAAATTTCACCCAATTTCCCTCGCTCACGGACCATATTCAATTCAGTTTCCATTTGATTTAGAAATGGAACAACTGGTTCTAAGAGATCACATCTATCACTGATTTTCCACAAAAGGTCTCTCGTAACTCGGCCAATTCCAGCACCCATTTCTATAGTGAGCTTGCCTTGGTTTTCTGTACATTCCATTCTTGTCTTAAGTTTTCTTAAAAATGTTGATGAACCGACTATGTCTACCCTAGGAACCTGCGTTTGTTCTCCAAACCCCCCTAACACACCATTTACTGATGCTGGAACATTTGACCAATACTCAATCGCATCTTCATATTTGATTTTAGTATCAGCCTTATCATTTTCAGACATTAAAATGTCTTCATTCGTAGCTACCTTCACCGGCATTCGTTTATCGTTCCTAAGGGAATAGTACACGAAGATTATCAGAATAAATCTTAAAGCGTGCTCATCGCAATCTCAATATAACAGAATAAATTTATACAACTCAAACCGAGAAAAATAGTTTCGATCGCGTCCTATCAATACGGTAAACATTATCTATACATTATATTTCTAAGATTGTAATTAGATGACTTCTGACTATTACGACATTGACGATATACTAGCTGACTCTGAGAAAATTCCCTGTCGATTTAATATGACAATACCGGGGTTGGGATACTTAGAGGGAAACCCAGGGAAGCTGCTTGCAAAGGATACGAAAATAGAAATCCCAATGTGGCTAGCGGAAGTTTTGGCGGTGAGTGGAGTTCTGGAGCAATCTGAAATGAGCTTTGTGGACTTATCAGAGCCTGATTTTGTCAATAGTCGTGTTACAAATGCTATCAAGACAAGCCCTGTGAGCGTCGATTTGCATTCGATAATGCCCAACTATTACAAACTCGCAGAGAAATGGTGTGCTCTATTTGAGGATCGTTCAACCATACAAATAATAATGGAAATGTTGAGGGAGAGAGCGTTTGAGATATACAACTTTGCCAATAATGCCAATAAGCAGGTAAATAACGACTTCGTGTACTCTTTGGACGAATTTGAGAGAAAGCTACTACGAGTCACTTCTGATACCAATAGACAAATGAGAAAATGGATACAAGAATAACGTATATATATCAAAAGAATAGTACGTTTCAACTAAATAAAGTAATAATATATATTAATGAACATTATTTGATGACACTGATTATCGACTCAGTAACTATACATTTTCTTCTTTGTTTTCCTCTAGATCGTTTGCAACATTATTTTGCTCTTTGTCATCGTTAAACAAATCATCATCGAGATCCTCATCACTGTCCTCTATAATCTCTTTCGATAAATAAGATTTCTTTTTCTTGGAGGGGACGTTATCATCAGCTTCAACTTCACCTTTCCTCTTAAGTTTTCCTGCATTTTCTGGTTTAGACTTACTGTTTGGTTCTATATCAGACTCAGACGTAGTTGAATCCTCACTATCATCTACCACTGCCTTCTTACGACTCTTCTTAGATTTGGAGCGTGACTTTGTTTTACTGACTGATTTCTTTGCAACTTCTTCATCGAATAAACCATCGTCTTCCTTATCCACCACAACATCCATTCTAGCTTCCTCAGCCCATTGCTGAGCTTGCTCCTGTAACTTCGCCCTCTCTTTTGCTAATTCTTCGTCTTTCAATCTTCTGGCGGCCAAATGTTCCTCCTCTTCTTTCAATTTCTTTTGTTCTTCCTCTTCTCTGAATCTTTTAGCCTCTTCCAACCTATTTTCTATGCTTGATATATTATCGGTAGTTTCTTGTAAGCACGAATTCAAACGGTTGAGTAAGGTGTTTGTTCCAAGATTTGCCCTTGCTTTAAGCTCAGCCTTAGGATAAGGTGCGTAAGGTTCATCGTCTGAGGCCAAAGAATTCAAGGTTGTAATTGCGGAATTCAAATTAATTAAGGCTTCCTTGATATCTTCTACATTTCTTTGCTCAATTGGCAATTTCGTAATAACCTCAGCAATTTGAAACTGAACATACGCAATATTAAATCTTAGAGAAGATTTTGATCCATTGAAGTTCTCGTAAGCCTCTTCAGAGAACTCTAGTGCCTTTTTAAGGGCAGAAATGTTTTTCTCAGAAACGCCTCTTAAGTACCAAGCTCTTCCAAGAAAAGATAATATTCTCAGATCGGAGCCATTAGTATATCTTGCCAATCCTATTTCGTAACTTTCAATTGCTTTACCATATTGCTTAAGATCTACCAATACGTGGCCCAAATTCAAATAAACAGATAAGTCATCGAGTGAGTCCCTAATTTTTCTCAAAATATCCAAACCTTTGTTAAGCTCCTTGTTTTCAATATAGACTATCGCCAAACCCTGTGCGGCAAATACATTTTTAGGATCAACCGAAAGGACTTTAGCGAATAACTCTACTGCTCGAATATAATACTTCTTCTTCTTCTCATCTGCCCCTGACGACTTGATGTCTCTTGCCATCAAACAATATATATTAGCCAACGAAATTAATGCATAACAATCATGTGAATCGTACTCAACTAATGTCTCTTTTTGATGATTAGTGTCTGCATCAGGTTTCATGCCCAACTTCTTACCGAAGTTCTTTGCAAACCATCCATAAAAAGAGCGGATTTCTATATTCGATGCGTTTACTTCCAACAAATGTTCGATTTCATCTTTAATATCCTTCTTCGGAGAATTGTTAGATGAAATACAGTCCAAAAACAATAACCTTAATTTTGCAGAGAAATAGTTGGGACATTCTTTCAATATTGCCTTATATGTCCCAATAGACTCAACTTCATTATCAGCTTCAGCAGATCGGGCTATATTAAAGTTTAAAGTCACCTTAAGGTCCTCTGGTAAATACAAGTCAGGTTGACCATCCTCAGAGATGAAGGTTTTAGACAAACCCAACTTATTAAGAGCCTCCCTAAAATAAAAACAGGCATCCTCAGTATTGTGTTTTAAGAAGTTGAAAATTCCTATATTATTATAGACCTCTAAAGGTGCCTCCTGTCCCATTTCTCCTCTGGAGTCAATTGCCTTCTTCAAATAGTTTAATGCCTGATTAATATCTCTATTCTCGTAGAGTTTACTCAAGACTAAATAAGCGTTCAAAGCTACAGGTTCCTTATTCAAAAACTCCAATCCTTCATCATTCTTTGAAGAAGAGATCCCACGATTGTTAGATAATCTCAAATATCTTTCGAGTATTATAATAGCTTGTTCTTGTTTTTTTCTTGATTTATGTTCGGAATAAAGTAATCCAAGAGAATAATTGACTTCGAGACATTTAGGATTCGTTTTCAAAATTGATTCAAAAGTAATAGTTGCTTCTTCAATAGATCCCCGACTAACCTGTGATTGGCCCAATCCTAGTTTTGCAAGTAAATTGTTTTCATCTAGCTTGATAGACTCATGAAAAAACTTCTGAGATTGCGTAAAATCGGCTCTAATGAAAGAAATTCTACCTAACCAAAATGCACATTGAGATAAAATAATTGATTCGAACTTTGATAACTGGGAAAATTTACTGAATTTCACCAAGTTTGAGCTGCCAGTAACTTTAAAAACAATCTTATTAAGTAATTTTTCCGTCAAGGTATAATCCTCTTTAGAAAAGTAGTAAGTCACTAAAGTTAATAAGACCACACTATCTTCAGGACTCAGTTCATAATTCGATGAGATCTCTCGCAAGCATTGTTCATAATTTTTAATAAACTCATCATCGCTTAGTGAATTGTTAAAACTATTATTGAAATGTGCCAAGTTAAGTAATATTTTGGCTTTGAGATTTTCTGGGTCAATATCCAAAGCCCTTTCAAAAGACTGGACTGCCATTTTTTCATCTTTGAGAAACCAGAAACATAACCCAATACCAATTCTTGGGTCTGGCCGCATTAAAGGATTTAAGACAAGTACTTGTTGATAAATTTTCAACGCTCCTGAGTAGTTTTTGGTTTTTTTCAAAAGAATTTGGGCTTTACCTAGGAGTGCAAAGCAATTGCTCTGGTTTATTTTGATTAAGCGTTCGAAAATGTCCTGAGCCCTCTCAAGCTGACCTTTAAATATATGTAAAACCGCTTGCGCTGATAGGAAGGACACATCATTTCCCAGACCTCCCACAACCATATTTAACTCCTTTGAAGCATCAGATAAATTCTTTTCTTTGTTTATACCTTGGCTGACAAGTTTAAGGTACAACCATGCCTTGAGAGTATGAAGAGACGATATATCCTCTTGCAGAAATTGTTTCGACTCGATTGCTGTTTTCACGATCTCAAAAGACTCATCAATCTTGCTAAGAGAGTTATACGCCAAGGCAATGGAAATCCAGAACTTCAAGGGACAGCTCTCATTTTCTAAAAAGCTTATGATTTCGTTAGGGTCTTCAGGTAATTCATCATGCAAATTAATACTAACGATTTCACCATTAGTCACAGGTATATCGAGAGAGTTTTGATTTTGCGCCACCTGCGATCCTAAATAGTAAGATACATCAACAGGCTCTTCCATTTCTACCATCTCAAATGAGTCTGCCCTTTATCCTATTAAATATATGTTTAGTTTATGTCCTTCAAATTAAAGCTCAACGATAAAAATTGAAAAATCACGTGCCCAGTACATACATATTATGATAGTTCTCCATAGATTGGAGAAAAGTGACCACAGGCCCACACCAATAAAAGAAAAATCGTGTATCCTAATCTGTCTCTTACGAGGAATTATGGTGTCGTAGTTTCACAGTCAATAAAAGAAAGAAATATTTACATAAATAGTTGAAAACACTATGTACAATCTTAGTTACGGAAACTTGAATGATTCTCAAGTTGTGCCGATACGGTTGAATCGAATGCTGAACTGAAAAAGTCATCTAGCTTAAGTCCGTTAATGATGCCGTGTGTTTCGCAGTTTGAGCATTCACAATTTTCGGGATGGCACTGACAGGCGTTGAAATTAGAAAAGTCACCGTTCTCTAGTTTTGGGACCTCCACCTCACCAGACGCGAGAAATTCAGGATTGGCACTAGCTTTTGAGTAGGGAATATTATCAAATAGTTTGTGGGGGTAGACACTCAGCTCATTCATCTCATTATCATGACCATTAAATATGCTTCGATTGTTTGCAGTTATATTGTCGTAAGGATCATATTTCGTTGAAAGGATCTCGTTTGAAAGAAGTTCGTTAATTTCGTTTGTAGCTGAGTTCACATTGCCATGAACAGTACAGCCAGCGCAGGTGCAATTGCTATCACAGCCGCATGATCCAGGAATAGAACATGAAGGTATACTAAACACACAAAACTTTTCATTTTCATTATTGGGTTCCCTTTTAATTTCTGGGCTCTTCTTCTTAATCTCCTGAGAATGATCTATAAAGGTCCATTGCGTATCCTCAGCCTGGCGGTTCTGTATCATCCTATTCTTTAGGTATGTCTTTAATATTCTAGACTTATTAATAGTTTTCTTCGAATTATTGTGTGCACATCCACAGTCTGTTTTCAGCTTCAAGCCACTACAACAGCTTGTGGAATTTATAAAGCTTTCACTACTCACCACAGGAGGTGGAGGTCGAGAAGATGAATTTATGTTTGCTTTTGTTTGGTCGTAAGGTCCAATAATCAGTCCGTCAGTGAGGTCCATGACTTGTTTCAGCGAAGCTTTTAGAATAACAACAGGATTTCCATGACACCCAGATCCACTATCTCCTTTGGTGCCATCTTCTTCATCAGAGGCAACTTCTTCTGCAAATACAGCGATCCTATGGTTGGGGTTTCCGTTTGCGTAAACATTGGGTCTACCTTTCGATCTAACTTGTAATAACGGACGATTACAATGACGACACCTAGATGACCTATGCCCACGAATGCATTCAATACACGAGAATTTGACCCCGTCTATGAGAATCATTTGTTAAATGACATCTGTGATATACTCTAGTGAAGAAAAAAAAATTGAGCTAATGATACTCGATTTACGATACAACGAGCAAAATTAATTACTCAATTTGTCACTGCTAGGTAGCAGTTTAAAAACACATTTCATCATATGAAAGTTTTTTAACGACAGTACTCCATTAAAGTTTGAGAATCCTATCATGGTCATCGGCTTTGATAGTTTGAGTCTATTCAACAGGAGTTGGGTTGAAATTGTATATATCAGCTATAAGCATAGACGTTGACCTCAAATCTGAAATCAAGGCAATATAGATTGGAGATAGTTGACATTTATTAGAAATTTTGAAAGACTCATAATAGATAACCCTAAATCATTCAAAAGTTATACTTTTAGGTTCCTATTTAAAAATCGAGCTTCAGATGGTGAGCTATTTTCAAGGTTACATTGCTATTATAACTCTTCATATCTTAGCTTTCATTTATCTTCCTTGTGACATGCGTCTACATCTTTACCACTAATTCCTCTGAAAGTTAGGCTGTAGTGATATCTTATAGGATGGTTAATGCCAACCCATATATATTAGAGAAAACTCTTACTGGTATATAGCCGCCACACATATTGGTCATTTATCTTATCTCTCATGCTATTTTCGCAACGGGGCTAAAAGGTGTATCTACTTATTATACAATTGTGCCGTTAAAAGAAAAGTTCTTAACTTCCTATAGTGGTCCAGGCCTGGTAGACTAAGGTCATCTTACTGGATATACTGAGACCCGCAATGGCCATGTTACTAAGGAAGTTAAAAAATGGGTTCCTCGCTGCAATTCCAAATACCTTTGAACGACACGAGCAACAGCTGCTTTTAGCAGAGGAGCGTGAGAGAGATTATGACGTCTTGGATAATGGATCGAGATCGGGCACTGCTGGAAGTAGCAATGATGCAATTCAAGAAGAAGAGGAAATAGAGGAAGAAGAAGAAGAAGAACTCTCAAATAGCAACCTCAAGAACAAAAGAATTGACCAAAATGCTACTAACGGCAAGCTTCACAAATATCGGGGACCTCAAGATAACTCTTTAGAGGATACTTATGGATTTGATGGTAAACCCAACAGCAATCACATTGCCATGTCCGTAAAAGAAATCAATCCAACTGGAGCGAATAAGTCTACTACAAATACGAGGCCCTTGTCTTTAAATCATGACAATTCACTTCTGATAAGGAGACCGTCACTAAGCTCTAACGAGGCTTCGATCAGCAAAACTGATGGACCCAATCGGCATGATTATCAAGGCAACTTGCATTGTGATGGCATTTTAGAGATAACACCACCTGTTCCAGTTAATGGTGCGGATGAATTGCTGCCTCTACTCCCACCTTCACGTCGCAGCTCTGCAACCGTGAGCTCTTATAAAGTCATTCGAGCATCAGGGTTTTCATTCAGGAATCTCTGTGCCTATGCTTTAGACTTCCGTCACCCAAAACTATTTCATTTTATCGTGCTTATACTAGTGTTGTTTACAATATTCGCTTATACAACTTTAAAAAAGGTGGATACCCTTGTAAGTGACTTCAGTGAAATTAACCTTCAAAGTGTCTCAGTATTGGATTTGAATGATAGGGGTATCGATTCTCATATTATTGGAACACTATACATTAACTATAATAATGTTCATAATATATTCTACCGAAATATGCTAAAGTTTGGATCAGCATTAGTAGGTGTCATTGTGCTTTTGCCTAGTGATGCAATGAAAGTCTATGCTAAGCCAGCTAAATCAGAAGTCTGTTACTTTCATATATTAGATTTAATACAACCTGAGGTTGCAGTTGATGTGATGAACAGAAGACTCACTGAAATTGACTTCATAAGTCAGACTCTGATACGTGAAACTGAGATGGTGAAGTTATGGGAATTAGTAAACAACCTTGATGAGCAAACATTTGAGCTTGAAGTTGAGGCTGAGATACACCCTTGGATTGAAAGTAAGCTATTCAGCTTTGGTAAACAGGACATTCGATTCAAAAAAGTAATTTCATTAGATAAAGGTTCAATATTCCCACCTATCAAAGTCAAAAACATGAAAACATATTCTACAGACTTTTCTATACAGTTGTCTACTCAGATTGTGCTTGAGCGAGGATTGACACTCTCTGCGACATTTCCAGCAATAAACTGGGACTTGTTAATCTTAGATTGCAGCGGTAACTTAATAGAACTTGGGTCTTGGGCGACTGAAGTATTTGATGTCGAACCGAAATCTCCAATTGTGATAAATCTTCATGGCGATCTAAGAAGCATCCCTAATCCTTTATTAAAACGTTGCAACAATACTGACGTCAGTATTTTCAATAAATATGTTCAAGATTATATGAACGGAGATGTGTTGAGCGTTTACATAAGAGCCTCTAAATATCAAAGGGTCAAAATGCAAAATTGGCTCTATTACTTGTTGAATCATGCTAATTATAAGGTTGACGCATTAGTTACAAGAAGGGACCTTTCGATTACAGGTTATGAAATTGATGCATTAAGTTTAGAACTTCCGCTGAACATTCCTAACGATTTATTAAGTCTTAATGTAAATACCAATGCATCGATTATCATTGACAATCAGATTGATATACAGTTTAGCATTTCAAAGTTCAAGCATTATTTTTGCTTGCTTGACTCCGATGAGACAATCTTACTTCAAGGTTGGTCTGACCAATTCAACTATGTGCATATTAATAATGTCTTACGTTTTCTCAAATTCGATTTGCTTTTAAACCACGTTAAGATTGAAGTCTTGAATTCTGAAAGCTTAGGCAATATTCTAAATGAAATCTGTAACTTTAATTTTAGCGACTCTCTATATGCAAAAGTTGAATTGGAAGATGTGGAACTCATTCTTCCAATTGGAGCCTTGAAACTTAATCGAATTGATTTCGAAGAAATGGATATTACATCTCAGCTTGACTTCCATAAACCTGACGAAATTTTGAAGAACTTGAATGTAACCATTGATGAACTTCTTTTTGTCGATTCTAACCCGATGCAAGCTCTGCTAATTATAAAGATAAGGATAACTAATCCAACGAATTTCATTGTTGACTTACCGGGCGAAACTATTACTTTGGGTATAAAGTCTAATAATACCAAAGTAGCAAGCTTCGGTTTCAAAGATTTCTTTCTTTCATCAGAAGCATTAAGTATTCAGGCTGAGCTTGACTTGTATAATACGCCCACTGAATTGATATCAAAACATACTATACTTGACTCTTTGTTAAGTGACTACATATCTGGTAATATCGTCCACGTTGACATATTTAATCTTTCTGTTCTAAATAATTGTGAATTAAACAAAATGTTAAATCAAATAGGAGTAACTAATATTGAAGTTCCTATTTTGAAGTATAGCAGACAAGCTTATCAGAACAATGAATTGGTAACTCAAGGAAACGATACTGAAGAACATCAAAGTCCATTCTTGCTTGAAGCAGTAATACATTTGTTAACCTCTGAAATACAACTTACATTATACAATCCCATTGAGAATGCAGAGTTGATTGTCGAGCTTTATGAGGCGGAAGCAAAATATGAAGATAACTTGTTGGGATCAATTTCTAAGCGAGAGTACTTGATGATAGCGCCGGGGATCCAAAAGACTCCCAATATTCCGATCAAAATCAGCCAAGGTATTGGTATGGATATTCTTAGAAAAGCAGTCAATGGGCAACTATATGTAGATGTCGAGGCTCACTTTCTATTGAAGCTAGACAAGTTTGAATCAATGTTGACTTACAATGGGCATGGTTTGAAATCAACTATCAAATTTTAAGCTATTCTTCAGTCATAATTGCAAAAGCGACAAATTACGGATCTATATTATATTTAAAGAACAAGGAATGTATTGTTGCTAGTTCCTGCTCGCATCTAGGCAGCTATGATTTTGCAACTAAAAATGCTACTCATTCGTAGACAGGATTATTGTGAACAAACGTGATTAGTATTCTGACCTAGCTATTACGTAAGTTATGTGTAATTTTCTTTCAATAACATAGTTTGTTTACTTTTGCATGCTAGTGCCTAGAAGTACAGGCGTATACAAATAAGATCTCGACTTGATTGTTTTGGGGATTACATAATCGACGACATATTGCTCTTCACTCAACGGATCTGGATCGATCTTTTCCCAATTGTCATGTCGTTTGACGCATATTGAATCACTTTTGGTATAAATTACATACCTAAAAGGGGAATGTCGTAATGTCGGCTCTATTTTTAATATTTTTGTTTTTCTCGCTCTTTCTGTGGAATTACTTTGCCGAATTTTTTTGGATCTTTCGTTTTGAATATTTATTCTTTGCTTTAAGTCATTTTGAATATCAAATAGACAGTTGCTCTTTCGTTTTCGTTTTCGTTTAAAGTGGAGCTGAATAAAAAGTCTATCGTTTAGTTTTAAAATGGTTTCTCTTAAACTTACTAGCTTAGCTGTGTTAGCATCATTGATTTCAAGTACTTTAGCTACTCCTCCAGCTTGTTTATTGGCCTGTGTTAGTCAGGTTGAAAAGAAATCTTCGTGCAGTGGATTGAATGACTTACTGTGCTTATGCTCAAAGTCATACGACGACATCGAATCATGTTTGAAGAGCATATGTCCGAATGGCAGCAGTAGCGACGCAGTCTCTGCACTCAAATCTAGCTGCTCTGACTATTCGAACGACAGTTCAAGCTCTGAAGTAGCTAGCTCTAGCTCAGCAGAATCTTCAAGCTCGTCTGTCTCCAGCTCCGGTTCTAGTTCTAGCACTAGTTCTGGTTCTAGTTCTGGCTCAAGCTCAAGCTCAAGCTCAAGCTCCGCTGTTGCAAGCTATGCTGCTTCGAGCTCAGCTGCCTCTTCTAAGCAAGAAGCAGCTGGCTCTTCTGTTGCAGCTGAATCTACCTGGGCTGCTTCAACTTCTGCTGCTGTTGAATCATCTGCTGCTGCTTCTGAAGCACCATCGACTCTTGAAACATCCGCCACATCCTCAGTAGAATCTACGCAGGCTCCTACTGTACAATCTGAAGACTCAGGTGCAGTTAAGGTTATTTCATTTGGTGCTATCGTAGTCGGTTTGATGGGTGCTTTCTTATAGGTTAAATAGGATACCAATTACATATTATTATGGGATAAATAAAACGCCAACTGTAGCGGAGAGTTATGAATGTTCCGATATTGAAAGATTTTAATACTGATCTGTCTGGGTCTTAGATTGTGGAGATAGAAGTGGTATATAAAACGTTAGAAGTTCAGTTTGATGAAAAAAAATACGCAAGGGATGAGAAATAACAGAGATATGAGCTTTGATTATCAAATATCCAATAAGCTAAACGACTCTTCGTGGAAATATCTTAAATCAAATAATCTTTTGAAGTATGTAGTTAGCGAAGAATAAGCTCCCCTGCTTAATATGTACGTTATGTTGTTGCTCAGTTGATGTTTTTTTTTTTGTCTTTTTTTTTTTTCGCAATAAGTTGAAAGGTTGTTCCACGGAGCTTCCCGAGAATATAATGGTTTGACTTTCTTCTACCACCTAACATTGGAATAAGGCACCTGACACGGCCCGCTAACAGTACGATATTTGCTTGCGTCCAATAGTGCCGCTTTCAGTAATGCCTCTTTAAACACACCATGGTTGAAGGAATCAGATCGGTTAGAAACGAGAAAACCAAAGCTGTAAGAAGCAAGAAGTTCACGAAAGTTTACGAGTTTAGGAAAGTCATCCAGCTTTGATACTATAAATTCAATAAGTACAAGTCAAATTCGTATTTAGAAATTTGTTTAAAATAAGTCAAAGCTGAACATCACATTTTCACAACTTCTTCTCTTAGCTTCATGAAAGAAATATAAGTGGCTTGACAGTAGTCAGCGCATATACCCGTTACAGTGTACGTTTTATGGAAGATGCCTCTTATTTTTTCAAGTGGTTCTTCGGTGCAACCCTCAGACATTTTCCCTGTCTTTGTGTACAACATCAGTCAGACCCCAATAATTGAAGTAAGTGCTCCTCGGAAATTCCGAAACCCAGTTGCTAAAGTAGATCAACACCACAATATTTATTATTCCACTTCTGAGGCAAGTAAGAGTTGTCAAATATATAAATAGGCTACCATTTTTCCTTAATTAATCTTATTTGAGTTCCCGCTGTTGCTTCATCGAAACAATTATAGGGTAATATCAACAAACCCTGATAAGTTACAAATAGAAGGCTACATTAGTATTCAATTTTGAATCAAATCCCTTTAAATACTTGCAAAAGGAAAATATTTCTTGGTCTAGAAGATTCCTAGCGAAATACTATCGGCTGTGCAAGAGTAAGAATCATTGTGAACTATACTATCATCTGTCCGACTTGTACCTAATATATAAGAAAGACAAAATGCCATCAATGATGAATGAATACGTCACGAAAGCAACACAAGCCATCCAGTATACTTTGTATCATGGTACTTTTATCCACAGTCCAAAGCTTGGTGAATTAGAAATCCACTTTAACACCTTGATTGGAGTCAATTCATTAGGAAAAATAGATTTTATAAGAGAAAATATCGCTGAGGGGGCTTCGGCTTTGGAATTATTTGAGGCTGAAGCTTTGAAGACATGCATCAAGTACGACAGAAAGCAGATCAATTTCGTCGATTACTCTAAAGACAAGACTAAGTTTTTTTTACCAGGATTTGTTGATACTCATATACATGCATCTCAATATCCAAATATTGGCGTTGGTTTAGATACCCAACTAATGGACTGGTTGAAAACCTACACCTTTCCTTTAGAAAATTTGTATACTGATAAGAATTCCAAAGACAAATTAAGCTTCGCTAAGGATGTTTACTCCAAGGTTATTGCAAAAACTCTTCAAAACGGTACGACATGTGCATCTTATTTTACAACAATCGATCCTCAAACTACAAACTTGTTTGCTGAGTTATTATTACAGTTGGGACAAAGAGGTTTTGTAGGTAAAGTTTGCATGGATCATAACGAACAATATAGAGAGTATGAAGAGAGTTTGGATGCTTGTAAGGAGTCCATGGGAACCATCATATCTCATTTGAATGAGATCAACCCCAAAGGAGAGATTCTAGTCAAGCCTATAGTCACTCCAAGGTTTGCTCTTAGCTGTTCTAGAGATATGTTGAAATATTTAGGGACCTTGAGCTACGAGCATAATCTTCCAATTCAAACTCATATTAGCGAAAATGAAAAAGAAGTTGAACTTGTAAAAGCTGCATACCCTGACTGCGATAATTATGCTCTGGTTTATGAGAAACATAATTTGCTCAATAGGTCCACTATTTTGGCTCACGGTGTTCACTTAAACGAAGACGAAAGACAACTTATCAAAGAAAAAAACTGCTCCATAAGCCATTGTCCAGCCTCTAATACATTTATCTCGAGTGGAGAAGCACCGGTTAGGCGTTACCTTTACGAGGACAAAATAAACGTATCATTAGGTACAGATGTTAGTGGTGGATTTGAATCAAGCATATTAGGAGTAATTAAATATTCAATTTTGGTAAGTCATCATTTGGCTATAAGGACAAAGCTGGAAAAGGACAAATTATCAATTTCTGACTGCATTTTCATGGCAACTCAAGCTGGTGCGAATGCTGTTGGATTATCTGATAAGATAGGATCTTTTGAACTTGGCAAGGCCTTTGATGTACAGCTTATCGACTTAGAACATTCGGGTTCTAACATTGATGTCTTCGAATGGCAGAAACCTCTAGAGACTGACTCATTAGATCTTAAGAAAAAGAAAATGTATGATTTATTGGGAAAGTGGATATTCAGTGGCGATGATCGCAATTGTTCCAAAGTTTGGTGTAATGGTAGGTTGGTATTCAATAAGCTCGACCAAGAAAATGATAAGTGGGTTCTAATTAACGGGCCGTAAGTAGCACATAAATTGCAATAATTTTTATCATTAGTAATGCTACCGGATCTTTCAGGTCTTAAAATATACATGAAAGTAAATAAAGAAGCTAATATTCAATAGTAATATAAGAGATTCGAATGTAAACAGCTAACGGAGAAAGAAAATGTTTTTAACCTAAAATGTGGAAGGGGTATTTTATGCTTCTTCAAAGCTCTCTTTTCCGAAGTCTGGAATTCCACCTAAGGTGCCATAGATATCACCGACGTAGTTCTTAGATGGAAATCTCTTTCCTGATGAGTAAATCTTATCCCATTTTTGAACAACATCACGGATAAATGGAAATCCAGCGTTCACCAAGTTTTCAACTGCAGCTATTGAGCCACCTTCATTAGTCTTAGTGAAAAATTTGACCGTATCGTTAGCTAATGATGGCGGTGGTCTAGAAAAATCAGAGACACTTCTCATAAGTACAATTCTGTCGAAGTCAACTAAACCATGCTTTTGAGACCTCGTGAATACTTCCAAAGAAGCATTATCCTCTTGAGCAGTAGTACAATATTTAGAGCTTCCATTTGTCATCATCGATGAGAACTTTGAAAAATAGTCATTCAAAACTTTACCTGTAAAGTAATTATCAGATGTCAAAGAATCACACTTTTCGACTGATGGAAATGACTTTGCTTTTTTCTCAGTGTATTTGGCTCTAAACTTTGCATTAGTTTGAGTACCGTTATTTAATGTGGCCTTTTGGGCTAATTCGAAAGCTCTGTTTCTTAAACTTTCATTTAACTCAAAAACTTCAGTACCATAAACGTTCCCAGGGTATGTCCATGGATTATCAGTTCCATATGCAAAATATCCCGTCGTCCAATTCGGATTTGTTTTATGGTATTCGGTATAATCAATTTGATATTCCAAGCCAACTTGAATAGCATACTTAGCGAATGCAACACTACCAAGGGTTGTATAATTAGGCTCTCCTCCAGCTATACCGGCAATTAACCAATAAGTCTTGGTCAAATCGAATAATGGGTTCAAAGTCAAGGCAGACAAAGTAGCAGCGGCATTGATGTCTCCTTCCCCTGTTGTCACTTGACAAACGGTGTAATTCGTAGTACAGTAGATATCCGGATATAAAGGTGACAATCCTGGAATACTTATATTGTGTGCAAAATCCAAAGCATCCAACCATGGTTCTCTTTCGTATTCGAACATTGAAACAATAAATGCTTTTGGTTGGTAGATTGCAAAAGGTTTTCCGTAGGCAGTCTGGGCGTCGCCTTTGGAAGAATCAGGGATATCATCTTCCAACTCGGTAGTATTGATGTAACGCTTAACGACATCCAATGGGTGCGCAACTGCAATGGAAGCAATTGCAACAGAAACCAAGATTCTTGAAACCTTCATTGTCGTCAGTTGGGGGAGTTTTAATCGAGATAAGACAAAATTGCAAATATCAAAGAAATTTCAGTCCTAAAGCTCTGGTTTAATACTCGAGTAACCCCCATCTCCGCCTCAATCGCAACCGTCAACCTTGCATGCTCTACCGGATCAGACTTGACATTCAAGTATGAGCTGCTGATTGGGCCCAAATGAAATCTTTTGCTTTGTTTAGCAGCTTCCATAAACGTGAAATTTATTCCCAATACAGGTTGATGCGGCCCCCTTTTCGAGGTAATTGATCACTTGATTAGATGGCGCTCGAAAATCCAGTGTTGAAATTAGTACCCGCGGCATCAAGTCGGAACCCTTGAAAGATTTGAAACAGAGCAATCATAAATATGCTGCTCAGTGCATTCAATTAATCTTTCAAGGCCTAGCGGTCTAAAAGTATTTACATGCGGGTATCAAATGTGAAGATACGTTCAATATTATTTGTTGAGAGAGATTAAAAAATCGAATCAAAGACAAATTTCAAATAGCAGTTGACTTTTAAGATTGCAAAAGTCATCATTGGAAGGTACTGCGAGGAGATTCCGATTCTCGAGACATAAATGTTACTTAATGTAGGTTCCGGCTAAATTCGAAAATCTCATATTGCGTTTTTGTCCTACTTTGGAATACTAATTGCACGAACTTTACGCATCGTAATCATTGGTTATGACGTAGTATCAGAGGTCCATGATAGCCGACGATCCGTTTGGTAGAGATATTCCCAATAAATCCGGTGTTTATTAGATATTTATGGCCAAAGTTGACAATTTCGATGCTTTGAAGTGTAGTTAACAATGCTCAGCGAAGTGAAAGAAGATCATCGGACAGGATCATTTTAATATTTTTTTTCCATTTTGTACCAATACCTAATTAAATCTAAATGTAAACAGAAATATTCAGTATTCTAGTAAAATCTTTCAGTAAACTCAATGATACCCAGATTGTAGTAAAAGCTTGCAATGGTATTTATTAAATAGTATGGAAGGAAGCTAATTGTAATACGGGAAATCGATAAGACGCCCTTAAAGTGAACTTCGTTTGTACTACTTTTTGCATCAACAAATGTCGCGAAATCATCTTAAATGCACGACATCTACAGTTTTACACAAACAAACAAAACAATATTACAAACACGGTTAGAAAAACATGAAGCATGCCCGACTTACCTAATGGCTTTGAGGCACAAAGCAGAAAGAGACCAAATGAAGTTCTGGATAATGAGTTTGACTCTAGGGTATGTATTAACAACCAAATTTAGGTTTCAATATAGCGAATACTAACAAAAGCAGAATTTACAATCTGTACAAGATTATATGACTCAACGACTAGAAGTGAGAAAGCGGCAAAAGATGATGGATGATGATGGAGGCTCTGACTCCGAATCAGAATCAGACTTGTCTTCGAATCTAGATCATGAAAGTGATACCGATAGTGCTAGTGATGATAGTTTTATGGCCGATCCTACCTCTGCCAAGGCTGGAGTGATTGAGAAGATTGTGCTAAAAAACTTTATGTGTCACGATTTCTTTGAGTTGGAACTAGGTCCTCAATTAAATTTCATTATTGGCCGGAATGGATCAGGGAAAAGTGCGATTTTGACTGGAATATCTGTTGGTTTGGGTGCTAAGGCTTCCGAAACATGTAGAGGAAGTTCAGTTAGGGATTTGATCAAAGATGGGAAAGAAATGGCAAAGGTGATATTAACTTTCAGAAATGAAGGCGAAGAAGCTTATTGCCTGGATGTATATGGAAAGAAAATAATAATTGAAAGGACACTCAAGAGACTGGGAACTAACTCTTACTCCATTAAATCTGAAGTTTTAAATACAATTTCTACAAAAAAATCAACCTTGGATGAAATTTTGTTCAAATATAACATAGCGGTCAATAATCCTTTAGCATTCTTGTCCCAGGACAAGGCACGAGAGTTTTTAACACTGAGCTCTGATCAGTCAAAATTTAAGTTTTTTATGGATGGCACCCTACTTAATGATATCACAAATAACTTGGAAGCTACAGCAATGAATACTGTTGAGATAAGAAATAGATTAAACTTGGCGAAAAGACATTTAAAATTAGCAGAAGAAAAGTATAGGGCATCTGCTGCTTTGTACGAAAAATTTCAAAGATCTGATTCCTTACGAAAGAGGCTAGAAATCCTTCATGGAAAGGCTTATTGGTTCAATGTTACTGTTATAGAAAGAAAACTTGAGAGCTATAAACAGTCTTTAAAGCAAGCTGAAGAAGAGATTTGTGGATTAAGCAATGAAATAATAAATATTAATGAGCGCGTAAAATTCTTGGACGATGATAGTGTCATGTTACAAACTCACCAAGATGAAATGAAACAAATCGTAACTAAATTCAAAGATGAATATGATCTTATAAAAGATAAAAGGAGAAACGCAAAAACTATCAGGAAACAGCTCGAAGACGAAATTCAAAAGCTTCGGGAGGAAAACAATTCTTTTGAAAAAGAAATCAGAAAAAAAGAGAATGAGATTGCCTTAGAGAGAGAGCTTTTGGATAAGCGAAATGATTCGAAGGAAACATTATCAAACACCATCAGCAATTTAAACAGCAAGATCGAAGAATTGAATAAAAAGAAGGATGATATTAGACAAAGGCTAGGCGATATGACAGAAGAACCCACTATGTCTGACTTGCGACATGAAATCGGTATATCCGAGGAGATAATTAATAGCTTATCAACCAGAAAGATACAAATACAAAAATCTGAAAAAGACATACTTTTGCCTTGGGGAGATCATATTCATAACGTGTTAAACTCAATAAAGGCTATTAAAAACTGGCATCAGGAGCCGATTGGCCCACTTGGTGCTCATATCAGTGTTAGAGATGAATTTAGTAGCTGGAAAGACTTAATCAATACGGTACTAGGGAAGACCTTGGACTCATTTCTAGTTATTGATGAGCACGACAGACGAATATTAGACCGTATATTCAAACAGCTTAAGGTAAACAAAAACATAATTACGCGACGGCCAGAAAGAATCACTTTTGAGGGAGGAAGAGTAAGGAATCAAATTACATTTTTCGACATGCTTGCCATCGATAATGAAAACGTACTTTTCACCCTAATCGATATAAATAATATCGAAAAGAACATCATAGCATCTAGCAGAAATGATTTCGACATGCTTGTAAAATTACCTAATGTTCTCTCGGTCTTTTCTTCTTTGGGCTTGAGATCGGGCATTAGAGCAAGTGCTGGTGATAATGGTACGTTGAGAATTGATCCAGTTCATTATAGAGACGAGATTCACAAGTTATCTAGTAATTCAAAATCTTCAGAAAATTATATATTAAATATTGAATCTCAAATTCAGCTCGAGACGGAGAAGCTAACTAAGCTTCGCCTTAGCCTTAGAGAAGCAAATATAAAGAATCAAAACCAAAGGCGTGAGTTGGAAGAACAAAGTTCATCGATACTGGTAGATATAAAGAAGTTTAATAACGAGGTAATAAAAATGGAAGACAAACTCAATGAAAATGGCGATCTTGAAAAGGTGGAAGCTTTGAAAATACAAGTTTCCACAGATAGGGGGCAAATATCAATTAATGAAAATATTATAACTTCGTTGATAGATGAGCTTGAAAAAGGAAGGGACAACGCAATATCGCTTAAGGCGCAACTTGAGTCTTCTCGTGAAAGAGTTACCGCAGCCGTTCAGGATCTCGATAATACTAAAACGAAATTGGAAGCATTCGCAGATGAACTTGCGTCGCTTAATGATCGCAAGACACACTCTGAAATGAAAAAAGTAAAGCTACTTGATTCAATTGAGGCGATGAAAAACAAACTTGAACTAGGAAGAGAAAAGCTCGCACCTATTTTAGAAACTGCAGAATTGAAGTGTTGTAGGGAGATAGCAAATGTTGATATCGATCGAGACACTAGCGAGTCCATTAGCAAAGAATATCAAGAACTTCAGAGACAAGTTCAAGAAGTTGAAAGTTCTTTAGGCAGATCTTTCGAAGAAATACAACGAGAACTATTACAGAACAAAAAAATGCGTGATGCCGCAAATGATAATGTCTTCTGTTTAGATCAGATAAATAGAACTTTTGAGAGTGAGTTAAATATCAGGTTTCAATATTTGGTCACGACGATTAGTAAGAATGAAAGTGATGCCTCCTCATCATTTGAAAGATCATTGGCATTAAGAGGGTTTAAAGGGGAGCTAAGGTTCAATCACCCTAACAAATCCTTAACGCTCTTAGCCCAGACGAAAAATGATCAAGCTAAAAGGACCGTCGATTCGTTGTCTGGAGGTGAAAAATCTTTCACCCAAATTGCATTGTTATTGGCAATCTGGAAAGTCATGGACACTAAGGTGCGTGGCCTTGATGAGTTTGACGTTTACATGGATTCCGTAAACAGATCTATTAGTATTAAACTTTTGTTGAGCGAATTGAGAAGGTATCCCAAGTCTCAAGCAATATTTATAACCCCCCAAGATATTGCTGTCGTTGGAGATCTAGAAAGTGAAGACGTCAAAATCCATAAAATGACTGATCCAAGGAAGAACAATTGAGTAAAGGTTCATGCTATTTATTTTATATATGTACAATTTTCATGACTATGATTCTTTCATTCCTGTTTTTCACGCTTTGGTTTAACATATTTGGAGTATTTTGAAGACGCAAAGTTGATGATAATATCCTCCAAGATATCATATTCTGATCTTCTTATGTAAATAATCAGACGTTTATGGTTCGCACTTCCTGAAATGTATCGATCCAATTGGGATTTAATGGTATTGTATGTTGTTTTCTTCGCAAGCAAAATAATCGTGATAAAGTACTCATAGACTACCTCCGATAATCGAGGTTTCTTTATAGTTTGTTGATTATAATAGTAAAAATTGGCTATCTCGTTGGCCAACAGTATAAAGCCATTACTTCGATCAGTTGAGTTTTCAGTTTCGTAACTACTTAATAATAGCCTCTTACATGCTCTCAACAAGCATATGAAAGTCTCGTCCGGTATCAAAATTGGTTTCAAAATATAAGGGTAAGTTCCTGGTAATTTCACTATCATCAGAAATGCTTCTTTTACATATCCTAATTCACACAAACATTCAGTGACAAACAAATGAAGCATGAAATGACACGATTTGATACTGCTAAGAAGACCAAAAATATGGTCTTGATTCGGTGTTTCCATCAATTGTTTAACATTTTGATAAATGATTTCTCTGAAGTATGGTAAGTCGTTAAGTTCGATCAGACCCGCGATGACAGGCACATGAAGCTTCTTTCTCAAAGAGTGCACGTTTCGTTGGCACATAGGATCAAATAAAGTAACTTGACTCTCGCTTACTATCAGCTTTTCCTCTTTGTCCGTATCGGTAACGAAATTAGTGGATGCAGACTGGGATATGATATTGTTCTTAATACACTCCCTTCTTTCCCTGAAGTTATTGAATGCAGATGCCTTTAGGGTATTTAACGACAGCCTACCATCTGAGAAGTTTCTATGTCTTTTAAAGCAATAGCATAGCTCCTTGAATGCATGAAGTGCTTTCATCGTATTACCCTCATAACTATAGGCTTCAACTAATGCTATTTTGAGAGCTTTGTAGGTTTGACTATGACTAGAATAAGAAAAGAATCTTTTGAAGTATTCCAATAGCCCATCTATTCTTTTTGGATCTTTGTTTTGAACAAATATTATAGCCAAAGTTTCGAGTACTTCAGTCGATAACAAAAAAGGTATTCTAGAATTCGAATAAATATACGAAGAGGTTATTTCATCGTAGTAGGACTTATAGTTATCAACTAGTTCATGATAACATATCGTTGCACCTAAATGATGCCCGAGTTCGCAAACTTTAGATAGGTATAGTGACCATAACTCATTGCAAAGTACAAACTGGGAACTTTCCTTAAATAAAAGATGAAGGAGAGTGCTCATTTCAGTTAGTCTCTCCTCCTGAATAAGCCTATAGAAATAGACCTGAAGTAGTTTACCATCTAGATCCCTATCGGCATTAGTTGATATCATTTTGAAGACACGTTCCATGTCAATGTTTCTCATACATAATAATGATTCTAGTTCATAATTGAGACGTTGAATATTATCTCCACATCCAGAAACATCAGGAAAAAGATTTCCAGCAGCACCGTCTTGAACCTTTGTGTGACTGAGCCTTCGAGACTTCAATTGAAATGATTTTCCGTATCTAAATTCTTGTTTCAAGTGCCTTCTCAAGCTAGTACCCAGGACCAGTGCAAAGCCAGTTATGGAGACTGATTTACGACTATACCTCTTTAAAAAATGCTTGACGAAGCAAATGGTCCCTAGCTTTGAGGAATTCATAGTGTTTCCTTTTAAGCCAAGCCTGTTTGCTATGACGTTCGTTTATTCTTACTATTACTTTACAAGTATAAGTGAATCAAGAAAGTTCTGATATCGTGATTAGGTAATCATTATTTTTCACTTTTACTCTACGTCTCAAAAATTTTCGACTTCATACTCTAGTATAGTAAGATCGTTACAAACTTTGTAGTTGGTTACATGATGATCAGGGTATCACTATTACGGCCCTTGAGGGCAATTAAGGTAAAACCCACCTCGAGTCTAAGTATGGTAAAACTTTCATCAGGAATAATTCAAAGTCCCCAAGTTCGTTATAATTCAACCGGAAACAGTATTTCAGAGAAGGCTACAGAGATTAAAAATACGTTGACATCGTTTGAATCGATCCCAGATGAACCTATAACAACTCTTTCATCTGATCAAATTGGGTACTTGGATTCAATTGGGATGGCTCAAGGATTTGGCCCCACTGCTTTACTTGAAAGACTATTGGAGATTTCTCATGTGTATACGGGACTTCCTTGGTGGGGAACTATCGTTTTCACAACTGTTGCAGTCAGACTTGTGATGTTTCCTTTGTATGTGAAGTCTTCCATAAATGCTGCCAAAATGACGGAGATTAAACCTCAACTTGATCAAGTGATGAAAGATCTCAAGGGAGCCGAGAGTCCTCAAGATCAAGTAAGAGCAGCACATAAAAGAAAAGCCTTGATGAAAGAGCATGATATTCATATGTCACATCAGTTGCTTCCAATGGTGCAGCTACCAATTGCGTATGGGTTCTTTCAGGCGACAAGGAAAATGGCGAATTTCCCCGTTGATGGTTTTCAGACACAAGGGTATGCGTGGTTCCAGGATTTGAGTCAAGTTGATCCCTATTGTGGACTTCAAGTTATAGCTGCTGCCCTTGTTGTGTACATGGTTCGATTAGGAGGAGAGACAGGAGCTGCGACAATGAACCCAATGATGAAAAAGGTTATGACTTATGTCCCAATCTTATCCATTTTCGTTACTAAGGAACTCTCAGCTGCAGTGGTGTTATACTTTGCTGCCAATGGTTTGTTTTCATTCATTCAAGCAATGGTTTTGAGAAATAAATATTTCCGTAAATTGGCAAACATGCCACCAATCGTCAAGCCACAGGCAGTTCCTGGTTCAAGCGAGCCTACTACTGTGACCGAATGGTGGAAGGACTTTAACCAGAATATGAATAAAAACGTTGAGAACAAAATGAAGACAACAAATACAAAATTAGGAGCGATCGAGAAAAGGAAAAGTGGTGCAAATGGCGGTTTCATAAAAAGACATTAAATAATCGAATTCTACTTGTAAATACTTTTTTCACCATAGAGTGAATATTATACAATTGTCCGTGTCACTAGTATGTAGCATTGCAAAATGAATATTTATCTCTAATGTCTTGTTGAATCCCTCTTAATTATATTTCATCAAAAATCTGGCAGAAGTGAACAATCATATACTCTAAAATTGAATTCATCACACCGAAATTATTAATAAGGGAATCTAATGAACTTGCTTCAGTTAAGGCGGGGCCAATAACAGTTGCAAGATTCGATGCAGTCATCTTATTTTCGTCGCTAAATTGGCAGATTTTTTGCAAGTGTTTGGTTAGAGCCTTCAAAGTATAATAATTAACAGGAGGCAAAAAGCCCAATATTTCCTTATAGATCTCAAAAGAGCGTTCGTCATTTTCATTTTGATCCTCGCTTACCTTTTGTCGTGCATTTTGCTTGAAAGCAATAAACGACTCGATAACCTTATCCGTGAGGAGTGCTTCAGGAAGCTCTCTGAAATAGGATTTGACAACGCTTGTTAAAGTATGAACACCATAATTTTTTGCAATGTATAACGAGCCCGTCTTATCTATGTAAGACTTTACATTGTTCAACTCACTTAGAGATGTACTTATCCTGTAAATTCCAACATCCTTTAGTCCTTCACTTTCTATCACCTCAAACATGACATTCAAAAACTTAGGAGACAAGGATTGTTCCCTACTGCAAATCAAGTTCAAAGGTAAGCCAAAAGTCAAATTTGAGCTACTAAACTTTAAGTTTAGCGTCTTTGAATAGAACCAATGTCTGTTGGCGTAGTTCAAGTTGACCAACCAACTATTCATTGATGCTTCATCAGTTGCCTGAAAAAGATAATCTTCACTAGAAAGCTCTGAGTCTATTTTGAAACAAAAAGGTAGCAAGTAAACGGGAAATATTTTCTTCGACTTTAAAGGAATGACAGCAAGAGGCTTTTGTCTCGGCTCAATTTGGGTCTCAGGGTTTGGAAGCTCTTTGCTGTCAACAACCCTCTCGGAAACATTCGATGTCAAACCATTTAACGAGAAAGGTCTATTTTTCGTGAAAATTCCGCTGATTTTAAACCTCGAGCTAGAATTTGATTTATACGAAAGCGATTGTCGTCTATTAGAAGGCACAGAAGTCTTCTTAACTAAAGCCTGGTCTGAGGAGGGGCCCTTATCTGAGCTCTTATCTTCAGTATAGCTCGATAACTGCTTTTTCTTATTATCTGCAACTAAAATTTTGTATTCCTCTCTCAAAACAGACTGGAAAATGTGGATTTTATCTTTCTCCAAAGAACTGAACTCTTTTAAACTGTGACTGTTAACTAAAGATTCGTCCAACTTCAATAAAAATTCGAATTCTCTAGTATCATTCAAGTTGATATCAGATGCATCAACTTCTTCAATAGCAAGCTCCTTGATAAACTTGTATATCAAGTAGCGCTTATTGAAGTTTATATTCAACTTGTAAAAGCTTGGACATTTGTTGATCTCGAGGAGATTTTCAATCACCCAACCAAAACAAGGCAACAAAGACTCCAGGTTTTGGAGACTGGCACGAGTTACACTACGCGGCAATAACAGATCTAAATCATCATAGGACCTCAAATGACTATCACCATTCAATGACTCTGCAGCTTGTATCCATTGAGTAGAAAATACCCGACTCTCCGGCGCATAAATAACGTTTATGACAGCTGTCTCGATACAGGAGGGAATTTTTTTGTTATATCCTTCAAAACCAAATTCACCCATCTTCACCGAACATAGTTTGGCCATGATAAGTAAAGTTTTCATTCTATCTAACCTCTCCTCTAGTGTGATATTTAAGTCACACAATTGTATCAAAAGGTATGCCGAGAATTTGTAGTATATTTTGAACAATTTTCTGAAAACCAAAGGAAACTTCTTCAAAACTAACTGCTTCTGCTTAGAATCAACAAACGATTCAAAAAATTTGAAAATATTCGACACTGTTAAATTATTCTCACTTGTGTTGGCTCTTTGTAAATTAAAGTAGAATAAGGTATTTTCCTCGAAGTGATACTCAAGTATTTCGAATACTTTCATCCAGTCTTCCATTCTAATACCATGGTAGAAGATCGCCAACAAGCGATTAAATTTATGCAAAAATTTTTCAATTTTAGCTACATTCTTATGACCTGGCAAATTACGATTCATTGGGACCTCATGCAAAGAATTTGTAAATCGGAATTCATTAATTAGGAAAGAATCAAACTTCAGTGTTTCGACTGGTCTATAAGTCTTTTTAATGAATAATTTCTTCAACTTTTTATAGTAGTTTACTAAACTTTCAAACGATCTTTCAAGACTAGAATCAATCTTGCTGGAATTATACCACTGTAATATTTCATTGCTGAATAACTTCAAAAGCTTGATCAATATCTTTTTATTTTCGAGATTCAATGAAAAGTTTGAATAAAAGTTATTCAAAAGAACAATTAATACTTTCAAAATATTGATTTGAATTTTTAATAAGAGCTCATAGTCAACTTCTCCCAAGGTATTTAAATCCACAGTAGGGTCTAAGTCCCAGTTCGGAAACTCTACTTCTTTGTCGCCGCTTTGACTTTTTTTCACAGCCAATTTCTTCATGACCGATATCACCGCATTGCCTGAGTTGATAAAGCGATGTGCAAGCATATCTAATAAGTCCTTTGTTGAAATAAAAGATGTATAATTTAGTAAGAAGACGAACCGATACTCAACCAAGTCAACGGCAATCAGCTCATCAAAATATTTCGCGTCAATCAAAAGCAAATCCACTAACTTGTTAATAGAAGCGTATTTTGGAATATATTTGTGCTTCAAATGCTGCCCTACACTACCAGAGTCCGAAGACAACAGTCTGTATTCATGGTTATGCGAGACGTTATCTTGCGTCGCCAGTAAAGTCTTTGGAGAGCCATGCTTTGTAGAAATGCTAATATTATTGAATTTTTCCGAGCTAAGAATTACGTCAACATCTATGCCTAAACCAGATAGGTCATCGTCATCATTAGGATGCTCCACATCTCCCATATAATTAAGCATCAAGGAATCTGAAGTAAAGCTTTCTGAGTCGGCCAAAAAATCATCAATCCTGAATGTCAAATCTTTATCTACCTCAAAAGTCTGTTTACTTAAAGGAGATAATAGCGGTCCACTGATGGATACATCATTATTTGCATGAGAATTGGGGACCAACTCATCGTAGACAGATAACTTGATCTTGAAATAGTTGTTATTAAATGTTGGCACTTTTGAGCAGCTGGAATCACTCAAGCTAGTTTTCTGATCGTTCGATGTGCTGCTCAATATATCGGCTGTAACACTTGCGTCCGTAATATCAGACTCACTTGAATTTGCAGATCGATCAGAAAAGCAGCTCATATTTCTATTACCGGGATCAGCGGGTGACGCAGATACTGTGTTGTTTATCGATGGCTGTAAGTAAGCCTCTTGTAAGTCAGGTTCTAACATTAATGACATCTTCATAATTTGTTCCAAATTGAGTGATTCACAATTAACTTCAAGTAACTTTAACAAGTTATTATATAGCTCCATATCAGTATCGACTTGGCTCGATGAATTCGATGATTCATCCTTTGACTTTGGATATGAAGGATGTTTTGCATCATCATTATTTACACCAAGATATAAAACTTGATTAATACTTTCATTTGAAAATATGAACCCCATGTTGTCATATCTTTTTAAAACATCATCATTATATTTTATTATTTCGTCATAATTTGAAAGGTTCGATAAATACTCATTCCATCTATTGAAAGAATAATTTATCCTTCTCCATATGGGTTCTAGTTCATTAATATTCGTAGAGTTGTTATTAATAAAAAAGTCGCCAAAATATGGAATTACCTTCTCCTTAGGATATATTTTACCCAATCCTCTAGGGGCCATAATATGATACGAATCTTTGGATATTTCTTCACCTGAATCAAGGGGTTTAGATTCATCTGGAGTTCCCTGAGAATTTATGGAGTCATTTGCCAAGTGCCTGCGGTCCAATTCGAACAAGACTGGGGACCAATCATTTTTCAATAACTTCAAATACTCTGGAGATACCAAAGACCACATCTTCGTTAATCGTAAAACGGGCTGGGATAAAATAACTGATGATATTCCGAGCCATGAAGACATATTTCCAGTTTTATCCAACAAACAACCCAAATCTATCCATTTCTCCAATAAACGAGCTTTTCTCTCCAAACTAATTAATGAAGCCAGCTTCTCGCCAAAAAGGTGGTGTATGAAAAGCCTCGACAAATAATGGATGTGTGTCTCATTATTGAAAATCAAAGGATTTTTTTTGTAAAATGAATTTGCCAAACCAGAAGTATCTTTCAAGGAAGATGCTAGCAATAATGACTTGTCAATATTGGAATTCCATTTAGTGAAAAATTTTAAATCAACTTCTCCAACCGCGTTAACAAACTTAATTAAGTTCGTTTGCATAAACGCGGTGGAGCTTATATCTCGGAGTGGGTTTATAGAGGGATCCAGGTTACTGTTAGAAACAATATCAATCAAAAATTGTTGATATGAGAGCATATCACTTTTGAATTGCTTGATTTTCAAAGATTCGCTTTCATCACCTTGCATTTGATTCGTTATAAGCTCAAGAATCTTTATTATATGAGGGGCAACATCGGATTTTAAAAGAAATCCAACAAAATTATCTTGAACATTGGATAGTAACTTTAAAGACCTATCTGTGACAAGGGCGTCATTGCGAGCACCCTGTAGTCTTCCGGTATTCGACAATTCGACATAATTACACCATAGCTCAAGAGCTTTGTCAAAATTGGGAAATAGAGGTAATATGTCTATAGCACTTGTCACTGCGGGTATATTTTGGCCATCATCATCAAAAAGCACAAAGTGAACAATTGATTCGAGCGAAGAAGTGTTTAAAAATGACCTCGATTCAAAATCGTAGTTTAAGTCAGGGTGAGGCGAAGCGGTATTGAAATAGGTAATGTCGTGATTCTTATTATGCATTGAACCATCTATATGAGATGTATTATCATTTGATTGTAAAGCACTCCTTTGTTCGACTGTCCCAACTTTACCCCCAGAAAATGGTTCTTGATTGCTAGTTTGGGTCGCAACTCTAAAGCATTTCACATTGAGACCCCCAGCACGGTATAAATAAAGATGTGAACCTTTGAGTTCAGCTCTTACTGTTCTAAGTGTATGCTCACTAATCTCACTGACTCTCAGTGTATTGAGAATTCCATTAAGCCACCCATTCATAATCGTTGATGTATCGTAGTCCTGCTTAATCAAAGCAGAAACCATTCTAGTTCCACTTTTTGGGTCGCTGGTTCCTGATCCATGTTCAATGACGCTAGTAGCAGAACTACTATTGAGCTTTTCATGAATATGACTAGACTTCTCTTGTGAACTGCTCACGAGAGTTGATACTATTGTATTGCGATCATCGTTGAGCTCTTCTTCTGTTGAGACAATAGTTCCAAACTTTTCGTTACTCGCGTTATGCTTGCTCGTGTCGATTAATGGAGAGCCTGGCTGCTGGCTCTTCCTTCTATCTCTATCCTTTCTGTGAGTCCAAATCTTTCTCATGATCTTGATATAACCACGATGATGATAACTCTATCCAATTTGCTTTCAACTCAAAAGATGCTCCGATGAAAAATGTTCCGTATTTGTTTTACTCGAATCTGAGTTTCCATATATCGACGAAAGGAGTGTGTCTATTTAAATCGGGGAATTCAGCGCGTAACAACGAAGACGACGATGTCTCGTCTAATTCTGAAGACAAACCTGAATTCTTCGAGGTCACTAAGGTTAAGAGATAAGCGGATTTACATATCTATGATCTAGCTAAAATACTTGAGTCTGTATTGGTTCGAAGGGGGTATAGTATAAAGGGATCATCCACGATGAGCATATTTCTGCAACAGTTTCTGAGGGTCCTCATTAGACCGTATTCTAAAGGTATCAGAGGAGTACGCCAGTATACGGTGATAAATGCCGAAAGTGAAGCATTGAGATATAAGGAAAGAAAAGACAAGATCCAAGTTAAATCAGAACATTTTTTTCCTTCTATTCAAAAAATCAGATTTCAAAATGTTCTCAGAATTCCAAAATTTAGACAGAAATTCAACGACCATGATTTCGATCAATACGAACACAAATGGGTACCTGAGCATGTTTCTTTGGAAGGAAGAATAAAGTCAGTTCGTAGGTCCGGAAAAGGGATGTATTTCTTAGATCTAGTTCAAGATAATAGCAAAGTTCAGGTTGTTGCGAGTAATAAACTTATGAACATCTCTAAAGAAGCATTTAGCGAACTACATGGATTTCTAAGAAAGGGTGATTCAGTGACTTGTGTGGGGTTTCCATCTAGAACTAAAGTTGGTGAGTTGTCTTTGAAGTTAACTGAACCAATAAGAACTGCAGCTCCGAGTTTGAAATCAACCATGATTCCTCAAAAGATCATCAGTAAAAGCCTTATTAATAAAAATAGGGTTTTACATTATCTTGTGAATGAAGAATCAAGACAAAGGCTTATAATCAAGTCACATATAATCCAAATAATGAGAAATTTTTTTCTTGCAAGAGATTTTCTAGAAGTACAAACCCCAATGCTAGGTGGCTATGGTACTGGCGCTAATGCTGAACCTTTCAAAACCACTTCCTCTGCGTTAGATAGTGACAAAAGTTTGCAGCTAAGGGTAGCACCCGAGTTATGGTTGAAGAAACTTATAATAGGAGGATTCGACAAAATATTTGAGATAGGTCAAAGTTTTCGAAACGAGGGAATTGATCTGACCCACAACCCTGAATTTTCTACTTGTGAGTTTTATCAATCTTTCGCTTCTTTGAATGAGTTGATGGAGATTAGCGAAGCACTTCTAAAAGATATTTATGTTGCACTTGAACAAAAAACAAATAATATTTCTCTATTGCAGCGCCAGCTTCCGAATTTAACAGAAATTAGGGCAGGAGATTTCCCAAGATACGAGTTCATCCCAATTTTAGAATCTCGGACTGGGGTCCCACTTCCATGTGAGTTGACTTCAGAATCACTACTAGATTATTATAAAGTGTTGGGTCTTGACTTACCTAACATCAAGTCACCACAGAGTCTTTTAGATAATCTTTCATCCATTTATCTAGAGTCGATATCCAAGGGGAATAACACGCCCATATTTATATATAATCAGCCTTCCTTGTTGTCACCATTATCCAAATCTGCTCCTATCGCTTATGGTGCTAGAGTGTATGATGTTTCATTGAGGTTCGAGCTCTTCATAAATGGAAAGGAATATATGAATTCCTATGAAGAAGAGAATTCGCCATTTCTGCAAGCAAATAAATTCAAGTTGCAACAACTCTCGAAGTCTGAGTTCAATGATAATGACGCGTTAATACCTGATTGGGAATATGTTAAGCTGATGGAATACGGCTTACCTCCTACTGGTGGCTGGGGCTGCGGAATTGATAGATTAGCGATGCTTTTCTCAGGTACTCAAAGAATTGAAGATGTTTTGTCTTTTGGCAATTTAAGAGATGTAATTAGACAATAATTCTTGTAAATAGACTGTATTATATGATCTACGAAAGTCGTTAATTTTTCTCTTATCGCGAACTGTGTACTTTCACTGAAAAAAAAAAAAACTGTGAAGTGCTATGCATATATTTAGAAGGGCAGTAGACTTCGTGATCACTCCTTTCAAAACATAGAGATGAACTTCGATGAGAGAGAAGATAATGACGGTGTTAGGCTCTCGTGGAATTGTCTTCCGAAGTCCAAAATGCAGCATCACCGTAACGTTGTCCCATTGGGTTCTCTTTACACTCCTTTGAATAATAAATCAGAAATCCCTATCGCAGGAAAGGAGAATGTCACTTGTTGTCGGCAATGTCGATCATTCATAAACCCATTTGTTGCAATCAATGATGAGATATGGCATTGTCAATTCTGTGGGTTTTCTAATCGTATCAATGTATCACAAGGTATCCCATTGGGATTGAATCCTGAGTGTTCTACTATTGAATATCAGACTGGAAGGACAAGTAGTTTTCCGCCGCTCTTCTTTTACGTTGTTGATACTTGCTTTGATTCTGGGGATATTAAAGAGGCTTTTGAGTCACTTAAAGAATCTTTAACAATTTCATTAAGTTTGTTGCCCGAAAATGCATTAATTGGTTTTATTTCTTATGGAAAACATGTCCAAGTACATGATTTGACTAACCAGGGTGCAAGTTCGATCTACGCATTCAACGGTAATAAAGAATATACGTCAGAACAGATTCAGAAGGCCATGGGATTATTGGCACCTGGACTACGAGCTCATTCGTCACATGAACCAGATCCTATCATTCAGATCCTAGGTCCCATTGGTAAGCGTTTTGTACAACCTGTTCACTTGGTAGAGTATCAAGTCACAAAAATAATCGAAAGTTTAGTCCCAAATGTGTTTCCTCATAGCGAAATGAAAGAGAGACCAGCTCGTGCAACTGGTGTTGCCTTAGGCATAGCTGCAAATTTATTGAGTTCAATTATTGGTGTCGGTGGATCTTCTGGTGGCCATATTATGTGTTTTATAGGTGGTGCGTGTACCTATGGCCCAGGAAAGATCGTTGGCCAGCTACTAAAAGAACCTTTGAGATCTCACCATGATATCATGAAGTCGACACAAGTGAAATTGCCGTCTGTCAACCTCCAATCGACGACTCAAGCTGACTTATCCTTATTAAGAAAGGCTAAGAAATACTACTCAGGGATTGCAAAAACTCTAGTCACTATGGGATTGAGTTGTGATTTTTTTATTGGCAGTTATGATCAAATCGGCCTATTTGAAATGGAAGAAATATGCCATAAAACTGGTGGAATTGTTGTTATGAGTGATTCTTTTAGCACATCGATATTCAAGCAGAGTCTAATGAAATTTCTTCGAAAAGAGAATGAAGAGTCAGATTACCTTGACATGGCATTTAATGCCACTTTAGAGTGTCATGTTACGTCAGACTTAAAAATAAAAGGCTTAATAGGACATGCGACTGCGCTTCCGGTTAGTGAAGGAACTCCAAATTCAAAATACATTTCACATGAGAGCATAGGAGAAGGTAATACTAATTCTTGGAAATTATGTAACGCTGATACTCAAGTAACTTATGCTATATATTTTGAAAAATTGGACTCCTTGAATCTCAATTTTTCTTACATTCAGTACTTGTTCCATTATGAACATCCTTCTGGAGAGATGAGGTTAAGGGTGACAACAACTCCAATATCGATTGTCTCCGATACTGACCCTATGAGCTTAGAATCTGGTTTTGATCAAGAAACAGCACTCGTTCTTATAGCTAGAGAAGCGGTTAATAAACTTCAGCTTGATTCTAGTAACTTTTTCAAATCATATTTCGAACCATTTGATATTGTGAAACAACTAGACAAGACATTATTTGATTTTTGCTCAAGATTTGCAGTCTATCGTCAGGGTGACTTATCCTCATTTAGTCTTTCATCAACCTATGCAATGCTACCTCAATTTATGTATCACTTGAGAAGGTCTGTCCTCATAAATGTTTTCAATAGCTCCCCTGATGAAACTTGCTTTACGAGGCATGTTTTCATGCATGAGGATCTTACAAATTCTCTCATTATCATACAGCCTACGTTGTTGTCATATGATATTGATTCCTTCGGAGAAATTGATGAAAATGGAGAACCAAATACTGAAGGAATTCCTGTACTATTAGATTCCCTATCTTTAGGACACGGTAAGATTCTCCTATTAGATACCTTTTTCCAAATACTAATTTACCATGGTTCAAAAGTTGCGTCATGGAGAAAGGCTGGGTACCAAGATATGGAAGATTATTCCTATTTTAAGGAGTTCTTAGAGGCACCTAAACAAGAAGCCGTTGAAATATTAGTAGACAGATTTCCTTTGCCTCGGTTTATTGATTGTGATGAAGGAGGCTCGCAAGCAAGATTTTTAATGGCAAGATTGAATCCGTCTACAAGTTATGCAACCAATCCAAATCATCTATATGGAGCTCAGCTAGATGTTTTCACAGATGACATCAGTTTGCAGCTGTTTATGGACCACATTCAAAGGATGATAGTGGCCAAGAAGTAAGATGCCAAAAGAGGGACCCATGAGTATTAGATTTCCAAGTTTAAAAATATACAAAATCATACCTAGTAAATATGCATCACTTTCTCAATTTAAAACATGAGCTTATCATTTGTCGTCCACATCGGAATTCTTCAGTTTGGCATAATTAATTGCTTTTTTCAAGAATGTAGTCTTTTCCTCCTTTATATCCCTAGTTGAAGGCTCTAATTCTTCTACAGCCGATGCTTTCTCATTCTCTTTAGGCAAAATTTTAGTACTTTCGTTACAAGTTAGATGCTCTTGAACTTTTCCTATAAATTCTCCGTAATCATCGAATATCAAGTCAGTTCCAACTAATCTTTTCCAATTGGTTTCAAAAATTTTCCCATCTATTACTCCGAGATTATTGACAATATCGTTAGTGTTTGACTCCGCAGTAAGTGTGAGGTTTCTATTTGATATTTTCACAAGAGGTGATTCATTATTTATATCTGTGATTTGAAATTGGGAGGAAGGACGTATTAGATTGATTTTACTTATGGTAGACTCAAAATTATTTGAGTCCTCGAAATTTTGACTCTTTGCTGCCACTGGGATATCAATGGTGACAAAAAAATCCTTTTTTAGTTAGTAAAAATATTTGTTTATTCTGTATAAAATTTACGAACGTACCTCGTACTGCTTCGAGTCCACTGGATCCCCTTCGGACATAGCGTTTGCTTCACTGCTTGAAACCTTGGAAACATGGTCTATTTCTTTCTTTTCAGCTGCTTCTTTACGTGCTTTGATATCCTCATCAGAGCCTGCTTCAAATTTAGAGTGAAAGTCCCAGTTCATTTCTTCACCATCTTTTAAAAAGTCACAATTTCCATTCATGGTGATGATCCATCTGTTATCTTTCTTCACATATTTATCTAGTGAGCAAGCGCCAGCTCTCAAGAGTGAGCCCTGGTCATCTAAGGTGTCATATACGCTCTTCCGCTTCAATAAAGTAATTCCCAAAGCAATTTTAGTTGCAGCATGTGTGACAATGAGGATATTTTTGACATTAGGAAACCTCTCTTCGAATGTCGGGATGAATGTTTTCCAAAATTCAGAAGCACGATTATATATATCTTCTTCTGTCTCACCGGACTCATTTGGCACAACCCCAACTGTTCTATCTCTATCCCAATATGACGAATCAGCAAGGCAATGAAAAAATTTTGACAATGTATCGTAATTAGCAGGTTCAGGGATAATTCCTCTTTGCTTCTTATACCATTCTCCAACACCTCTATCTATTCCCACTTTTACAGATAAAGCGTCTGAAATTGGTTCAGTTGTTTGAACACATCGGTAAAATGGCGAACTTAATATAAACCCTGGCTTCTCTTCTTCTGGAAATGAATTGATATATTCTGCCAATTGCTTTGCTTGTTCAACACCATGAGCTGCTAAAGGTGGATCACTATCAATACCAGTTGGATTAGGGGGATGCGGAGGTGGGAGCCAATTCGCTCTGTAGCCATGTCTAGCCACATATATAGTTTCTATAGTCATGTATGTTAAGTCTATACTCTTTACTTTAACTTATATTGCGTTATTGTATTTAACTGACTCGTGTTTACTCTATGGTGTCCGAACAATTTTGTGTAACATTGTTTAGATCTGAGTTGAGTTTGTCTTTCAACGCACTCCCGCTACAAGAATGATAGATCCAGTGTTCATGGCGAGATCACATCTACATTCTAACTATTTCTAGACTTATTTTAATTTCAAAATGATATGAAGTTTAAGATATATTGTAATTATAGTCTTGAGTTGCTGGCACGTAAGTAAATTAAATCAACATCTCTAATGGATTTTCGACGATCTTCTTCAAAGCTTTTATCCATTCACCACCTAAGGCCCCATCCACAACTTTATGATCAAAAGAACCAACAATTGTGATGACATCATCGAAAACAAAACCTTGCTCATTCACCTCTGAAGGAACAGCTTTCTTCGTGACGGTACCAATTGCAACAATAGCACACTGTGGTGGATTGATGATAGAAGTAAAACTGTTGACAGCATGATTCATACCTAAGTTTGAAATGGTAATAGTACCACCTTGATATTCTTCTGGACTCAATTTTCCTTCTTTAGCCTTCTTTCCAAGAGCCTTGATTTCCTTCGAAATAGCAGCTAAACCCTTGGTGTCTGCATCTTTGACAATTGGAGTAATCAAGCCAGTAGGAGTTGCAACTGCGACCGAAACATCTACAGCTTTGTATGTTCTGATAATTCCTTGGTCACCTAACCAAGCTGAATTAACCTCTGGTACTCTTAAAGATGCTAAAGCAATAGCCTTAATCAAAAGGTCGTTAATTGATAATCTGTATCTATCTTCAGCCGACGCATTGAGGGATTGACGTAATTTTAACAACTTTGAAACAGAGATCTCGGAAGAAACTATGTATGATGGGCATTCTTGGGTGGATTGGGTCAACCTCTTGGCAATAGTTTTTCTCATATTGGTGAGAGGTGTATCTTTATAAGTTGGACCAGGAGCTGTTCCAGCACCAGCAGAAGGTGTTGGGGTGGCATTTTCGAGATCCTTCGCAACGATTCTACCATTTGGTCCTGACCCCTTGATGTTTTTCAACGAAATTCCCTTGTCTAAAGCAATAGTTTTGGCTAAGGGAGATGCGAAAATTCTATTGACAGGTTTCTTTGACAGAGATGAAGGAGATGAAGGTTTTGGAGATTCAGACTTTGATTCTTTCGGCTCATCCTTAGATGTGTCATCTTTTTGTTCCTCTTTGGCAGCTGGAGGAGCAGATGCCCCACTGTCTCCAGCATCTTCAGCAGTGAAATTTTCAAAGGCCGGGACACTATCAGCATCCTCGACATAAACTGCAATAGGCTTTCCAACTGGAATGTCTTGTGTACCTGCTTCTAATAAGATTTTAGCAAGGTAGCCATCTTCCTGAAATTCAAAATCCATTGTAGCTTTATCTGTCTCAATTTCAGCAATTGGCTCTCCAGGCAGCAATTTATCGCCAACTTTCTTTGACCACGCAGCTATGTTACCTTGTGTCATTGTTGGGGATAAGGCCGGCATGTTAATAACAGTATGTGGTGGAAATTTGCCTGATGAATACAATCTTGCTAACTGTAAATATGAGAATCTATGTTGCCTGGTGCAAGCAACAGCACGCGTTGCCAAACTGGTCCTAGAAGCAGCAAATAAAGCAGACATCCTTCAACTTTTTTACTAAAAGATTTTATTTACACCAAACTTTAGTATGAATATTTAATTCTATAAACCCAATATATTCCTCACTAGCATCGAATGTTATCTCTCAGTCGCATGGTTGTCTCCCGACTTTGTTAGGTTTTTGTGTGATGTTTCGGATATAAATGTCCGCCACAGAGACATTTAACTATAAAATTATAAACCGTTGAATATAGAGCGCTTCATTTAAAGCACGACATCTTGAGAACCATAATGTCTTATATCGATTCTACCTTCACCCTGCTCACTACTAGAATTATTAAAGAAATCGGAAACGTTGCCATATGAACTCTCCTGCTTTACACATTGTTCCTCGTAGACCACATTTGCAGCCCCATTTCTTTGAAGACTATCCTTTGCTGTTTGCCACAGAAATCGAATAATGCCAAAGTTCCAACCAAATACTTTATCAACATTGCCATTGAGCCATGAACTGGTATTTGGATCAGAAGGATAACCCGAGCCTATATTTGCTCCTACCAAAGTGGATAAGTTAACGTTGAAGTATCCTAAGTTTAAATCTCTAGTTACTTTCGCAACAATTGATGCGGTACTTACAATTGGATATATACTATCCGCTTTTTTTGCTACTGTTACCTCAATACCTGGGAATTCTCTTTTTAGCTTCGCTTGATAGGAAGTTGGAGGACCGACAGTGTCGACGTATAATTTTGTCACCCTGACACCCTTGTTTAGAATGTCCTTTATTAATTGTATGGTTGTGTCATGAGCTTGGTCGTTAAGATTATACGAACCCTTTCCCAGTGTTGACTGTAACATTCCCGACAGAATATCTCTTGCTGTCATAGTTCTTGTTGCCCAGCCTACATTTCTGGCCAAAGTGTCATCCTTGCTTAACATAATTTGAAATAGCTCTAATCGCTTGTCCTCTTTCAAAGTTTTCGAGTCAGCAAATCCATATTCCCTCTTTAAACTATTCAGATATTTTTCAAGAGCATACGCTATCCCGTAAACCATTGGACCTAATACAGGACCCCTACCTGCTTCATCCACACCTAGAACGATGTCTTCATTGGGGTTAGATATAATAGCTTCAGGTATGTCTGACAAATAAGTCGATGATTGAAATTTTAAAGGATCCGCAATTGACGATACGGAAGGAGGCAACCAAGTGTGAGACTCGATTTTTCTTCTCTTAACATTAGGAGTACCCACTGAGTCTTTCTTCGTTCGATCTTCTTCACCAGCAGACATCACATTTAGCTTTCAATCTCTATCTAGATTATTAAAATTATTTAAATCGAGCTCTAATTACGCGTAATTGATATAAGGAAGTGTAAACACGCCAAACCACATACAGGAATCTTCAGAGAAAATCGAATGGACGGTAAAGACAGAAGACAGAAGTATGTACATTTATTTATATGATAAATAATTCTTCACTGTTTCGTAAGTAACAAATGTGACACAAGTAGCAGGAACAACTCGAAGAATATTTGCGCCAAAACCCTTATAAAATCCTCTCATTCTACCCTCGTCGCCCCATATACCTTTAGCAACACTAATGATGCCTCGTTTCTCATTTTGTGGGTTATAACTTTGTAATCTTGTCTTTAGGACTTGAATGGGGTACATTAAGGTCATGCTAAGAACTTTTGAGAGTGCTGAGGAATAAATATATTCAGTCGTCGATAGCTTGGAGGTGTTATGTCTACTTGTGAAAAAGTTTTTGGAATGATCATATAACGTAAGCTGAATACTCGCTTGAAAAACTTGAAGCATACTAGGAGTAGTACCCTTCCAGAACCCTGCTATTCCTTCGCGTTGGTATATTTGTGAAATACCATCTCTTAAAGATTTATAAGCATAGACGTCGTACTTTGAAGAACCTAGGATCCTGGTTTTCAACACCCAAATAGGATTCGTGATTACGGAACATGTAAGACCTGTAAGCGTCGAAGAGGTAAAATAGTCGACGGTCTTATTAGATGTGTGTATAATCCCTTTAAGTTCGGCATAAATGGTAAAATATAATGACCATGCCGTAATGTTTCCTATGAGATTTGGTGCTATCCCTCTGTAGCACTGAATAATGGTATGAGGAAACTTGTATTGCTTCAATATAATGTTATTGGAGTTGTAGTTTGCATATTCTGTAATTGCTGACTTGTTAATTTCCGAAAGAACTTTAGCTATGGATGAAAATGGTGCTCTACTTGGTTCCTTAAGTAATTGAAGTCGAATCTTGATCAAATCAAGAGGATGAAACACTAATGTAGTAACAAAACCTGCTGATAAGCCCGCTATAGTTTCGATTTTTCGTCTTCCTATGCTTTCATTATTCATCTGAATATGTGAAATACAGTGCCAGAAGCTTGTTTCAATTGGTTTCTAATTGAGAGCAAAGCAAATGTAAAGTCAGTGATTTTTGATATTTATATTAAATTTGCGAAACTCTAGATAGTCCAAAATATTCGACAAGCTCAACAGATAGCCTGAACCTACCTGAAAACTGAGGATGCCTCTTGGACTACGCTATAGTTGATGTTCGAGAGTTTCTACAACCTTTGTAAATTATTCCGAAATACTTTGAAAACTATATACATCACGTATTACAGACTGCTGCATAAATGAATATGATGCCTCAAGATGAAGACAATGATCTTAAATGTTCATTCTTCCTATGATTTGAGTCTCGCTCTAAATGAACAATCTTACTTTCCTTTGATGAAATTTGTTTCGTATTTCGAAGAGTTTAAACGACAATATTCACTAAAGATTTAACATCATCTATCTGTTCATAATATACAGCGTAGCTGCAGCATCTATGAAGATGGAAATGGACTTAATAAGTTGAATAACGAAGGCTTGTTCGGTGTAGCTGACCAACCTAAGTATAATACAAATGGGATGAAGCCGTAATGAGCAATTGTTTTAGAGTAATCCAAAACCTTTAATAATCTTTCTTTTGACTCATCTGACAATTGGTATTGATTAGAAACCATTTTCAGGACTCTAGTTTCTACTTCTGTATAAATGAATAATAGTTAAATAAATTATTAAATTGTTCGTCAACTTCGTGATCAAATGGAACAGAAAAAAAAAAGAAAAATAATGTACAGGATAAAATCGACATAAGAATTGCAAATTGAGAACGATTACACATTAATTTAAGGGCCAGTACCTGATCTTCTATGCAAATACCCTAACCGGGTGCTTGAGGCATCATACAGTATTAGTCATGAATCTAATACCTAAAAAGAGAACTGCTTTGCAGTCATATGTGTTAGTTACTCTCTGTTCTCATCAATATCTTCTCTTGTTGGCTTTCTTTTATATAATTAAACGATAATGATTGTATTTTTCACCAAAAACCTTAGCATTTTGTTTTAGTGATTATCTTAATTCCATATTCGCCAGCTCTCTTTTCACTGTTCCGGTTTAATTTAAGCAGCTTAAATTATTGCAGCATGTCGTCAAACTTGTAAAAATAACATTCGCAATAGTAACTTTTGCTCCAGTTTTTCACTCACAAGATATTCATAAAACTCCCATAGTGGACCTCATTAGAGGAAATAGGGTAAGATGAAGGTTCTATATAAAAGTGAAAACAGGACCATTGCTCTATATTCGGACACATGTTCGCTACTTTTCAGACAATTAACGAAAAAGTCGACGAACTCATGGGGTCCGTCCGTGGCTGTCGAAGTAGCTCCCAACGATCAAATCAGCAAAGAAAATGGCTATAAAGTCTTAATTAGTAGAGATGTCCATGGATGTCTCGGCCTCATTACTGTTGAGGAACAGGTTTTCTTGGTTGTCATTACAGGAGCAATTAAGGAAATAGCACAGCCTTTGAGATATGAGACTGTTGATAAGATATATTCAGTGGAGTTCGTGTCGTTGACTAGTGACGAATGGGACTTTGTAACTTTGGATCCTAATGGAATGCCAGTTCAATCTTCTGGGGCAGATGACTACGACGATGGAAATGACTACAACAGAACTGTACATCCCTGTTTTGAATTAAGGAAGCTATTGTCCAATGGGTCTTTCTACTATTCAAATGACTTTGATTTGACTTCTTTACTTCAAGACAGAGGTGTTTCCCGATCAAAACTATATGAGAAAAGAAGTACCCATACAAGAAAGATTAACTTCGAGCATTATCTGAAAGACTATATGTGGAATTCTTTCATGATGAAAGAACTTCTTGGTTTCCGTTCTAAATTGGATGAGTTTGGCCAAGCATTGTTAGATGACAACAAGTTTTTAACAACAGTGATAAGAGGCTGTGCATCTACTGTAGCTTTAGGCCGGCCGGGTGATTCTTTGACCATTATATCAAAACAGTCGTGGAAGAGAGCAGGAACGAGATTCAATGCTAGAGGCATTGACGATAACGGGGATGTTGCGAACTTTGTCGAGACAGAAGTTATCTTTAGTCGCTTACTGCAAGGGCTGATATTTGCCTTTACGGAGGTAAGAGGCTCTGTTCCCGCGTTTTGGGAACAAGATTCGACATTGATAAACCCTAAGATAACACTAACTAGATCATTGGAAGCAACGCAGCCTATTTTTAATAAGCATTTCTTAGATTTGAAACACAAGTACGATACATGTCACATTGTGAACTTGCTATCTAAAACAAAACCTGCAGAAGCATCTTTACTGAGGCGCTACAAAGATTTATATAATAATTTTGACCAAAAGCAGGACATGCCTTTTACTGAGTTTGATTTTCATAATGAAACTAAACAGAGCGGAGGTTTTGCCGGGGCTGCAAAGATCTTACCTCTTTTGGAAAACACGTTAGCCCAGATTGGTTGGTTCTCATTTGATGTTGAGCATGACGAAGTAATAACAAGACAGAACGGTGTATTTCGAGTCAATTGCTTGGACTGCTTAGACCGCACAAATCTTGTTCAACAGGTTATAAGTCAAAATGTCCTAGAACACATTTTGATGAATCAGTCAACAAATGGATCAGGATATCGGGAGCGATTCGCGTCAGATGAAATCATCACCCGACACAATTCAATTTGGGCTGATAACGGCGACGCAATCTCCCAGATTTACACTGGAACCAACGCATTAAAGTCCTCTTATACTCGATCAGGGAAAATGAACTTCGCAGGTGCCATTTCTGACGTAACTAAATCAGTTTCGCGAATGTATCAAAATACGTTTATTGATGGTAGAAAGCAGTCGACTATGGACTTATTACTTGGCTATGATGCAAAGAACTCAAAGCCGGTCAAGATCTATGATCCAATCAATGATTATGTTCAAGAAAAATTGAAGGAGCAGTCTAGTGCATTCACGACATGGAGTAACATTACAGTATTTGTGGGTACTTTCAATGTTAATGCGGCTTCCCCAAGTAATGCTCTTGATTTAACAAGTTGGCTTTTTCCTCCTGAGATTGCCGATACTTCTCTACCTGACATATACGCTATTGGACTACAGGAGATGATTGAGTTAAATGCTGGCTCGATTTTGTCAGCCGATAACAGCAAACCAACGCAGTGGGCCAACTTGATCAACAAACAGCTTAATTCACAAAGGGAATCTTACTTATTATTACGTACAGAGGCTATTTCCTCGATCTCGTTATTTTTGTTCGTGAAAAAATCTCAAGTGAGTAGAGTCAAACAAGTTGCCGGCTCTTCAAAAAAGACTGGAATGGGTGGAATTACTGCCAACAAAGGTGCATGTGGTGTTAGGTTTGATTTCGGTCTGACATCCATTGCGTTAGTGACGTCACACTTGGCCGCTGGTACCACCGCTGTCGTGGAAAGATATAATGAATATCAAACTATTATGCAAGGCTTGAAGTTTACAAGAAACTATACTTTGAGCGATCATGACCATATAGTATGGTTTGGTGACCTTAACTATAGAATATCCATGCCAAACGAACGCGTGAGGTCTTTGATTGATAGTGGTGCGTTTGATGAGTTACTTCAAAATGACCAATTGAATCAAGAGCTTTCTCAAAAAGGTGCCTTTAGTATTTTCAATGAAGGAGTAATTAAGTTCTACCCAACTTACAAATTTGATAAGGGAACTTCGAACTATGATACCTCTGAGAAGCAAAGAGTTCCTTCTTGGACAGATAGGATTCTTTACAAGAGTTCAAATGGCTTGGAAAAAATCCAACAATTGAGTTACCGATCATTAATGGATATATACATCAGTGATCACAAGCCAGTTTTCTCTCTTTTCAAATGCAAAGTTAAGTTTGTTGATGAACCCAAGCGACTTGAGATGGCTAAATTCTTGTATGAGGATTTTAAGAAGTATCATGGTGATCAAGGAGATATATCTCTAGTTGAAATATCTGACAGTGCTTCGTCTACGAAACCTTCTTCATCTAAGGATTCGAGTTTTACCGCTGATACTTTATCGGAAATGAATCTCTTGGATGACTTCGAAACTTCCGGTCCCAAACTACCTCCACGTCCCTCAAGTGCCAAGTATGCTTCACCTAGGAGAATACCACCCCCTCCAGCAAGTCGAAATATTTCTGCGAAGGCACAGACTGAACCTCTCAATAACGCAAATTCTACTTCCTCAAGCATTCCACCACCTCCTCCTCCCCCAAGAAAAACAACCTCAGAAGTGAAAGTCCCGGTTGGATTTTCGGCTACGCCTTTAGTTCCAAATAGGTCTCATTCTGGAACCCCATCGAAAGGCTCCCCAGTTGTAACACCCAATAATACATCACTGGATATCAAAAAACCGCTTATACCAGCTAAGCCATTGTCATTGGCGTCTGCAAAAACTGATGGTGAAAGACCAAAATCCCCCGAAAAAAGCGATAGAGTGCAGGTTAGGCGCAGCCCAGTCCCTCCTCCTCCTCCTAGAACACTGACTAACAACAAACAAGTCGAAGTATCTAATTCTCCAAGAACAATGGCAGATTGGGCTCCTCTAGTTCCAAAATAACTTTAGATTTATTTAAGCATTCATAGATCTTTATATACACACCATAATTGATATTATTGACAATTACTGAAAGCTGTTGAATAGAACAGATAAGTTGATAAGTTCTTACACAAGGAATGAGTACTACTTCGAAAAGATTAAAGAATCTATCCATATCTGTTCCAGTGCTCTATGGAAATAATGCAGTGAAGCTTGCCCCCGAGAAAAGGACTGAGCGTACACCTCCGGATCATACTCATGAGTGGACCGTATTTATTAAACCTGCCCTAGATAACATAGATCTTACTCCCTTAATAAAAAAAGTGACTTTTAGACTACATGAAACTTATGATACCCCAGTACGCACCATCGAACAACCACCTTATGAGGTTACAGAAACTGGATGGGGCGAATTCGAAATCATAATAAAAATACATTTTCATTCAGGTGCTGAGCTTGGCATAAACGAGAAAAACTTCCAAATATTTCATGGCTTGAAGCTTCATCCTTTCAATCCCCAAATCCCTCAAAAGGAAAATGGTGAGGTGCATTCTGTAATGTTTGATGAATTAGTATTTCAAGATCCTACTGAAAAGGTATTCGAAATCCTTACTCGAAAACCATGCAATTTGCTCCCTTACCAGTTATCAGATGAGTCCAAAAGAGATCAAGAGTACATAAGGACGGACGAGTTGGATGAATTGGCAAGGTTGGATGTATATGTAAATAGGGTGAAGGAAGAAGTTGAAAAACAAAAGTCTGAGTTTCAAGATCTAGAATTGCAAAAGGCGGCCTTGCTACAATAGGGTGAATGGCACGTTCAATATTCTATAGTTTGTATAATACCAGTTAAATTTTATGTCGATATGTATGCTAAACAGTAAACGTCTTGCATTTCTGAAGTGCGAACTGAAAGTTACGAGAAACGAAAAGAAATGAACTTCCATTAAAGTTTATATCTATTCAATTGGTATCTTCGGCGTCCAATTCTATATGCCTTTACAAGATTCAGCCATACCTAATAAGTAACTTCAAGTAACTCACGCTGTATTGATAAAGATACGAAGCAATAAGATACATCATGAGACAAATCTCACATTTTCATCCTTCAATATATAGCAAATTACAGGAATTCAAGTTTGTGTTGGCTTCATCTTCTCCCAGAAGGTTATCTATAGTCAAAGACAATTTGGGTCTACATAATGTTTTAGTCATCCCTTCGAATTTTGAAGAGAATTTACTGAAATCAGAGAATACAGTGCAAGAGTACGTACGAAAAACGTCGTTAATGAAAGCAGAATTTGTTTCAAGAGACTTAAGGGAACAAAATCGAAATGAAAAATACATTGTTTTGTCCGCAGATACTATAATTGCTTGTAACAATAAGATATTTGAAAAACCACTCAATAAAGCCAAGCAACGGGAAGCCTTCAATCAATACAAGGAGCATCCAAAGATCCAAGTTATCACTTCAATAGTGCTCACAAAGATTGATGAAGGACGTATAACTGTTAAACAAGACTTTGAAATTACAAACCTTGTATTTGATAGCGATCTTTCTCAGGATGTAATCGATGCTTACATTGATTGTGAAGAAGGCTTGAATGTAGCAGGGGGATTTAAATTTCAAAATATCGGTAGCTTGTTATTCAAGTCCATAGAAGGCGATTACTTTAATGTAGTTGGACTACCTGTACGCCGTACCTTCCATATGCTTGAATCTTTGTTAAAGTAATAGAGTTCATAGGCACTCTATGCTTAAGAAATTTCAAGCAAAACCTGCATTCTCCAATTTTATCCTGTATATATTGTTTAAAGGAAAAGAAAATTTTAGATGAGCATCGAGTAGAATCCCAATCTTTTTCATCGTGAAGTCTTTATACATCGTTCAAAAACCACTCTATAATGGTTCGTAAAAGTGTCGAAGCAGAGCTGGTTAAGCAGTCTGAAAAAGAAGCTGATTTGCTACAAATTCAACTGTCTTCATCGTCAGGAGATGAGTTATCATCGGAAGAAGAAAGTGACATTGAAGGCCTCTCCAGTGAAGAAGAGTCACAGAATGAAGATGACTCTGAAGGTGAGCTAAACTCTGAGATAGAAAATAAAACAGTTGCTGAACGTCCATCCCTGTTATCGGGGCATTCAGTCAACAAGACGGTCAAACGTATCTCACCTCAGAAAGAAAGTACTAGGCACAAAAGAGCTATCATATACATAGGAAGAATTCCCCATGGATTCTATGAAGATGAGATGAAAAAGTATTTTACGCAGTTTGGTAATATCATAAATTTGAAACTCTCTAGAAATAAGAAAACTGGGAAGTCAAAGCATTATGGCTTTGTTGAGTTTGACGATTACGAAGTGGCCAAAATCGCAAGCGAGACAATGAACAATTATCTTATTTTTGGTCATTTATTGAAGTGCAAATTAGTTGACGGCTCGCATGTGCACGAGTCTATGTTCAATCTGTCTGGAAAATTCAAGGTTCTCCCATGGAAGAAAATTAGTAAACACAGGCACGATAAACCCAAATCAAAAGAGCAATGGGAAGGTTTAGTAAAAAAGCATGAGCAGAGAAAGGCATCCAAACTTAGAGAGTTGAAAAAAAAGGGCATCGATTTTGATTTAGCAGCTATATAATGAATGTATCAGGTTTACGTTGGCAATGCTAGTAACCCATGTACTCATGTAGTAGAATATATACCGGAATTAAAAGTCTGACCCAAATTCAGAAACGGCGCAGCGAGAACATACGCTCTTCCTAGAGAGTTTTCACAATTCTCAAGCGCAGCGTTCTGCGGCTCAGATGCTGCCCTACTAAGGCAACGGATCGCGATAGTGCTGAAGATTTTGTTTTTCAAGGCGGTGGGAAGAGCTGCGAGACGCTGTTCATTATTGAAAGCTTACATCATCTTTATCCTGATTGGACTCGAGTCCGGCTGGAGTAATACATAATCTCCGTGGTTTTTATTGTTTAAGCTATCACATGAAGGAGACTGTTGTCGCAGACTTCATGTGTCTTCGTTCTGTGCGCGGCTTGGGTATCATATTTTGAGTAAAGTTACCCAGATTGAAAAAAGAAAATTTATACAAAGTCGCTTATATTTCCCTCTTTCCCAACACTTATAATAGTTGAGGAGCGATAATTTATTTGATAAAATTTTATCTATTATCAAAACACTAGATCAAATCTTTGAACTTTTCTTAAAAAAAATTTCAGGATAAAATATAGAGATTATATCTGGTCCACTAATAGATCCTAATATATATAAAAATGTCCGAATTGAAGGAGTATACTTTTGATGAAATCGCCTTACATAACACTCGTGATGACTTATGGATTGTCTATAACGGAAAGGTTTACGATGTGTCACCATACATAGATGAACATCCAGGTGGTGAGGAGGTCATCCTTGATGTTGCGGGTATCGACGCTACAGAAGCTTTCAACGACATCGGCCACTCTGATGATGCACATGACATCTTGAAAGGTTTACTTATCGGTACAGCCGAGGGTGCAGTGGTCCAAGAAATTGCTCCTCAAAAACACGGTGAAACTACATCCACCGTTTCTTTACCCTTGGTGGCTGTATTGGTTTTCTTAATTGCTTTTGGAGCTTACTATTATCTTCAGAATAAATAGTGAAGTGATGAGATATAAGTTTTGATCGAATGCATATTTCATATTTAATAGATCCATATTCATCGATACATTCTTTATTTGTATAGTGTACTACTGACTGTAATGAGATCTTCCGAATTTCTTTCTAAACTTGAAGTATCTTAACTAGTGTACGGTAATGGATATGACGAAAAATATAACTTATTATGAAGACCGGAATTTTGTCTAATAGCTCTTGGAATGTTTTATGAAGCTCAGCTAGAGCAAGAAATTACTAAAGAAAACTTAATTTGCTTTCTGAGTCATGAGTTTTGAAGGGAATTAAACATCTAGAGACCGCTTCTCGGAAAATTTTGAGAATATTACATAGTATTTGTCTACCCCAGAGTCCATTAATATTTTTTTAATTTGACCTTAGATATACAAAATGTCCAAACTTTCCACAAGTCAGACTTTCTTAAAAGCGATAGGAGCAAAAATTCCAATCATTCAAGCGCCAATGGCAGGGATTTCAACTCCTGAATTGTCATATGTTGTTCAAAAGACCGGAGGAATTGGCTCTATACCTTTCGGTGGAGTTGATCTAACTAAAGGGATTGGGCCGCTTGTCAAATTGATAGAAGACTTTAAGTCGTTGAGTAGTGACTCCAATATAGTCAACTTGAATTTTTTTTGTCATGATTATAAAGAACAAGCACGGCCACTGGATGAACAAAAAAAGAATTGGATCTCATTACTAGAAGAATCCTCTGGATCAGTTATTGGTGATTTGGTCAATTTCAGGAATGCAAATGTTTCGTTGACTGAAATTGAAGATCGTTATCTGGAAATTTTTAGTGAACTTCTACAGTATTTATGTGATTATAGACCAAAAATGGTCAGCTTTCATTTTGGACATCCTTCCAAGAACGCTATATCGATTCTAAAAGACAATCAAATAATGGTTTTTGTCACAGCAACTTCGGTCCTGGAAGCGAAATATTTAGTCGATTTAGGAGTTGATGGCTTGATCTTGCAGGGATTCGAGGCAGGTGGACATAGGGGAAATTTCTTAACAACCACTTTGTTAGACGAGTGTCTTTCAACATCTGCACTATTTAAACAGGTGAAGCGCCATTTAGGTCAAAACGCTGACAAGGTCCACTTGGTACCATCTGGTGGGATCGTAGATGGCGAAACTATCGCATCATATTTATCTCAAGGAGCTTCTGCAGTTCAACTTGGTACTACGTTCTTGACTGTTCCAGAGTCTAATTCATCAGATTTTATTAAAAATCGTATTTTGCAGCACAATGGCGAACCTACGATAATGACATCCCTAGTGTCAGGTAAACCAGCAAGAGCTTTAAGGACAAAATTTTTAAAAGATTTGGTTTCTTACTATGATAAAACTCCTACTATACAAACTCAGCCACCGTATGGTTGGGCTTACAGTGCTTACAAGCAATTGGCTCAAATCAAGAAGGATCCGCAGCTTGGATTTTATTTGGCGGGACAAAATTATACACTTATTGACCCCACATTAAATACTGAACAAGTCATGAAAAAGCTCTCTTCTGAAATAAACAATAAGAACTCTTCTACTTAAATATCATAATATATGGAAAGCATATTCGAAATAAATATAATTCTGAGGCTTTTTTACGATTCAGACCTTTTGATGTGAAGGAGGTGGACCTTGAGGCGGTTGAAAGTTATCTATATTAGCCCCGTTTTGTTGTCCACTATTTTCATATCCTGGAGATGGTCCGTAGTTCTGCTGCTGTTCATATGTATTCGGCACTCCATAGTTCTGCTGCTGTTCATATGCATTCGGTGCTCCGTAGTTAGGTTGCTGGTCATAGCCAACAGGTCCATTTTGTTGCGGTGGTGGCGGCCCATAAGGACCACCAGTCTGTTGCGTATTATAATATTGATTATTAGAAGGATAGACTATACGGCCCTTTCTTTTCCTTCTTCTAACAAGAAATAGTACTAGGAAAAACGCAATTGGGACAAGAAACAATAAGAAAAGAAGCCACCTCGATCCATACCAATTATTTCTGCCATAATAGTAGAATCTTTTAGATATTTCATGACCGGCAGCTAGATCTTTTACAAACATTATATCTTATTATAATTCTAATGATTAAATGGCTAGTCTAATCTAGTTTTTTAACCAAAAAGTAGATTTCTGAAGCTCGTGTTGTAAGTAGCAATTTAAAATCTGCAGTAATTAGTAGTACTACTGACCCTAAAAAAAGAGAGATTTATTAAAGCGACATTTGGTGAATGTCGACCTGTCGTCAATATATCTTGGCATATGTAAATATAGACTCTCAGCGATGAACCAGTATATATATGGAATTCTAGAATCATTGCGATCTACTTCTCTGTAATGTAGAGTGTATTTGCTTAAGGAGGCTTTAAATTATTTGGAAGTGTAGATATAGGATGACGCGGCTGCAAATAATACAAGACTATAGCCGTACCTTTAAACTCAATTATGAATTATTTCGATTTCGATATTAGTGCACTTTTTTGTTCCATTCAAGTGTTAAATTGTATTTGGAACCAAACTTCAAGTACTATTCTCTGATACTTTTTTTGCTAATTTGTAGATTTTGTAAAATATTGAAAAATGAAACTGCAACGTACATGTTAAAAGACTACAAACCTTACGAGATTAGACTAAATGTTGCAATACTGACGAGTTTCTTTGAAGTAGCGTCTCATGTGGTTACTGTCGATCTTCCACTGCTATCACCAAGAAGAGAATTTTTAATAGTGAAAACATCATCCTTGACACCAGATGCGACATTACAAACGACATGGAGACATCACGGCTGTCAGTTCGTTATCATACTATGGAGATTACAAGTTCAAAGTCGGCAATCTCCTTGCATATTCAAAAAATCTAATAGAACAGTTTCTATTAATTCAAAGTAGCTTCCCAAGAAGGAAAACGTCGAAAATGAGTTTCTACCTCATACCATCTGCTTCGTATCAAATGCAGCAGAAGATGAAGAAGCAGAAGGGGGGAAAATCCAAACACAAAAGTCACAAACACTCGCGTGCCTCGCAAAAGGAGAGTGGCTCAATATCAGAACCAACAAGTTCGAAAGCTTCACTATCTTCTGAATCTACATCATCATCAATTTCTAAGATTCCTCCTCAAGTGCCAGCAATGGAAGAACTTAATGAAGTTGGTGCGGACGAGGTGGTCAGTAATACCGACGTTGCCAGTTTACCTGCGTCTCCAGCAAGAGCATCTTCAACTTCAGCATTTAGTATTGCTAATCAGTTTTGGTCAAATACTGATAAATTGAATAGGTCCAGCTCCCAGGTTAGTGGAAAGAGTAATGACTCATTATCGATACTTTCCAATAAGTCAGCAGATACAACGAATCAGAAATTTAGAGCCAATTCAGATCAGTACTCATCGCCTAAAGATTTAAACATCAGCCCTAAAGCTTCTGACTCCAATTTGAACTTGTCTCGAAATGCCCGACAGCCATCCGTAGTGTCTACACTTTCACAGGATAGTATGAAGGAGGATAGAAGTAAATTGCGATCTCCGGCAATAAAAATCCCCTCTCTGAAAATACCCAAGTTCAATTTGATAATAGACTTGAGCGTTATAAACTCCTCACAAGGAATTAAGGAAAACTTTTATAGTCCTGCTTTTCAATTATTTCGTTATAATAGCTTTCTCGAACTATTAAACGAGCATCACAGAGATGACCCGATCAACTTTGCAACTCTAAGACTTCAATCTTTATTCAAATTCATTTTACGTCATAGAAGTTGCAAAGATTTATCTATTAGCGGCCAAACATATGATGTGAGCTATTATGAAGGGATTCTTGCCCACCAGCTAACATGTGTGAGGAGGTTTTTGCGTAATTTAATAAGGATGCAAACAGAGGATAGGCAAAAGTTGGCAGTGAAGAATTGTGAAGAACTAATAATGATAAATTTTACTAACTATGTGAGATATTTGGTTAATTTACCTGACTCCCTGGAGGTGGTGCTTGATGAGCTGGATAACATTATACGCACTCACTATCACTTTAAGCATGTTTTCAAAGTGATAGGCAATGCTCTCTACACATTGAAAAAGGTAGATACAGGAGAAGCTATATCTTCGAACTTCAAAGAAAGTTTGACCTTACAGTCTGTTACTAAGGTATCCTATGAATACATTTTGCTTGAAATGTATCTAATTCATATATTGGCTAAATTAAACAACAATTCTATTATTGGAAGCAGGATCGCGAAGCATTTGTTTGAAGTGTACGTGGAAAGGAAAAAGGCTGAAAATGATGATCTGGTCAAAGTGTTATTTTTCAATTCAAGTTTCAGTACCCAATATTCCTGGTTTCTTGCACTTACGATACCTTTTGTCCGACTCATTGAAACCGACATATACAACGAGGATAAAAATTTAATAAATGCTCCTGATGCATATGACGAAGCCGAGAAGGATGCAGAAAAGGACACTTTCTTTAAACTGGATAGGGAGCTTGCGAAAAACTATTTCAGTTTTCTTGGATTTAAAGACTATGAGCTGTATAAAAATTCAACTCCAAAAGAACTCGTTCAACTACTTCGAAATGTCGAAAGACGTTCTCCCGTAGTTGAAGGTGTAGCTAAAAAACGTCTTCCTAATCCAAATGCTACAGTTAGCTACGGGCCAAGGAACTTTGAACACTATTCTAAAAGCTTAATGCATTTGCCCTCGGAATCATTCGATCTTGTACATAGCAGAGACATTGCACTAAATGTCACCCCAAGGAGCTATAGCATTGTCTTGAAGCAGTTTTATCGAATACTACGGGTAGGTGGAATATTGGAATTTCCTTTATTCCTTCTAGGAGAAGATGCAATAACTAAGATACAAGATATGAACTCAAGCTACTTTCCTAAAAGAGCAAAATTCATGGACCTTGATTTAGCTGAAGTCTTTGATTTAGTACCAGATATACCGCAAGCTTTCCTAAGAGAGTTGTCAACTTTATTTGGCGAGGAAAACGTAAGATATGGAATGGTACTTTTAAGTTCTGTCAATGATATGAATTCTTTCTTAGAAACACAGATATGCTTTCGTTTATTTGAGATGTTGGGAAAAATCGATGAGTTTTGCTCTTCTAAAGAAGTGGTAGGGCCCAATGAAGCTGTACATTATTTATTCTATCTTACAGCTAAGAAGTGCTAGTTTATTAATTTTGGGACGGTAACATTTTTATGTTCATATATTTTATGCATATATATTTCAAAACTGTACTGTATATTTTATTGACTCATTGAAATTTTATTTGACTGTAAAAACTCATCACCACTAAAATTTGAGCATAGTTTTGGCTTACAACATAATATATGTCGATTTTATCGATCTAGATTATAACTATGTGTAAAACAGTTTACGTTATCGATGTCGAAAGTGGTAATTTGCAATCCTTGTCAAATGCATTAAAGTACATTGGAGAATATCAGATCCAATTCATTCACAATGCTTCTGAATTTGCCCAATATGAACAACAAATCGAAAAATTGTTATTTCCCGGAGTGGGAAATTATGGACATTTTGTTAAGGAGTTGAATAAAAGGGGATTAGTGGAGCCTATAAAGAGATACCTTGAAAATGGAAGATCGTTAATGGGAATTTGTGTTGGTTTACAAGCTATTTTTGCTCGAAGTGAAGAGAGTTTAGAACCCGAATATGAAGGTTTAGGTCTCTTGGACATAGATCTAACTAAATTCAATAATAAGGATCCTGTTTTTGAAGAGCTAGAACAAACTAAGTCCGTTCCTCAAATAGGATGGAATAGCGTGGATCGCATTGTTGTCGATGGAAGGTCACTCACCGACAATGAGTCATATTATGGGATTACGCTCCACAATAAATACTATTTTGTCCACTCATATGCTGCAGTCGTAGATACTGAGGCAAAAAAGGAAGTTATACAACGGGCCATCAAACAAGGTTGGAACTTTGCCTTTAGCAAGTATGGATCGGAAACCTTTTTGGCTGCAATCTCATTTAAAAACTTTTTTGCTACCCAATTTCATCCTGAAAAATCAGGAGTTGCTGGTCTTAAAGTATTGAAAAGTTTTCTCCAAGATGACAGATTGGACTCTGTTACGTCTTCGGATATTCAAATAACGAAGGGTACAGAGTCTACTGTTGGAGGATTGACAAGGAGGATTATTGCTTGTCTTGATGTCAGATCAAATGACCATGGTGATTTGGTGGTCACAAAGGGCGACCAATATAATGTAAGAGAGTCTCTAGATTCAGGTTCTGAAGCGAAAGTCAGAAATTTGGGAAAGCCCGTCGAGCTAGCTACCAAATATTATAAACAAGGAGCTGACGAGGTTACATTTTTAAACATAACATCTTTTCGTAATTCTCCAATTAAAGATCTACCTATGTTGGAAGTCTTAAGGAGAGCAGCAGAGACAATTTTTGTTCCTTTGACCGTAGGAGGAGGTATTAGAGATATGAAAGACCCAGCGACTGGTGAGATAGTTCCCGCTGTTAAAGTGGCAGATTTATATTTTAGATCTGGAGCTGACAAGGTCAGCATTGGTTCTGATGCGGTTTGCATAGCAGAAAACTACTATGCTAATGACAAAGTCAAGACGGGGAAAACATCAATTGAGACTATCTCAAAAACATTTGGAGTTCAAGCTGTTGTTATTTCCGTAGACCCCAAAAGGGTCTATATTTCGTCGCCTTCGGACACGAAAATGGAAACTATTCAAATTACAAATCCAAGTAATTATGGCCCTAATGGCGAGAAATACTGCTACTATCAAGTGACGTCTCAGGGAGGGCGGAAGGTGCATGAATTAGGAGCTGCTGAATTATGTGTTGCTTGTGAAGATTTAGGGGCAGGGGAAATTTTGTTGAACTCTATAGATCATGACGGTTCCAACAAGGGTTTTAACTTGGAGTTGTTGAGACAAATTAAGAAAAAGGTGTCTATTCCTGTGATTGCCAGTTCTGGTGCTGGTAAGCCTGACCACTTCAAAGAAGTCTTTGAATTAGAATGTGGTATAGATGCAGCCCTTGGTGCTGGTCTCTTCCATAGAGGAGAATATTCTGTGAATGACGTCAAGAGGTATTTACAATCAAAAGCCAATATGGACGTAAGACTAGATGACAATATCGAACTTTAAAAGGGTAAATGATAGAACTGTTTTTAATTAATTACTTTATATACACTCTGTAACAGAATCTAAGTTGCAATAAATTATTATATTTAGATCGCAGGATTCAAATCTACTTTGCTTCTCTAAGACTAGAACCTTTTGTTAACGCTCAAGGAAAACTTGAGGAGGATGAAAAGAAGAAGAAGTAAACTATGGATAGAAGTAGTGATGATACCAATTTTAAGGAGCTGAATTCATTCGAATTATCTTCGAGTAGATCTTCCAGTCCGAGTGATTTGTCAAGCAGCTCACCCAAAAATGGACATTTCAGCTCCTCGCCAATACTGTCTAACTTATCTCTGTTGTTTAGTAATTTGAGAGCAAACGATGGAAAGGTTTTTGATAAGGATATGGGGTCTGCTGAGAGTGATAACTCTGCAGTGAAGATCGGAAGAGCTGCGTTGAAGTTCTTGAATGATGGGAAGTCTCTGGAAGATTTAGCAATTAAGCAATCGCATATTACGAGGAGACGAAGTAGCCTGATAAAGAATAGGTTGCTGGATAAAGGTGGCAATGTTATTGAAGAAACGAATAGCGAAGTAGATAATATCTTGGAATTCAATTCTCAATTTCTTAAGAGCGTGGGCCCAATAAAGATTCCTGGAAGTTTTGTCAATGAAGGTATATCTCTTTTAAAAGTTTCTCATAAGTCAAAAAAGAGAATAAATTTAAAGTTGGATACAAAAAGCTTTAATTTTATGTGGAAAAATGCTTTTAATTCAGCTTCTATGCCAACTTCTAGTTCATTACAACGATTAATTGGATCTGCGACACCTTATCCATTAAAAAGTAAGGTGTACGTTTTTTCTGTCGATGACATACGCTCGATAATCTTTCAAAGTGATGCTGCTAATTATAGAGAGGAGCTTCATATTTCGAAAGGCTTTGAAGATCAGTGGATTACAATTGTATATTTTAATGCGAAGAAAGGAAAATTGAAGTCATTACATCTTGTGGCAGATACAGAGCATGAGTTCAGAAAACTATGTTCAATAATTCTGAGCTTGGTCAAATTGAGAGATGATTTGGCAAAGAATTTTTTTATCGATCTTAATGATATGGATGAAGATCAAAGAAACTTGATTTTTCAAAAAGCGGACGAAAATGGAGAAAAAAGTGTTAGGCAGTATTTAACATTTGATGATATTCTCAAGTATTCTAAAAGACTTCATATGAATATGAATGATAGTTACTTGAAAGAAAAATTTGATCTCGTTGCGTCTGGTAATGAAACATCTGATAAGAGCCTAGGTTTGAACTTTGAGCAATTTAAGAAGTTTGTGTCTATCCTCAAGAGGAGAGATGATATTGACGAGGTATGGTCATCTATCTGTGGCAAGAATAAAACTATGGGATATGATTTGTTTAAGCATTTCACTGCTAATATTCAAAAGGAAACTTTTTCTGAAGAGCAATTGCTGAAGTTATTCACTAAATTTTGCATGGAAAATAAGGACTACTGGAGACCAGAGAATTTTAATAATTTCTTATTGTCTAAATACTCTTCGCCTTTGCATAATCTTGGAGATGATGTTGAATATTTTAGTCATCCTTTGAATGAGTACTACATATCTTCGTCACATAATACTTATTTGACGGGCCGCCAATTTGTGGGTGAATCATCTGTCGAAGGTTATATAAAGGCGTTGCAAAGAGGCTGCAGATGTGTTGAAATTGATGTGTGGGATGGAACGGATGATATGAACAGTTCTCATCTGAGCGAGCCAGTAGTTTGCCATGGAAGGTCCTTTACTACAGCAATATTGTTTGAAAATGTCATTAAAACAATAAAAAAATATGCATTTCAAATGACACCATTTCCTTTAATCTTAAGTCTTGAAATTCATTGCTCTCCTAACAATCAACTTAAGGTCGTAAAGATATTGGAAGATATTCTAGGTGAAGCATTAATTAGTAAACCAATCGAAGATAGACCTATTTTGCCATCGCCTATGCAATTGAAACATAGGATTTTAGTAAAAGTGAAGAAAACAAGTCCCTTTATCAACTTGATTACGGAAAATGGTCTTATTTTTTCATCTAGCACTTCCACATCAACCACAACATCTTTTAGCGAAGATAACAACAGCAGTCGGAGCTCTTTCATCCAAAGAAAAACTAGAAGCACCAAAATTTTGGATGACCTCAGTAGCCTCGGCATCTACTTGCAGGGTTTGAAATTTAGGAACTTCTCCTTACCAGAATCGAAGACACATAATCACTGTTTTTCACTAGGAGAAAAATCAGTCAATGCAATGCTAAAAGATGACACGAGAAAGGCATCTATTGATAAACATAACAGGAAATACTTCATGCGAGTCTATCCTTCAAAGATACGATTGAAATCTTCGAATTTTAGCCCCATACCCTACTGGTCACATGGAGTTCAAATGGTCGCTACGAACTGGCAAACTTATGATCTTGGACAGCAATTAAACGAGTCAATGTTTCAAGGCGTTCGTGAGAATGGATTTGTGCTTAAACCTCAAGAGTTGAGAAAACCATTGATAAAGTCAGTGTCTTCACAAACCCTGCCTAAGGAAAGCATATCAACTAAACACATGTATCGCTTTAGCCTTGAAGTTATTAGTGCACATCAACTTCCTAGACCGAAAGGTTCGCTTCGGGCTATCAATCCTTTCATCACAGTGGAAATAATTGGTGCCAATAAAATCGATTGGGATTCGAATAGTTTCACACGATCGACACCGATTGTAGCAGAGAATGGCTTTAATCCCACTTGGAATGCTGTATTCAGTGGCTCTTTCCGAACCACCAATGACTTGGTTTTTTTGCGACTAATAGTAAATTCATCCTCGAGTCCATTGGAAGAAACTGACGTAAACACTATTGGGATAGAAGTTGTAAAACTATCTCAACTTAAGCAGGGTCTTCGATATCTTCCCATCAATGATCCACTAGGCGAAGCACTTCTCTATTCCTCTTTGTTCGTCAAGATCAACTATTCTATTTCGTAAATAACTGCAACTCTCTCTTGTATATATGGCAAGGTTCATAACCCATAAATTTTTTAAAAAAAAAAATATTTTAGATCATCGTGAAATTTTTTGAAAGAAGGCATAAATATAGAAATTAGCGATTAATATAATGGGAAAGATCAAAGTTTCTGAAAATAAGTCTAGGCTTCGTCACAATCCTTTATTAAGTGATGTGGCATCTCAAGGTGGAAATTTGAGAGTCACTGCTCGTGCCACGAAGGAGGACAAAAGAGAGGAAGAGGAAGGATATTTGGATGCAGTGACTTCAAGAAAGATCATACAACTAGCTAAAGAACAGCAACAGGAAATAGAGGACGAAGATGAAACAAAAAATGGTAATCATGCTAAATTTTCGCTGATATTATTATCTAATGAAGAGCAGGATGAAAATGCTGAGGACGAAGACGAAGTAGAAGAAGAAGAGTATTCAGATTTCGAGGTACAATACGACGAGGAAGATGACCAACTTGAAATCGACGAAAAAGATGCTCAATTATTTAATAAGTACTTCCAGACTCTGGGCCCCAATTTGAATGGAACATTAAACTTAGCTGACAAGATTATGGAAAAGATTCAGGAGAAGGAGCTTGCAAAAGAAACGACTGAAAAGCCAGAGGGTGCAGTATTGCTTCCTCCAAAAGTCATAGCAGCATATGAAAAAATTGGCCAAATTTTGTCCACTTATACGCATGGAAAATTACCAAAATTGTTTAAAGTATTACCATCCTTGCAAAATTGGGAGGATGTTTTGTACGTTACAAACCCAAGTTCATGGACTCCACATGCGGTCTATGAAGCTACAAAACTATTTGTGTCAAACTTACAAGCGAATGAAGCTCAAAAGTTCATCGAGCAAGTGCTCTTAGATAGATTTAGAGTTTCAATTGAAGATTCCGAGGACCATTCTGTAAATTATCACATATATCGTGCTTTGAAGAAGTCATTGTATAAGCCAGGAGCATTTTTCAAAGGTTTCTTATTGCCCTTAGTTGATTCCCACTGTTCTGTTAGAGAAGCAACAATTGCAGGTTCAGTCTTGGCGAAAGTTTCAGTGCCTGTTTTGCATTCTTCTGTTGCATTAGCTCAGTTGGCTCAGCGCCCATTCAAGCCTTCTACTACAGTGTTCATACGAGTATTGATTGAAAAGAAATATGCATTGCCTTACCAAACGTTAGATGAACTCGTGTTCTATTTTATGAGGTTCAGGAGAGCGGCTCAAGATCTGGATGCTATGATCGACGAAGACAAGAAAGAAAAACTACCAGTATTACCTATTGTCTGGCACAAAGCCTTTTTAGCATTTGCTCAACGTTATAAGAATGATATAACAGATGATCAAAGAGATTTTTTGTTAGAAACTGTTAGGCAAAGATTTCACCATGCTATTGGCCCTGAAATAAGAAGAGAATTATTAGCGGGAGCACCAAGATTGACAGCTCAGCCAATTAAAGAAGCAGCAATGATAGATGCATTTGTTTAGTTTAATTAAAATTATGACCTTCATTTAATAAATGGCATACTGAAATGCAAGGACAGTCACCCCTTTCATGTAGTTTATATAAAGTAGTTAAAAATATTACGGAGTTTCATCATTCCTGTGCTTCGCATCGTCGCATAACTTTTCAAAGTTTACAGCCAATGAATAATAACTCTGAGTGACTGCAATAATTGTTAATGCAGACCAGCAGCCGATCCAAAGTCCATCTAAGGAGCCTTTAATTGGCGAATAAAATGCAAGATACAAGGCTAATGGAACACCAACAACGTAGTAGGAAAGGAAATTAACAATACCTCCTATTTTAGTTTGACCTTGACCCCTTAAGCAACCCGCTGATACCGCGTTCATAGTGTCACATACTTGCATAGAGGCAATTAACCACATTACCTTATCAACAATTTTCAAAACATTCTCATCGTTGGTATAAAGATGAGCTATCTGACTTCGAAAAATGAATAATATAAAAAAATCCATAAAAGCAACGCAAATACCAAAACCTAGAGCAGCTTGAGTAGCTTTCCTCGCAGAATCAGCCAAACCAGCACCCAAATAATTAGCTATTCTCGTAGACGCAGCAATACTAATTGCAAACGGAATCTGATACATCATTGAAGCAACGTTAGTTCCAATCGATTGCGCAGCAACTTCCAATGTTCCTAGATATGCTGCTAAAAGAGTCAAGATTTCGAAGGCGAGAAATTCGGCTTCTAGCATGACTAATCCTGGAATAGCCAAAGTAATCAACTTTCCCCAAGACGAAAATGCATCTTCAATATTAAGACCATTCCAGCATTCCATCGGATGTATATTTGCTGGTGTTGATTCTGGTTTCACAAAATATATAGTGCAAACAAGTAGTCCAAATGCCATAATCCAGAAGTTGATTGAGACTGCAATAGGAGCACCTAGGTAACCAATATGCTTTACAAATAAAAGAGTCATGACCGCATTTAAAGGAGCCGTTACCAAAAGAACATAAGTCGAGATATGATATACTCCTTGTGCTTGCAAAAATCTCTTACCGGTTTCAAAGAGGATATACGCCGGAATCCCAGGTGCAATAAATTTCAAGTACACCGCAGAAAGCCTTGCAGTTTCCTCCTCTGGAACTAAGAACATAATGATTGAAGTTCCAAAAAATATCCATGCAATAATGATAGGAATCATGACCACTGAAATTAATGCTGTACATTTTTGAAAATACGAGCCGACTAATTTATATTTCCCAGCACCAAACGCTTGTGGGCATAAAGTATCTAGAGCAGTTGCAAGTCCCTGGATTGTAGCATAACCAGTCATGTTAACCGTCATTGCGCCGATTGAAACAGCAGCTAATTCAGTAGGACCAATATGACCAACAGCAAAAACTGAGACTGTAGGAAATGATATTTCTAAAAGGAAGGTAGCGACCAAGGGAATTGAAGATTTCATCAACCACTTGAGTTCAGCTAATTTGCTCGATGTAATACGTTTATCAATAATAGCATGTTCAAAATTTTCAACGATGCCTTCGTCCGTTCCTCCGTATGGGATATGGTTACTCTCTAAAAGTTGTCTCTCATCTTCGAGTATTTCTCTTGAATACCTACGAGTACTACCTTTGCTAACGGCCGGCTCTATCAGCGATGTACTTTCGTTTGCACCATTATCCCCAGTTTCGATAGAAGTATTTTTTTTTGGTTCAACGAAATCTTCAGGTAGGAAAAGACCTGCCTTTCCCATAGATCCATAAACCACGGAAGCACGCCTTCGCGAAGTTGTATGGGTAAATTGATGCTTGCCATTATAAGACATGACCGTTAAATTGTAAGAGCTTTGTAATAGCTCACTCAAAGATAGTAAATTAAAAAGAAAGAATATGCTTTGGTCCTTGAATTTCACTTCTTATCAGTTTTCATTACGGTTTCTACACGATAAATATTATTACAAGCCCTCAAGAAGATTATATAACTCGTTAAAAACCTAACATGGGTATTCTATATAGCTATTTCCATTAATATTGTCAGTCAGTTACAGGTCATTTATGTTTGAAAGTAATTGAGCTAGGCATCTTTTGGTAGCAACATCATCTTGCAAAATCATGGAGAAAGTACCATCTCGTAAAGGTTCTGGCAAGATGTTTGATAAAGCTTTTCTGGCTTCTAAGTTATCAGATAATCTCATATAGCAGCGTACCACATGCTTAAGTAGTCTTCCAGAGCTACTGGTCGAAGTCTGGTGGGTTTGAGAGTTTGTACTAGCGCTCAACTGTTCGATCATTTTTGCTAAGACAGATGCAACAGTATGAAATCTTTCATAAGTTGTACAAATATAAGACAACCCTTGATCGTCTAAAAGAATTTTTTGTAGAGTGAATATAGCGACCGTCTTTGATAATTCGGAAGAAATCTCCATTATATTCAAGCAAAGAGGCACAATTTCTGTTGTGAGTAAGAAGTTAATAACTTCAGGAGTATCATTTTTGACCAACGCACCAATCACCCCTAAGCTTGTTAAGCGTAAATACTCGAATGATCTTTGCCTAGCATTGGTTGAAAGGAAGGGATATAAATATAGAGGCAAATTTGTACTCAAAAAGAGACCTCTCGTTTGAGCATTCGAAGCCACACATTGAAGCAAAGCTAATGCATTGCAGACTCGATTTGACATTGAAGCTGTCAAGACCGGTGGGTCTAAGTAAGGATAAACAGATATGATTTCTTCCAATAAAACTGTCATCACACCGAATGAATTCCATAGCACTAACGCTAAATCATCATATTGTTCTCTTTTCTTGCCTAATTCCAACAAAGCTCTTTCTCTATTAGTCCCATTCACCAACTCCGAGATCCACTGATATATTTGCTCATCGTTCAATGCCTTGTTTCCAGAGGGTGCCTTATCATCTTGTGCTTGTAATTGCCCATGTCCTTGCAGTTGTGGAACGTGACTATTAGGACCCTGTATATTTTGCTTTCCAGCCATAGTACTATACATTTCCACCAATTTGCAATTATGCAAGATATGACCTGAATTTCGTGGTCCAAAGTCCTAATTTATGAATTTGAAAGGTTCAGAAGAGGACAAAAATTAGAGGACAAAAAAAAAACAAATCGACCCCGGTGAGGATCGAACTCACGATCTTGAGATTAACAGTCTCACGCCTTAGCCAGCTTGGCCACGGAGTCGCTTTTTTAAGAGCAACCGCTCAGCACGTTTTTCATTACAATTCTTTTCATTGCAAGTCTTGACCAAATATTACAAGATTAACGTTTAAATTTACTGCTATAACACTTTTATATTAAAACCAAACATGGCAAACGAATTCAAACTACATAACTTTTTAGCTGTCTATTTCATCGTACTTTTCAAGTCTATCTTCCCACTTATCTTCGTCAAGAATTTTAACACCTCCACTAACAGAAAATTGACCCCCTGCACCTATCAACTCAATGTCGTAATTTTTGGTGGCTGTATTGACTATTCTGGTGGGTGTTTCCACATCATCATCCAAGGGACCTAATCCTGGCGCATATGTGTCACCAAATCCCCATGCATAGACCATTCCATCATCTGTAACTGCAAATGAGTGATGTGATCCTGCTCCAATTGCTTTCATTTTTACACCGTTGTCTTCTTTTGATCCAAATTGAAGTTTCGTCGGAACCGGAACAGACCTTGGATTTCCATGGGCATCCTTATACGTACCTTCCGGTAGTTTGTTTTTTGCGATTCCAACCTCTTTCATGTCATACCTACCCCAAGCTAATACTTCACCAGATTTAGTGAGTGCCAAAGTGTGGTGCTCTCCAGCTGCAATCTGTGTAATATCTTTTTGGGACAAAATCGAAATCTTAGTGGGTTTAGTTATTAAAGAACCGTCCTCTAATTCACCATTGGAATCTGTTAAGGCACACTGGCCATACTGGTTCAATCCCCACGCATACACATTATCAGCATGATCGATCGCAAAACAATGAAAATCACCGCTAGCTATATATTTTATATTATACAAGCCAAATTGCTGTGGCTCAAGGGCCCGATATCTATGCCTTTCTAATATGCGTCTGCCCAATTGAAACTGCTGTCCATTTCCCCATGCAAAAACAATTCCCTTCTTATCTAATGCCAAGATGTGGTCCTTCCCACCTGCAAGCTGGATGATATTTTGCAACTGGGTGATTTTTAAAGGAGTTTTTTGTAATTTTATTTCATCTCTCAAGAAGCCTAACAAACCCTCATTGCAACGAAAACAACCCCAAGCATATACATCTCCATTATCATATAACACGGCACTCAAGTTATCTGTGGCAGTCAACTGAACAATTTTTGATCCCTTGATATTAGACAAACCTTCAACTTTTCCTGGGGTCGATTCTGCTTCGTTCAAATCACCATCTTCATCATCTTCAGATTCATTAGCATCGATATCTTTTAATCCTTCTTTGGCGTTTGAGGTATTTCTACCCAAGACTCCACTATCATTTCCTCCCCATGACCAAACATTATTTGCAGAATCTAAGGCGAGGGTATGCATTCCCCCAACAGCAAAATCAACTATATGGTGGCCATTCAAAAATTCGCTTGTGAGGAATTTGTTTAACCTTGGCCTCTTTACTTCCTTTGTGCTCGCCGAGGGCCCAAGTCCTAGCTCACACATCGATCCGGTACCCCAGACAAAGATATCGAGTGGAACAGTCCTCACTGTTGGAGTACCATTGATATCAGGCAATTTCGAATATGAATGTAAAATAAAGGATGAGGTCGCAGCCTTCGATTTCAATTTCTTAACCCCATTTTCACGGTTATTAGAAACCTTACGTTTCCTCTCCAATGCAACCATATTTAGTGTTCTTTGCGAATTGGTTTCCTAGGGGAAAATAAAAGGTGAAGATGAATAACAGAATAAATGGGCTCTGGATCGACGTGACATGAGTGAAGTACGAGATGGGACGAGTTGCTTCAGTCTGCGCGACATTAGTCGACATTTCACGATGTCGTACTCAGCACAAAATGTCAACAAGCGTGCAGCAAGAACTCAGAACATAGAACAGTAATGATAATATCATGATTTTTCAGTTCTTTTATATGATGCCATAAAAAATTAGTGAAGTCGTATAATCTTTATACATCTGTCATATCAAAGCCAATCTCAGGGCAATTTTTAATTAGATCTCAAATTGAGTATGCAAGAAATGCAATTACAAAAATTAATTGTTTGAAGCTCTGTAGGTTAAAATTAGATCTTTATTTGAAGAGATTGGTCACAGAGACAAAATAAAGTGTTTCGGTGGCTTGAGAGACAAAACAAAAAGTACCACTAGCCAAACTTCCTTCAATTAGGGTGGAGAATCGAACAGTTCTAAATGCACTTAATGGTATCAAAGTGTAGCTCATTTGTGATGGCGAAAATGTGTTCACAATAGGAGTCGAAACCCATTCTTACATTCACCCGACGCATTTCATGAAGCACACTCATCATTTCAGGTAAGTTTTATGTTCGGTTTGCTTTTGCTTTGCTTCACCCGAGATCTTTTTTTAAGTTAGCTGCAAAATTCATTTTGCTCATAGGAATAAAATCTAACAGTAATACTATAGCTTCCATAGCAGACTCCAATAAACATTTATGCTACGTCTTTCTTATTATTATTGAGTTTGATATTTTTTTAGAGACTTGAAGAAAAGAAGGAATTTCTTGCGGAAAATGCTGTGATATTATTTCCTTAATATATAGTATTCTAAATTGTAATTAGTTCAAGGGGTTACCTTTGGGCGCGACATAGCCCTGTTTTCTGTGGCCCCATTTGCTCTTTGTCTCAACAAAAAATCTTGCAGAATTTTGCAAAAGATATCCAAAAGATCCAACTGCTCTGAAAAACGACATTGCTGCAACAACCCACAAAATGCATGCTAAATAGATGTTCTTTCCTGTGTCACCTGGTTCGTATACCTGCAACATTGTCATAATGAAAATTAGGTTTGCTATCATCCAAATCAAAACGACCTTTGTACGAACATCCTTTGCATAATCTTCGCCATGCATTGGTTCGGGTGCCTTGTGGGAAGCCAAAACTTTTTTATTCGAACGTTTTGATCTGATATTATATAATGTTTCGAGATATACTTCATCGATATTGACATCAACAACGACAGCCTCAAACTCACCTTCCTCGTTCTTTTCAATGATATATTGGTTACTTTTGTCATCCTGTGGATTATTGTCGCCCTTGGTACCCCAAGACACATCATGAGTATTACAAAATGCAAAGATTTGCAATGTGCAAGTGTAGGAGGGTATCATCAAAAAGTACTGAACAGAGCAGGTAACCATATGCCATGGATCCAAATAAAGCACAGACATCAATGTGTAGAGTCCATAGGTCGACAATAAGGATACAACAATACTAACGAAAACATAGGTCGAATCTTCACCCATACCAAATGCACGAATGGTACTAAAAACAAAATAGAAACCGACGATTAAAGCATAAAGTGCGCATACTGTAAGTAATATGATTAGCGTTTTGAATATTGTTTTAGATGCTTGAGGTCTGTTTCCAATTGAAGTGATGAACAATGAAGTCAAGACACAAATACATAAGTAGTTGAATAGTGTGAAGATCCAAAACCCACCATTGTGTCCAATATGTTTAGTCGACACCAACGAACCCGTTAAGAAGTAAAACGTCAAATAAAAGTTGCTTAACGAAAAGAAAGAGAACAATAACGTGAAACTTTGGTATATGAATTCAACGTGAAGCCAGAATTTTCTTGAGAGTGAATGATCTGTAGCCCATATCTTCTTGCAGTGACTTAATGCATACAACGCTGCAAAGAAAGCACCATTAATCCAGCGTCTTCTCTGAGAAAGGAACTCTGAAATTGATTCTGGAACATCCGTTTCGCCAGTGGCCAGTTTTACAAACTTCAATACCCAGTTTTCATTTCTTTTAGCTACCAATTCCCAACAGAGTATACGATCTTCAGCTAAGTACATATTAGCCTCGAAAAAATTTGTTTTGCTATTGTTTGACACTGAATCTTGATGTTTACATAATAAGTCTTCTCCTCTGAAATATGAGGCCAAAGGTCCGGTTCCATCATCGTGGTTCTTTAGAGCAATGTATCTGTAGGCAGATAATGCACCTGGTAAAACAGATATGTAACCGAAAAGAGATTCAAGTGGCTTGTCTAAGATGTTGGACATTTTATATTCAAAATTTTGAGATGCCACTAACGGATTACTTAAGTTGGACCATCCTTTTCCTTTTATAGCCTGAATTTCTCCTGCAGCTCCTGCAACATTTGAATCTCTATCAAAAGCTTTCCACAAATTGTAGACGGCATGATGGTGTGGTTTGGTACCCACGTCTAATAAGACAACGACATTTGGGTCTAAAATTGGACAAAATGCATTAAAGAGCCATCTATGAGAATTAATCTTCTTTTGATTTCTCTCTTTTAAACAAAACAAGACTTGAACAGGCGCTAGACTTTTTTCATCGCCTTTAAACTTGAGGTTTTCATCAATTGAAATCTGTGTAGTATACTCGAATAAATGTGCGTTGACTTTCTTATTGTTAACGTATGGTCGAGCCAAATTATCTTGGTAGCAACCAGTTGCAGTTAAAAGTTGTAATACTGACTCGTTAACTCGATTTCTTCCGTCAGCCACTATGATCACCTGAATCTTTTTCCAGGAGTCTTTGCCCCATACAGATGACTTGTGTCTCGAGCATAAATGTGCAACATTCTTCATTACACCATGCATAGTTCTTGCAAAAGAATACTCATCCTCGTTATACATTGTCACACATATAACGATTTCTGTCTCTCTCCCATATTTGGAAGCTCTAAGAGTAAATCCATCCGGCACAAAATCATCTGGCTCCGAAGTACATGCTGTATATGTCATATGTGTGAACTCGCCAAAGGGCGACTCTGTCCTGGTTAATACTTTCTTTAGTTCCTCTGGGATGGGGTTTTCCAATACTAAATTTCCCGAATTTCCATCAACTAATCTAATCTTACGTTTGGTAACAGTTTTATCTTTTCCGGGTATATAACCATGATTGATATTATCCATCATATTACGGTCAATGGATGATCCAAAATAATCGCTACCAGGATGGCTCCCAGTGGTAAATGAAGGACCACTGTAGGCAGTTGTCTCAGAATATACTGATTGCTCTTCAAGTTCGTGAGCCTTTTGGTATCCATTGTAGTCGAAACTGTCATCCTTCTCATCACTTATGGTTTGCTGATCATAATCATTAGGGTTTGCCTCAGCAAAGGTCTCTGGGGAAAAAATTGGCTGCGGTGGCTCAAGAAACCGTTCGCTTTTTGATGAACTATTTCCAAATTGAGATCTCCTTGGCGAACCCTTATAGGTGAAATCATCTTCAATGCTTTCATGCTCAGCTCCAATTGTCAATGGAATTTCTTTCTGGCGTGGCGGAGATTCTTTAGATGTAAACTGAGCTCGGGGTGTGCCATTGCCATATTTGAGGTTAGGTGCATTATCAAATATTGAGGTATTCAAGTTAGAGCTGCCCCTCGCTTGTAAGCTTCTAGCAAATATATCTGGAGATTTTCTTTGTTGATTTTGTAGGGACTGTGGAAATGCCATAAACTCTTTACTCTCATCATCAGATTCATATTCTTCGTCATGTTTTTTACCGTACTTTCTTGGGGAATACCTATCTGTAAATGCTGCATGAGGAACTGAAGGTGGATCCCGAAAGGGACTTTCGCTATCATCGAAGGGGTTTGACATCCTGTAACTAAATAACCTTATCAATAAAAGTTCAATAAGAGCAAGGTTCAAGGTTTTATACGTTCAACGGTTTTCTCTTATTAAGCTGTTTTAGTTGTTTCCTCTTTCAAAATATTTACTGTTTACAATTGTTCCATTTTGGGTATATTATTTTTTCTCTATTATCAGCGGTTTGTAGAAGCGACTACTTCTGCGACAGCCTTGGTCATGGTTGCAGGATATCAATATCTTACGTAAGAGCTGACTTTGGACTCAAGTTTCAATTGACTAAGCCTTTTTTATTATAAGAGACAACTGTTGTTACCTTATTGCTTTGATAGATTAACGGACCTTGAAAAGTACATATTATTTTTCTGAGTTAGTAACTTTCCTAGCTTGATTACAACTTTGGAAGTTTGAAACCTAACATGAATGGTATTTGCTAGCTGTATCCTTCTTTCTTATTCTTCATAAGTTATCTTTTTACACTTTCCAATAAGCTCACCCCTCTTGAAATGCGGTTTGGAACAGACTGTAAAGCTTTACTCCTAAGTAATAGTGACCGAGCTTGCTATACTTCTATGCTAAGAAATATGAGATTACATTTCTCTCACATTGCACTCCAGAAGTTATTACTAGTAATTCATATTTCTGCATATACAAAAAAACTTAATCGGTATTTCGAGAAAAATGGACCCGTTCTCGATAAAGACCCCTTAACTTCTTCTAATATAGGACGATATTCAATGGATAAGTAATTGACGTGATGGAACAGCTGAATCACAATTTAACTGATGACCCGACTTTTGATGAGTTTCTTGATACAAGAAATGGCAGTAGTCGAGGTAACTTTTTATACACGCATTCTAATAACTCGTCATCAACCACCGTTCATTATCCACATCCCACAAGTACTGCGCTGCAGATATCTAGCGTCGGGTTTAATAACTTGAAGAAAATGAGTACAAATAATTCGCAGATTTCTACAGCTAGCTCCGTAGTGAAAATAAATCCTTTGACCAAATTGTTTACGAGAAGTCAAGATATTAATCAAGGAAGTGACGATTCATCAAGTGCTACTTATAACGAGGACGATTCTTCGTCTGATTTGATAACTATTGAACTGAAGAAATCAAGCGGGCCTAACAAGTTTAAATTATCAAAGGGTACCAAAAATAAGCTCAAATTTTCCACAAAAAACGGGCAGACAAAGCCTGATTTACGAATACAAACAGGGTCAAGCTTGAGAGCGCCAAGGAAAATATTCAGCACCTCTGGTCAACCTTCTGATTCTCCAGAAACACCTACTTCGACCACAAGAAAGAGCTCTATAAGCTCGCCTGTTTCCACATTTCACAGCTTGTTTCACAGATCTCGCAGCTTATCCCAGTCATCTGGAGATGGGAATTCCCCAAAAAGAAACCAGGATGAAATCAATCTGCAAAAAATTGCAAATAATAATAGAAATACCCTTACCCTTTCGTCTAACAGCTCAAATTCCTATATCACTGACGTCAAGCTTGCAATGATATATAATTTTACAAGCCCAGGATATTCCGTTGAGCTCTCAGACAGCATGGGAGTAGACCATAATTCGTTGGGAGATATTCACAAAAAACTTATGGTACCAACGGATCAGTACGTTTTGAACAAATTGCATAAAAACCTGTCTCAAGTTACTGGCCTCGGAATTGTAAACGGTGGCTCTGAACATATGTTAGATTTTGGTAAAGAGAATGCAAAGTTTTATAATAATTTGCTTCACATACTTAGACCTATGTTCTATCCGAAGCACAATAGAAAGCTTCCATATGGTTCACAACACCCTTATTTAGGGATGACGATAGAAGAAATTTCGAACTACATAAAAAGATATCAGATTGATGAAAAACATATACGACAGACTCTGCTGCAGAACGCCTTAAAGAAAACAAGGAGCAGGCTGTCAAATGCATTATCTAAGGCTCCAAATTCTAAGTCTTCGAGTTCTTTGACGTTAGAAGATACTGTTGATAACGACTTAAAGTTCAGAGAGACCTCGCAAGATTTATTGTCATTCTTCACCCGATGTATGGTTTGGTTGCTGGAAAGCTTTAAGATGCACGACTCGAGTGAAATAGGTCCATTATCTCAGATAACTAGGGAGTGGATGAAGGTTGCAAGCTTGTGGGAGTATTTCAATCAGAAGGTGCGCTTCAATATCATTTGTATGTTTCATCCTTTCCAAGTGTATCTTAGAAAATTAAGCATTGATACGAAACAGAGAACGGGTATCGAAATAGAAAATATCATGCTCTTGGCTTTTCGGGATACCGTACTTATGCCCTGGTTGTTCGAACGTAGAAAACTTTTTTCAAAAGAAACTTTAAGGGATATAAAATCAACAGATCTTTCCGATTCTATTAAAGATTTAAAAACAGAAGAAGAAGCAATTTTGAAATCGTCTCAGAGTCAATTGCTCAGAACCTTAATATCTTGCTTTGGAACTGTTTACTCTTATGCTCAAGCAGATTCTGGTAACTCTGATGGAGAGCAACATTTAAGAGATAGATTATTTGATGAAACCTTTACACGATTGACTAATATATACTAGCACACACCTATCAATCAACCAAGCATGATTTTTACGAACTTTATAGCATATTAATTATAAATATATTAAGATTTTCACAAATTAAATTGTATAGAATATGGAATATAGATACTTTACCTAAAAAGTTTTGCTGGGTCTTCGATACGAACATTGCAATATATGGGAGCCCAACATAAGATCTGTGATCTTCGAGACAACAATAGCGCCTTCCCCAAATGCTGTCAATTTTAGGTCGCATGATTAGTGGGGAAAATCAGCCGCGCACATCAACTAGATTTCAATCGACCTAGGCTTTGGCTCTTCTTACACTGAAGCCCATAATTGACCCTCAGAGAATCCTCCCTTACTGAACGAATTCACGAACAGCTTGGACCTCTTCAGGCACGTTCTCACTTTAGGCTTGGAATCCTCAGTCTTTTTAACCCATTTCGTAAATTTCGCAACTAAAGTACTACGAACGGTCATCATAATAAAGAATTCCGAAGTCACACTGAATGTGGAAGAACACCACGTAGCCTAATGTTTTGAGAGGCAGGCTTTAGTGGACAAGAGTCGATCAGAGCTATTGAAGCTCTCTCTTATAGCTATTTATTCTTCCAGGCGACACCTATTTTTAAAACAGATTCACGAATTTTTTTAGAATGAACTTGGAAGGGTTGAGATATAACAGTGGCTTATATAGACCAACGTATGTGACAGTTAGATTTTATTGAGCCCGTGTCTGTGTCTCAAACACGTTCTAGTTACGATAATGTTATCTCTGAGCCGCAGTCATAGTGGCACAATTTCAGATCTTTTTGATTTTTTCCGAACTAAATTAAGTAGTTGAAAAAAAAAAAAAAAAAAAAAATTAGGAGGCCAGACGCCAGATAAAAAGTCTTCAAAGAACACTTATAAAGAAGTTTGTTATTTATATTTTCTAAACAAAAGGAATAGATTATTTTTCTTTGTCCTCTCCTCATCTATATGCAAATTCATAACATTCTAATTCAATGTCTAATAAGACTTGTGTCAAGCGTAATGTGCTAATGTGATTTGTGGTTTGTGGGGTGTGGTTTGTGCAGCCTAAAACAAAATTAATTGAACTTCTGCTTAAAAGCTTAAGATTCTTTGGCTACAATCGGTCTGAGCAATGTAGAATGTCATTTAATAACCATGTCTAGGATTGTAGCTAAACTCGATAGTATGTGCTACATTTGAAAAAAAAAAAAAAAAAAAAAAAATTCATTGACGTTTGCTCACAATATAAGCATAAAGTTAAAAGAGCGGGTGATCACACGTATATGTAGAAGTTTAATTACAGAACTGGAAATATGGGTGTTCGATCCTATATTCACTCCGTAATAACCCTTTTGTTGCAACATCCTATCTGTTCTAGGCTATTTAGGTTTAAGGTATCCGAAACGTATCATTTGCTTTCCACGTGGCGGCACTATCTTCTCACAAAAAGTGGAGCCCATTCCGAGAACGTGGTAAAGTTAAAAAGAGGCAGTTGGAACTTACGTCAATTATTATAGAGGAGAACGCAGGGAAGAGACACATTCTTCGCCCTATGATTAATAAACAGAGTACAGCATTGTAATACAGGCGTTTGAAGGCACCAGATACCATAGACGACGTAGCTTTGGAGTAGGATCCTAAACATTATCAAACAACTGACATTGCGTAAAAGTTAGACATTAGGACAAGAATAAGATCCTTAACAGTTTATAATCTTCAAAAGGACGGAGCCATATTAGGTCGGTGGTTATTACCATGAGTCTCACTCAGACAGCGCTGTCGCTTCCATCTCCACACGGGAGTATCGGACGTGACGTAAGACGACAAAACGACTGTCCAAGCAGAGGAAGTAGCTCCAGTGAATCAAGTTTCAGTACATACACAAGCAAAGATCCTAGGGAGTCTGGCATTCTCCACGATCAGCCGGATCCTTTCTTGTCACAATATTTTAAGCCAAATAATGAAAAGCAATCTATGAGTAAGCATCAGCTCTATTTTGATTCACTTAACACACAAAGAAAATTCAAACTGTTGGAACTATACAAAACATATTTAAATCTTGATGATAGAAAAAAGACTGAATTCAAGTTTGAAAGGCGTGTTCCTCATCCCATTAAAGAATCTCCTTCTTTAGGAAAGACTCTGCCGAAGATATCCTCAATATTGCCTTCATCTCACATTGCGACAACTAAGACTACTTCTTCAGTTCCCCCAGTTCTTAAATCCCCTTCCATCGCAGAAGTTACAAAAGTTTTGTCAACTGAGTTTGTCGAGTGTGAAATCGATGATCTAATTACTTTAATATCAAGGATGTTGTTGTCACTAGTTACTTTGAATGATAAGCTGGTACCACTCTCCATTTCTCTGCCAAATTCGTCTAGCACAGCTTCAGCAAACAGCTTATTGACGAGATATCACTCAAGAATCCCTCCAAGTATATCTATCAAGACATACTTGATGAGGTTGACCAAATTTAATAACTTCACTCCAGCAACTTTATTGACGACGATTTATTATATTGATTTATTGTCACTCCATTATCAACCATATTTCACTTTAAACTCTTGGACTGTTCATAGGTTCTTGTTGGTCGGAACGATGCTTTCGCAAAAGCTGATGGAGGACTTTTTTTACACAAATGATCATTACGCAAAAGTTGGAGGTGTTGCAGTTGGGGAGTTGAACTGCTTAGAGTTAGATTTTCTTTCAAGAGTCGAATGGAAATGCGTACCTACAAAACAACTCGAAAATGGGAAGACTTCCATAAGATATGTAAAGGAAGTTTTAGATTTGTATTATACCCAATTAATTCAGCTAATGGGAAAAAACACGAATAAGGATGATGACTGTGTATATATATCATCGAATGTTTCAGCTTATGATTCTGATATTTCAGTCGACTCCCTTGACGAAGATAATGATCCAGAAGATATCAATGACTTGAAGTACGGAAGCCCAAAAAGTTACCAGCCAAAAATAGATGAGATATATAATTCTCGTGGCGTTACTAAAAATGGAACGTCGTCTCCTCATTTAAAAAGACGATATCCTGATGAATATCCTGATGACTAGATGTGATAACACCGCAAAGCATATGTAGATTATATTTGGAAAGGACAATTAATGTTTGGCATTTTAACATCATATAATCCTAATATACTGTTAAGAAAAAATTATATTTATTCCTGTATCTTGTAAGTAGGCTCCTTTAGAGCACAGAGGTCGAATAAAATCAAACTGCCTAAATTTATTATCACTATTTTATTTATTTATAAGTCCAGTCACTATCACAACTAGCGTAAAAAAAAGAAAAAGAAACTGAGGAGAAATGAACGTTTGCGCCATAAGTCATTATCAACAACGAAATAAACACAATAAAGAAGTAACCATTCATTTGGTTGTCTTCTCTCAAAATATATAAAGAAAAAAACAAATTCTGCTTCACTCTATTCACTATGTGGTTTGATCAACTGAAATGAACAGCACATCTTTCTGTCCACTTTCATAACGGAACCAAAGTTGTTGAACTCACCGCAGTAGTTTGGAGCCAGGAAGACAGTGACGAGCTTCCTCTTGTTGAAAAACTCGTAGCCATCTTCTACAACCATATGGCCCCTCACAATTAGATCCATTTTGAATTTGGCACAAAAATGATCCACATGCTTCTTTCCGAAACAGTAAGACACACCACGGTCATTTTTGGTCCAGCTTGAGCTTCGTATCGCAGGATCAGGGTCAGACCAAAGCAAATCAGCCAACAAACCACTATCAGGTACATCCGTGGGTCTCTTAATTGTCTCGATTTGATTCAAATCGTGCAAGTCCGGAGATAAGCCTCCATGAATGCAGAAGATTTTATCATTAATTGTAGCCGCAATAGGCAAAGTATTGAATACATCAACAAAATCTTTCCAAATCTTACGGCTACTTAACCTTCGCTTACACTCATCATAAAACCCGTATATCTTAGTAATGTTCGCAGATTCATGATTCCCTCTCAACATGAAAAAATTCTCTGGATACTTAATTTTAAAGCTTAACAACAACAAGAAAATTTCTAATGACCTAGGGCCACGGTCAACGTAATCACCCAAAAACAAATAATTTGAATACGGCGGATAGCCACACACATTGAAGATTCTAACTAAGTCGTGAAATTGGCCATGTATATCACCAACAATTTTAACAGGTGGTGATAACCTTAATAAGCTAGGCTGAGTTAAAAATACAGACCTTGCTTTCTGTACTATATATCTTATTTCGTTAGGTGAAATTGGAAATTTTTCTTTGGAAGACCTCTTTGTTTGCTTCTTCATCCCGACATTTAGAAGTTTATCGATAACTGCATCAATATCAATCTCAAATTTCTTACTACTAGGAGCTAAAGGCGGTGACCCTGAAGTAGAAGTTGAGCTGATAGATGCTAATTTAGTTAATTCTTCTCCAAGAGAGTTCTTCGATGATTGAGGTTTAATGAACTTTCCGATCGAATTCTTTTTAATGAATCCGGTTTTCGAAGGCACTTTTCCTGGCTCTGGGGTAGACTCAAGAGAGCCTTCCACGATGGGTTCTAAGCTCTCTTTTGAATCCTCTTTATAATTTCCAAAACCTCCATTTTGTTTTGGAGAATTCCCTGAGCCTACAGACAGTAGCAGGTCCACATCCTTTGTTTCACCACTAGATGTGAAAACCGGAGAAGCAATAGAAATATCAGAACTTTCAACTGAAGAGTGATATTCACTAGGAATGGTTAATAACTTAGCTGCAGAAACGCCAATTTCAAGATCTAAATCCAAATCATGATCTGCAAAAGAGGATCTTCTGAACTTCCGGGGAGATGAGGAATCTTTCTTATTAGATTTCGAAGCTGAGTCTTTGGTTTTTCTTTCTATTTTGATTGCAGGCGTTGTCTTTAAGCAATTTGCTTTATCGTCGTCTTTTCGAGTTTTATATTGGTCATTACTGTCATTATATTTACTATTGTATTGTCGCGATAGACCTCCTTGCTCTTCTGACTCCAGTTCTCCTGAAATTCCAGTGCTAGGATCGCTTAATGTTTGGTTAACGGTATTCGACGAATCATCTCTTGACGGGGCATTTCCCATGTTATTTATAAAAGGGATCACTAGCTTGTAATGAAAAAAAGCTTTTTATTCTCAGCAAAGATAATAAGTAAAGAAGCTATTATATGTCTTTATATAAAAAGGCCTTTCAAAGTTAGATAACCCTTAGATATATTTGCTTTGAAGATGGCGTAGAAAAATTACTGTGGCCTAGACTGGCCGAGACTCGCAATTCTGATGCTGAAATGTACGCCCACATAATGTCCTCGTGATTAGAACAAAAAAGCTCTCGAGAGCTTTTTCCTCCTTTGAGTGAGGCGAAATCTCCCCACGTGGTATTTTTTTATTACCAGCACAAAATATAGGGGGACTACTAATTTGGTAATCAATTTGGGAACCTATGCGTAATTTAGAAACTGACTTCATCAATATGTTAGAGGCACACTTTTGTGATTAGAAGCTTGACCACAAAAAGGGGAAATAGGTAGAATACCTTTTCTGGAAAGAAGTGCTTAATTTAAGTCGTGACTGATCTTGATCTTTTGCGTAAGGGCCAAATAGAGATGGCCGCAGATTGGTCAGATTAGCAAGTTGTCACACAATAAGCTGACATTACTCTTGAACCAATGCTAAGGTTTGTCAGAAGTATTTCAGGCGTGAGCTATAAAATGAAACCCATTACTTCTGCTGGGTGCCTTATAATTGGGGATGAAGTCCTTAATGGTAAGATTCACGATACCAATTCCTTCAAGTTTGCTAAATTTTGTTTTGACGAGCTATCCATACCTTTAAAGAAAACGATTGTTTGCAGCGACGACAAGCAAGATATTGCAAATTGTATCAAGATATTGAATAAAGAATGTGACATGATAGTGACGAGTGGTGGCATAGGGCCAACCCACGATGATGTGACTTACGAAGCACTTGCGGATGCGTATGATGTTCCATGCGAATTAGATAAGGAAGTTGTAGAGAGAATGAGCAAGTTAAGAGGGGATTATTTGAAGACATTGAGTCTGCCACAATTAGAAGCTTTTCATAAGATGGCCACACTCCCAGAATGCAAAAATTCTAGTTTGTGCATTGAGAAAGTATTCGTAGACGATTCTTTATGGGTTCCTGTAATAGGTATTGATGAAAAAGTATATGTTTTACCTGGCGTACCAAAATTATTTGATAGGTTATTGAAAGGATTAGGGAAACATATAATGCCAAGAGTAGTTGGAACGGGATTGACCCGTTATTTTGTCAAAACAAGCACAAAGGAAAGTGAACTTGCTCCATTTTTGACTGCTCTTCAAAAGAAATGTGATGAAAATTTTGATAAAAGTGTTAAGTTAGGATCTTATCCTCATATGGAGTGGAATGTTAATACTGTAAGTATAATTGGTAATAGTAAGATCAAGAGCAGTGAACTAAGGGCTATAGTTGAAGAGATCCTTGCCAAAGTAGGTGGCGATGCCATAGAGATAACTCCACAGGATGAAAGTAAGCTTATTTCTGAGGGACCCCTGCCTAAATGAATTTGTTTATGTACATAGAAATTTATTAAATTACATATATAAAGATGACCTAGTCCTTGTATGCTTGCGCAAAAACTTTGGTAATTTCTTCGATAGCAGATTGAACACCTTCAGGTTTGTCTCCCATACCTTGCACAACATTACCCTTGCCACCAGCTTTACCTCCTACATTGATGGATGCTATCTTTCCTAACTCTGTAGCATTAATGCCTTTAGAGATAGCTTCATCGGAAACGTAACAGCCATGTGCAACCTTATCCGATCCCGCAATTAAGTAAAGAGATTTCTCTTTATGTTGTTTCTTTAATAAGTTAATGGCATCAGTTATTGCTTTGGCATTAGCACTTATCGGAACCTTTGTAACAAGATATTGTGGTGACCTCTCTTCAGAGAGCCATTTATTCACGATTTCAAGCGTTTTCTTCGATTCTTCTTTTTGCTTAGATTTAATTTCATCCTTTATCGATTTATCTAACGCATTGAACTTCGAAGTTAATGCTTGTTTATCCAAAACAGATATCGACAACTTCTTGAGAGCAACTCCCAATTCCTTCGTCTTTGATTCTTTGTACAGACCAAAAGGTAATTCAGTTGTCTTCTCTATTTCAGCCCCAAACTCTTTAGCAAGATGCTGAACATGATGCGCCTCGGTTCCTGTGACGGCAACAATTCTCCTGATTCCTTTTGCAATTCCAGACTCTTCAATTATTACCAAATTCTTAATGTCACCAGTTTTATTGACATGAGTACCACCACAGAGTTCAATCGAAAAACCATGCCATGACTTCTCCTCGGGTACTGATATCAAATCATCGACCGGTTCGCCAATTGAAACAACTCTTACTGGATCTGGATACGTTTCCCCAAAGACAGCCCTCAAGCCATAGATCTTTTTTGCCGTAGCTAAAGCTACTTCCTTTGCATATATCTTCTTGTCGGCTTCAATGTAATCATTCGAAATTTTTTCAACTTTCGAAAGCTCTTCGGGCAGTAAAGCCTGCTTGTGGCTGAAATCAAATCTTAATTTCTCAGGTGCAACCAAAGACCCCTTTTGGTCAACGCCATCTCCCAAGACCTCCCTTAACGCAAAATTCAATATGTGAGTACCAGTATGGTTATTTCTAATTGGCCATCTCCTCAATTCGTCGTAAGAAGCGATGACTTCGTTATCTAACGACAAACTGCCCTCTAACAATATTCCCGTGTGCAAAACATATCCACCATAAGACTGCACGTTTTCGACATTGAATTCTGCCTTTCCATCGATAACTAACTTACCCTTATCATATTGCTGTCCACCTGATTCAGCATAGAAAGGCGTTTTATCCAAAATAATTCCAACTTCAGTGTCAATAGACTCATCAATCGAATCAACAAATGACTTCCCATCGTAAATAGCTAAAATACGAGATTTAATATTCTCCAATCCGTATTTAAAGGAATCATCTGTCTTCTGAATCTTTTCGTTTTCATCCAATTTAGATAAAGCATGAACATCCAATTTGACTAAAGTGGCACTACTTTTATTGCCTCCTGCTTTGGAAGCTTCTCTTGCCTCCTCTTTAGCTTTTTCGAATCCATCCTCGTCGATCTTTAAACCAGCTTCTTCGGCCATTAGTCTTGTCAAATCTACCGGGAAACCATAGGTATCATAGAGCCTCCATACATCCTTACCTGATAATGTTTGCTCGGGCGTTTTAGACGCAATAATAGCATATTGCTCGAATAATTTCTCGCCTCTATCCAAAGTTTTTGCGAAGGACAATTCTTCTTCGTTTAAAATCTCCTTTAAATCTTGCTGGTTTTGAGCAATCTCAGGAAAAATTTCAGAACTCTGCTCAATGACAGTTGGTACCAATTGTTGGAAGAATGAACCAATAGGGTAGTTCATATATTTACGCACATAACGTGCTCCGCGTCTCAAAACTCTTCTCAAAACATAACCTCTTCCTTCATTATTTGGAATGCCGCCGTCAGTTATGGCAAAGGTCAAAGTTCTAACATGATCAGCAATGACTCTGTAAGCAGTATCAATTCCATCTTTATCTTCGCTTCCAAATTTACCTGTGTAAGGTCTCACCCCAGTAATTTCACGGATTTGATCAAAAAGTGGCTGAAAGACATCAGTATCATAATTGGAAGATTTATCTTGCAAAATAGAGACTAATCTTTCGAATCCCAATCCAGTATCAATATGCTTAGATGGAAGGGGTCTTAAGGTCCCATCTGGTTCCCTGTTGTATTGAATGAAGACAATATTCCATACTTCTAAGACATTTGGATCATCCATGTTAACCAAGCTTGAAGCATTTCTTCCTCCAATTCTATCGTAATGGATTTCAGAGCACGGTCCACAAGGTCCTTGGTCTCCCATTTCCCAGAAGTTATCTTTCGCAGATCCTGGTAAAATGTGGTCTTCTGGGACTCCGACATCAATCCAATACTGTTTAGCTTCCAAATCCGGTTCTAATCCTAGTTTCTCGTCGCCTCCGAAATAGGTGGCATAAAATCTATCTTTATCTAGTTTATATACTTCCGTTAAAAGTTCCCATGCCCAAGCTATAGCCTCTTTTTTGAAATAGTCTCCAAAAGACCAATTTCCTAACATCTCAAAAAATGTGTGATGATAGGAGTCTCTACCGACGTCTTCTAAATCATTATGCTTACCACCTGCACGTATACACTTCTGTGAATTAACCGCTCTCTTTAGAGAAACAAAATCCGAACCTGGTTCCACAGTGCCTAAGAAGATTGGCTTATATTGGTTCATACCTGCATTGGCGAACAACAAGGTTGGGTCATTATGAGGAACAACAGACGATGAAGGGACAAACTTATGGTCCTTCTGCTTAAACAAATCCAAAAATGTAGATCTCACCTTGGCAGCTGGCCACTCATTTGTTGATGTAGACATTATTCTTTTTGGAATCGAAGTCTTTAACATAAAATGTTGTCCTGAATAGAAGAAGAAAAAAGGAGGATTTTTCTGGTGATAATAGTCAGTAGAAAAGTGAATAATAACAGTCGTGCGATGAAATCAACTTTCCAATCACACCTTTAGCTTGTTACGATTTGAAAGAAGATCCCTTCAACAGAAAAAAAAAGAGACATATATTATTCAGAAAGTAATATTTGAGATAATTAAGGATTTCTAATATTAAAAAATTTGAACATGTTTTTTAAACAAATAATATAACAAATACTGACAATACAAAGTTAGAATACACAATTATACGGCTCAAGAATAGCTTGTCGCATTGACATAATTCATCTCAAGTTTCCGTGCGAGTGATCGTGCTCCTGAACACTAGGGTCCACATTTGGATCAATGTTGGGATCGACGTGTGCGTTTTGGTTATGTAAAGCAACAGCGGCTGCTGGAGTGGCTTCAATAGCTGCTATCACAGCTGCATCTTGTACCGAGGGAGTATGGTGGTTAGGATCGTCGTTATGTAAATGCGATCCTTGTTGATGTGCCTGCTGAACGAGAGAATGTGGAACATGGGGAGGAAGCGGATTAACCATCACGTTGGTATTGAATGCATTGTTAGTATTGTTAGTACGGTTCAATGGCTTTTCAACCAATGTTCTAGAAAACTTCAGTCTCTTTTTCTTACCTCCAGATGGTTCTGGAGGATGATTGTGGGCTGGATTTATCATCCTTAATACCCATCTTTCTCCCGTAGACTGGTCAAGTGAGCCTGAGTGACTCTGAAACTCATTCAACTTTTCGTCCAAGTTACCGTCAGGAGAAACAGACCCTTTGACTCTTTTTTTATCTTTCTCCGAAGGATATAAGTTGGCAATTAATCTGTATCCGCACTTATTTCTTTTAGTATAGGCTACTCTTTGCCTCTTCGTAGAATCCTTTACTGTCGTTCTAAACAGCCCAGACCTTTCACATTGAAAATAAACTGCCTTAGGCTTGGAAGAATTAATAACAATTTTGCATTGTTCCTCGTCATTGAGAACGTTTTTCACGTACTTCACCAAGTCCTGCTTACTTGGAAACGTTTTGATAACCTCATTTTCCATGTATTTTGAGTGAAGTATTCCAGTCGGCTCATAGTCCGCCGAAGAAGGAGCATGAGTAAACTGATGAGGAGCGTGATGTGGTGGCAACTGATGTTGGTGTTGAGATACTTGTTGCTGCGGAAATTGTTGAAATTGTTGATGTAATTGATGTTGTTGTTGTAATTGCTGTTGTTGATGTTGAAGTTGGGCAGCGGCTGCTGCTGCTGCCGCCGCCGATGCTGAAGCAGAATGGTAGCCATGTTGGTGATGAAAATGGCTAGGATCATCAGGGTGTCCCGCACCATAACCTGATGCAGACACTGCTGCAGCTGCAGTAGCGGTGGCATTTTGATAATCTGCCTGCCTTCCCACCAACAGTCCATTTCCATCAGGGTGACCTTGTAATTGGCCATCGGCATTTACTGTTGATCTCTCGCTCGATGTTGAAGGTCCCAGCATCTTTAATTTATCTAATCCTTATGTTTACCTTCTAGCACTAGTTGTGAATATAAAACAAAAGTCCTGCACAGGTTGTTTGCTGTTTGAATAAAGGATTGTTGTGTATGTTGTATTTTATAAAAATGTGTTGATAGTTCAATTTTCAAAGTTGGCCATGAGCACGACTATTGGTATTTGCACGCTCTCGTAACATCATGAAATCTTATCACATGAAATGTTGCGTAACACTAAATAGTGATATTATTACCAAATGCTGATCATTTTTGTATTAAATCTTTGAATCCATTCATTTCAAACTCAATGGGAATATGATGTCAAGTGTGAACCATCATCCGATAAATATATCGCAGTTCTTTGATACAGTTAATAAAATTCAAATCACAGCCGCTGATCGAGAGTTACACTGGTTCGTGAAGGACGTTATTTTATCCGAATTTCCACAAATAGTGGAAGCTCTCGAAATATGTTCAAATCTTGTATTATATAACTCACCGCAGCATCCTGATCCCGAAAATAGAGTCGAAAGAGGTCCTCCTGTAAAACTACCGGTTTCCTCACCCAAACTGGAGACTCTCAAGGGTATAATTGTCAGAGACGGCGCCTATGTTACTCAGTTGTCAGTTTCTTTAAAGGAGCCGCATTTTAACAAGGTTCTTCATAAACTTCAATTAAAGAAACCCCTACTTCTCGATCAAATCATTACAACAAAAAAAAGCATTGATCGTGCTATGGAACTAATTAAAGAGGCTCAGAAAACCTTAAATTGTACTGAAGAGGACCATAATGCTTTGGTTACAACTTTTAAAACTCTAATGGGGGAAATAAAGACGGCAAAGAATTCGTTACAGTTACCAACCGATCCTGCTCTTGTATTTCCAATCAACGTCACGCCAAGTGATGCATTTGAACCCGAACTTACTCCAAATATATCCTTTGATCTATATATAAGTCAGGCAGAGGTATGCATAGACTTAAAAAACTTGCATAGGATTCAAGATAAACCTTGGTCCAATATTGACGAAAATGGTAAATCGTACATTGATAAGCTTAGGGACGAAATGAAATTACCAAGTACTCATTCAACGACTACCCCGGCCTCAACACCCATAGCTCCTTCGCAACCTCTCAATATGGCTGATATTGAAGATCGGCTTAATCAAATTAGCACAATTCCTCCTGGTCAAAGGTCTACGGATAGAAGTAAGCTATTTTCTGATATTATTAGTCATTTGCTGCTTAAGCCTAAATATGACCCAATTGATTTCATTACAAAGTGTATCACATACAATAACATGGTTGTTACTATAAACAAAAAGATAGAGGTAAGTTCTCCAGATCCAATCTTGGTTAGCGCTTTCACAAAACTTGACAGTATAGAGTACTTAGTAAGTTCATTTTTAGAAAACCTTCAAAAAGTGATGGATGATTAATAATTATTTCCCTGCTTAACAGCTATTCATTTCTTTAAATATATAATTCAATGTGACTTAATTTCTCATTTTAATTTTTTTTGCTGTCAAAGATACGTGAGTCTATGGATACAGATTAAGAACAGTATAGATTTTACTAGTGCAACGTTCAATTGTACCAGTAGATCAGTAGATTCTAGCAACAATAAAAAACAAATACGATATAATCAAATAAGCAGTACTCAATTAGATATAAGTTTACTTAGACTTCCCCAATTACATGAGTCTACTTGGAAGGCAGCCCGCTGGAATTTTAAAAATAAGTTTGAAAAACAAAACAAAATACTCGTACTTAAAAGGTAAAAGCCGTCTATCTCCAATTTATTCACGGCCATCTACGACAATGACCACAGATAAATACTGCCAACTAGCAGACAACTCAATAATAGAAAGACCTATTTTAGATGACAGGAAATACAGATTCTTGAACCTCAAGAGTAATCATTTGCATGCTTTGGTTATACAAGATCCACTGACTGATAAATCAGCAGCATCCTTGGATGTGAATGTTGGTTCTTTTACAGATAGAGAATATGGTATTTCAGGGCTAGCACATTTCTGTGAACACTTGCTTTTCATGGGTACCGAAAAATATCCTGAAGAGAATGAGTATTCAAGCTATTTGTCTAAACATTCAGGCTATTCCAATGCTTATACAGCAAGTGAACACACTAATTATTACTTTGAGTTGAGTTCCGACAACTTAGAAGGTGCATTGGACAGATTTTCCCAATTTTTTATAAGCCCATTGTTTAGTAAGAGCTGTAAAGATAGGGAAATAAGGGCTGTGGATTCAGAGAATAAAAAGAATTTGCAAAGTGACCTTTGGAGACTTTATCAGTTAGACAAACTGACAAGTAACCCTGCACATCCATATAATGGGTTTTCGACGGGAAATATCAAAACTTTAGGAGAAGAACCTCTCGAAAAAAATTTGAATGTTAGAGACATTCTCATTAAGTTTCATAGTGAACATTACTCTTCTAACTTGATGAGTTTAGTTGTATTAGGGAAAGAAGATCTCGACACATTGTCTTCTTGGGTAGCAGATATGTTTTCAGATGTTCCAAATAAAAATTTGGCTAGACCTAATTATAATGGAGTCGAAATTTTAACGCCTGACCAACTAGGCGTTCTAATTAAGGCAAAACCTATAAAAGAACAGCATTCTCTACAAGTCACATTCCCAATTCCAGATGATCAAGAGGAATCTTGGAGCACCAAGCCATCAAGGTACTATAGTCATTTATTGGGACACGAAAGTGCTGGATCTATTTTTCATTACTTGAAATCAAAAAGCTGGGCCACAGAGTTATCAGCCGGAGGTGCGAGACAAAGTCAAGGTAACTCTGCCTTCTCTATCGAAGTAAGTTTAACCCCATCTGGCTTAGAAAACTGGGAAGAAATTGTTGTGAACATTTTTCAATACTTGAAGCTAATCTTAAATGTAGGGCCACAGGAATGGATATGGAAAGAACTTCACAACACTTCTGAAATAGACTTTAAATTTCGACAAAAACAGGAAGCGTCCTCAACAGTATCTAAATTGAGTGGTTCGCTTTACAAGTTTACTGAGAATTCTTTTATTCCAGCAAAATATTTGCTAAGTTCGTCAATTGTTAGAGAGTTTGATAGCCAAAAGATCCAGCAATATGGCGAGTATCTTAATCCGAAGAATATCAAATTGACTTTGGTTTCTCAAAACTTGGAAGGACTCGACAAGAAGGAAAAGTGGTATGGAACTGAATACTCTATTAATTCGCTTCCGAATTCTTTGTCACAAGCCTTACAAACCATTACGCTTAACAATCAATTTAATCTACCAAAAAAGAATGAATTCATTCCCAATGATTTTACAATTTCAAAAATGAAACTGAAACTTCCCTTAACTCATCCTTACTTAATTACAAACAACAATAAGTTTCATATTTGGTATAAACAGGATGACAGGTTCGAAGTCCCCAAAGCTATCATTGACCTAATGCTTCATCTCCCCAACTCCTCTACAACTTGTGAAGCGAGTGTCTGTACGATTTTACTCAGCGAATTTTTAGAAGATGAACTCAATGATATCTCTTACTACGCCTCGATGGTAGGATTAAGATTATCTATTGATTTTAGACGTGATGGCTTATTGATAAAAGTTGATGGATATAATGATAAAATAGCTGTATTGTTAGAAAATGCCTTGACTCAAGTGTTGAACTTCAGTCCAAAAGAAGAGAGGTTTGAAGCCATAAAATTCAAATTAACTCAAGATTTGCGTAATTTTAACTATGCTAACCCATTCATGCAGATGCTGACCCATTTCTTAACATTGGTGAACGATAAAACATACTCTCATGAGGCGAGACTTTCGGTCCTTGACAAGCTTATCTTTTCACTGTTTCAAAATTTTGTTACAAAGTCGATCTGGGAATCTGGTATATTTGTGGATGGTTTGATTCAAGGAAACTTTGATATATTAAAAGCTGAAAGTATCAGAGATGTGATCGAAAGCAAAATATCTCACATTAAAGCAATTGATTCAGATTATTCCAGCGTGAGAAATGTTGTGAGACTCCAGTCATATGTGTTGCCATCGAATCGATCTTTTAGGTATCAAATGCTGCTTAAAGATCCAGAAAATATAAATTCTTGTATTGAATATTATATTCAAATTTCTGAGGATTTAAACGATGTAAAGGTGAGAGTCTTGACGGATCTTTTGTCAACAATTATTCATGAGCCGTGTTTCAATCAGCTAAGAACAAAAGAGCAACTAGGCTATGTGGTCTTTTCCGGAACAAGATTAACGAGAACGACCTTAGGATTTCGAATCTTGGTGCAATCAGAAAGAACAACAGACTATCTAGAATACAGAATTGCGGATTTTTTGAAAGGTTTTGGTATTTTCGTAAATCAAAAATTGACGAGTGATCAATTCAATAAATTCAAGCAGTCCTTGAAAACTAAGAAACTTGCGAAGCTTAAAAATCTCAATGAAGAGGCAAGTAGATTCTGGGAATCCATCACTAGTGGATACTACAATTTCGAAGAGAGATGTAAGCATGCTGAATACTTGGATCACATTACAAGAGCAGATTTCGTTGCTTTCTTTAATAATTATATCTCTGATGAATCTGATATATCATCCAGACTAGTAATGCACCTCTCGTCGCAAAGCCCTCCTAACCAGCCTGACTTGAAGCTTATACAGGCCTCTATTTACAATTTCATTTATCATTATGATTTGCAAATTGATTCCAGCAAGGTAGACGGGATTATTGAAGATAATTTGAGTAACCTAGAAGCCTTGACCGACAGATTGGTACAGTATCTTAAGGAGCTGAATCAGTCTAATCCGATTGTGGAAAACGGTCACATTTCTAGCCTTTTCCTGATTATCAAGGAAGAATTGAAAAGACCTGTTCCTACAGGATACCCGAGTGGGAACCTCATTGATTCAATTGAAGAGTTTAGGAGTGAGTTTAAGAAAAGTGGTCCGCCTGTACCAGTTGAAGACTTATCCAAGTTTTCTTACTTAGATTCTGAAGCACATTTATAGAACATAGAAAAAAATCGTCTATATACAGTACCTAAAGTTTCCTTAATCATATTTAGATTTAATCGTACGTCTTGAGGAAGTTCTATTTTCTTTCAGCTAACATTGAAGATGTCCTTGAGTTTATCGAAAGTGAGCAATTCTTATTTTAGTAAGCTTTTTCTTTCTAATGATGAGTCCGCCGTATCTAGGGACTCTAGGGCAAAGGTTTTGCTACTCGACAAGTTTACAACATCAATCATATCTATGTGCTACACGCAATCACAACTACTCGAGCATGACATCATCTTAGTTGAATTGATAGAAAACCAAAATAAGCTTAATATGATGAAGCATTTAAGCTGTATTGTTTATATTAAGCCTACAAAAGAATCTATCCAAAGTCTAATCAGGGAGCTCAACAAACCACACTTCAGCAACTATAAACTCTTCCTTAACAACATTATTAGTAAAACTCAATTAGAATCCTTGGCAAATGCAGATGAATTTGAAGTCATAAGTAAAGTGATAGAAATATTTCAAGACTACTTAATTGTCAACGACAACCTATTCATGATTAATTTAGAGAATGCTACTCAAAATCAGACTATTGAAGAAAGTAATAGCATCTCCAGTTTGCTTTTGTCTTTAAGAAAATGTCCGCTTATAAAATACGAGTCAACGTCATTCGAATTAAAAAAGCTCAGCTCCGAGATCCTTTATAACATAAATTCAAATACGAATAATAACTTGTTTGATGAATTGAATCAAGCTCTGGATGTTCCCCCACTACTTTTGTTGTTAGATAGAAAAAATGACCCTATAACACCTTTGATATCTCCTTGGACATATCAGTCTATGATCCATGAACTCATAGGTATCAATAGGAATATTGTGGTTTTGAGTGACAAGGAGCAGTTAACCTTGTCTGAAGACCAAGACAAATTTTTTCAAGAATCGATGTATTTGAACTATGGAGACTTGACTGAAAAGTTTCAAGCGTATGTTGAAGAATACAAAAAGCAGACAAAGCAATCCTCAATTGATAATCTCAAGACACAAAACTTATCAGAATTGAAAAACATGTTGACCAAGTTTCCAGAATATAGAAAGTTGTCAAATAATATTTTAAAGCATTTGAACTTGATAAGTGAAATCGATAAACAGATCTCAGATCAAAACCTTTGGGAAGTGGGCGAACTTCAGCAAACAATCATTTGTAATTTGGAAAGTCAGCTGTTTTTGAAATCAAAATTACTTCAAGTTTTAGATAACATCCAAATTTCAACTGTCAACAAGTTGAAATTGATCTTACTATATTCTGTTAGATTCAACAATATGGAAGACTTGAATCACTTTTCGTCAAAGCTTAATGATCCTTTGATCACCAGCCCACTTCCTACAGTTTCACAAAATGGTTTGATAAAAAAGTTCAGAAAACTTTTCAGCTCAAATATAACCTCCAATACAAGCAACAATAACAATAATAATATCGGTAATATATTCAATAATCAGAGGATCAAGATCAATCAGTTGTTTAATCACAACTCGAGTCAATCCACTAAAACGGACAATATCTATATGCAATATACTCCAAAACTTCATGAAATTTTGAATAATGTTCTTAATACCGATGCTCAGAGGAATGATCAAACACTAAGCAATTTGTCAACCGTCATACCAGATAATGTTTCAAATCAGTATGGAGGACGCGTTGATGGATATTCAGCTCAAGATATCATAATATACATAAAGGGTGGCGTGACGTACGAAGAAGCAAGATTGGTGCATGAATTGAATGAATCAAACAACAGTATTAATTTAGTGATTGGTGGAGATTGTATTTTGAATAGTAGTCAATGGTTATCAAAATTATACGATTTAGTAAATGAATCGTGATATATATTTAAATATACATATATATTACATAATACGATCAAGACAAAATATGTGAACTTCTTTGGATGGTGTCAAGGCGCATATTTACCATATTTTTGTTCCCATTCCAATATTTTTTCTGTCAACTTCTCCATTGACGTTAAGTTTTCGCTAAAGTTTAGAAGAACTTTGTTATTATCTATATCCTGTGCGTCATCATTTGAACTCTCTTTATAGCTAAAAATTTCAATTTTGTTGATACGCTCCTCTTCTAATTCCATCTGGGTTCTACCTAGCCATTCGAGAATTGCTCCAGTTCTTTTACGTAATTCATAGATGGAGGATTTTTCACTTACATACCTTGGTTTCGAGTTTTGACTTATTAATTCTTCCTTCGTCGAAAGTGAATTATTCGACTTGTCGGAAGCTGAAGAAGTCCCCAGTTTTTTAGTAGTCTTTGAATGTCCCTTCAATGTTTTGCTTTTCGTTCTTGATTTCTTTATTTTTGGTGCATGACTCGTGCCCTCGCTATTCGCAGTATCTTCATCGTTTGTTTCTCCTTTCTCAGTTCCTGAAGGTCCTATGTCTGACTCGTTTGCATTTTTCCGGTGGTCGTCCACATCGCTCCCTTTGGCTCTTCTTTTACTCTGGGGTCGCTCATCTTCGCGGGTCATGCTAACTCCCGATTCCTTCGCGCTCTCTTTTAGAGCCTTTTGCAATTGTTCATCATACATATCATCAAAGTGTCGCCTCTCCTTTCTAGAAGGCTTTGGATCTGAGTTCGCCGAAGCCGATGTTGTCGGCCTCTTCGTTCGCAGTCTGTTCGACAGTCCTCCAGCAAACTCATTTGATGCAAATTCCGATAGCAATTTCTTTCTCTTGTCATTCGCTGGCTTGTATAATGTTCTGACAGCCTCATCCCCTTCATTAATGAATATGTGTAAGTCTGGCTTGCACAATTCACACCAGTACTTTTCGGGAACATCATCGTTTGTGAAGAGCCCCACACAGTACCCATGTTGCCATACAGAGCATTTATCACATTGAATAAATAATCCTTGGTCAATCTTGATAGAGTATTCTGACTGTAAAAAGCTTGCAAGTTGTTGGTTTATATTTTGCGTACTGATCTCGTCCCTTCCACATATGCACCTTGTTATTTCTTCTTCTTCTTCAATCTCATCCTCAAACACATTTACGCCTTCATCATCATCGCCTATTCCAGAACTATGTCCAGACAGACCAGAATGATTTCTAGATCTCTCTGATCTTCTTGACATTATTCAATCATAAACTGTGATACTGCTTTTGAATAAAGAAATTGGTTAATGTACAGATAGCTGGCTGGCAGTTAACTTTCGATGGGAGATTTATTATGGCAGTTTTCTATATTAAATGCGGAATCGCGGTTTTAAGTTAAACATTGTGTTAGTATATTTTACTTTGCACTATAAAGAAGATGGCTAGTTGATTACAAGAGAACTCTAATAATAAATATAGCAATATACATCTCAGAGTTACTTGTTTCTATACATAAACAAAAAGATAATTAATTTGAAGCTATTCAAATGGATAACTTCAAAGAGCCATTTCTATCGTATATCCCTGGATTTCGGATGTAAGGGTCCAACTGGATATAATTCTCAGATAGCTTGATACTTATATCAATCTTGTCTTGCAAATATTTTGAACTCACATCTGGATTGGTGGATTCAATCCATTGTTTTGTTGTTTCTAGGAAAGTGGCATATAACTTATCTCGTTCCTTCCGCAATTTCCTGAACTTGGCATCCTTTTGCAAAGGAGGTCCCCCGTGTCGATTTCCTGGTATTGGATACTCATCAGCATACGAGTCATTACCGCCAATAAAGTCTGGTATGTGGCATAGAGGAATATATTTTTCCAACTCTTCAACCGTTCTTGTAAAATGGATCCTAGATGCTATAACTGGATCTATCCAGTTTTTGATAATGTCCCAGACAATTGAAAAGATCCACGGTGCGTTGTGTAACAATACAAGTCCCAAGCTGTCTGGATATTGAGCTTCGAAAATTTCAGCTATGAATTTTATTGCAGCATAGTCTGCATTTTTGAGAGAAAAGCCTGTCAAATCGAACAAAATTACTGCCGAGTCAACAAAATCCGTTGCCTGTCGAAAGAATAGCCTACACCACTCAATCGTTAAGACAATATATCTTTTAGTATCTGGCAACGAATCAGAAGTATAATGTCTCCTCGTTCTGAATACAAAAATTCTATTACCATCGTAATCAGTTCCCCTTAAATAAGACTTCGAAACAGTGAAATTTCGGATGAACTCAGAGTCAGTATCATGTAAATAAGACGGTGCGTCGCCCTCCAAGAGCCAATCTGCTGTAGGAAAGTCTTTTGATCTCCATTCCATGTTCTTGAAAAACAGTTGAAGCGATCTTTCAGTGTCATACCCTCTTATTCTTACGTGATTTAGAAGAAAATTATCAACTAGGTTGACATTGTTGCTTGCGAAAAATGCATTGTGAGTTGTGTTTGCCTTGAAATCAGATTTCAATGGCAAGATTGACTTTTTTGGTTTGACTTGCTTATTGATTGATCCATCCCTCAGTTTGTAGGAGCCTCGCTTCGGTACTTTTTTCCGACACAGCACCAAATCTTCCTTTCTTGAAACATTATTATCCTCATTGCTGTATGAGGGTGATGCAGTAGTGAAAGTTTCTGATGAGTTGACGGAGTTAGTGTCCTTCGCCTCTGTTTCCTCTTCTTCTTCGCTCGATTCAATAGATTCGTAACCATCGCTATACTTATATCCCTGCTTGTAGTAATGACTATAGATATAATGATATCGTTCTGAGGGCTTTTTAATAGGCACATATCTTTCTGAAGAGGACAATGTTTGTAAATGTTTCAATCTTTCAGAGTTTTGCAGCTGCCCGCAGCTTTTCTTTCTCCAGCCAAAAAAATTTCTTTTCTTCCTAAGAAACAGCAGAGATGTGTCTCTTGTTGTGATCGAATTGTTGGTAGAAGTATAATTTATATTTTGCCCACTCAAGGACTTTTTCAATTCATTCTTGGATGTTGTACTAGAGGCAACGAAACTTCGCTTAAATGCTATATCCGAATCTGATATATCTAGGTCATATCCCCAAAATTTTAACAAATATGCCCAAACTTGCTTCAATACAATCTCTTGCTCGCCAGTGAGAGTTTGAATACGACCTGGTTTGGGCTCTGAAGGCATATTCTCAGTTACAGTCATTCACCTTGAATAGATTCGCTGAAACTTGGAGGTTAGTCTCGTTAATTTCCTCTTCCTTCTCGCCAGTTGAGGCTAACCTTTCAAAGGAAACTTGCTTGATTGTTTCACGAACTTCTTTACAGAATCTAAAAGATTGCCTTCTTTCACTTAATTATTTAGGGAAATAATCTAGAATCCTCTCTTCTATTAGAATGCTAACAATATCGTACTTTTGATTCAATTGAAGCTGATAACTTAATTACAGCGCAAATTTGTAGAATTTACTAAATATCTTGGTATCGATTCCTATACTACAACTCTATAGATGATGAATTAGTGAATATGTAATTTTAGGTGCTAAGTCTTTCACATGGAAATGATCGATGATTTATCCCTTATATGCATTACCTTCTTCGTTGTCTCATTTGGGCAATTCTTCGACCAGACATTAACGGAGGTGTTGGCGTACTGGACGGAGGGGCGGCATTAAATACATCGGGAGTAGTAGTTCCCGCATTGCTACCGGCGCCATTCGCCATGATTCCAGGGCCATTACTAGGAAACCTAGCATTACCAGCATTGAAGGCAAAAGGAGTAGTGGCTGCAGGAACTGCACCTGGTGTTGCAGCTGTGGCAGCGCCGAACACGGAAGCAGGGTCCGGTGTGCCTTCCTTAGATCCAGTGAAGTTGAAGGCCGGCTTCGATGAGGGATTGAACGAAAAACTAGGTGCAGCAGTTGCACGAGGAGCAAAATTAAATCCGGGTGCATTAGTATTTTGATTATTACCAAACACAAAAGATGATTGAGGTGCGGTAGATGGGCCTTGTCCGAAAGAAAACGGTGTAGCAGCCGTTTGCGCATTGCCGTTGTTTGACGTGTTCGCGAAAGGCTCAGGAGTGGCGGTTGACAGCTTAGGAAAAGATCCTTCAGCTGACAGGGACAGTACCGCCCCCTGGAAAGCTCCAGATGTGGCATTCTTGTTATCCAAGGAATTACCAGCTGGTTTTGCACCAAAGTTAAATGACGGAAATGAACCTGCTTCTTTTTCGGAGCTTCCAAACGAGACAGATTTTGGAGCCGATCCATCTTTTGGTGCACCGAAGACAAATGAAGGTTTAACTGGATTGTCAGTATTTTCAGAAGTATCAAGAATAATTTTTGCTTCTTTTTTAGTGTTTGCTGGCGCTCCAGAGGTAAAAGTAGGTGCAGTTAACGTCTTGGTGGGATGGTCGCTGCCTTTATCATTCACTTGCTGTTTACCGAAGCTGAATGCTGGTAATTTGGTACTATCCGCATTCTTATTTGTGGCCCCAAAAGAAAATGAGGGCTTTTCCTGTTTTCCTTTTTTATGAGTTATATCAAGGTCTATAGTCTTTTCCGTCCCTTCCTTAGAAATTTCTAAATCTAATTTTGGCGCATCTGGTTTTTCTGTAGCCCCGAAAGAAAATTTTGGTTTCACTTGCTCTTCTTTCTTGTTACCAAAGTTAAATACAGGTGCCTGTGTTTTATTCGACGGTATTTGTGGAACACGGATGTCAGTATCCGGTCTATCAGATTCTTTGACTGGGTTGAATTCGAACTTTGGTTTCGAAATATTTTTGTCTTCTTCTTTGGTACTTCCAAACAAAAAAGTATTTTTAGCTGGCCCGTTTTCTTTCCAAGCATTATTTTGGCTTCCAACTTCAAGCCCCCCATCTTCTGCATTATGATTTTGCGAGTTAACTTTACCTTTCAAGAAACCATCACCCGTGGAACTGCTGTCGCTTTTCCTTTTTACAAGTAAAGGAATGTCAAACTTAGGTGCCTTCGTTTCACTTTCCAAAGATGCCTCCTCTTCTGCTCTTTTGTTTATCACAGAAGAAATTTTATCATTATCCAAAGAAAATTGAAAGCCAGAGCTTGGCTTTATGGTTTCTTTTTTGTTTTCTACCTTTTTGCTTTCACCACCGGTCTTCAATTTAATAATATTGGAGATACTTTCTGCTTTTTTCACATATTCGGAATCTAAAGATAAATCATGGGACTCATTACCTTTGGCAGAGGACTTTCCATTGATGTCTTTTTTGACATGAGCAGGCTTAGCGATGGATCCAAGATATCCTTCAAGCTTATTTGAAGCTGGTCCTTTCAGCGCCTCGTTTGAATCGTAAAAAAACTCTCCTACAAAAAAGCCGTGATTATTCTTAGCTCTTTTCAGACTCCTAGAATTAATCGGCATTTGGCTCTTCCTTTTGAAGGATGGAAAAATGAGAGACTCCTCAAGAAAGTTCTCATCACGAGTTTGAGTAGCTGTTTCTACTTTATTTGTGGCAGAATCAATATGAGAAACTGTTTCATTTGGATCAACCATATACTTTATTCTTTCTTTCAATGCCTCTGATGCCGTAATTGATCGTTTAAGTTGAAGTAAATGATATCTTTCTCTGGGGTCTAAGTTTATAAATGGTGGCCTGATCAAATTTCCCTCATCGTCTGTATATAGCGGTGCAAATTCATGTTCAATTATTAAGGGTAAACTATCCTCTCTATCTTGATCTAACATTGGTGGGGTTGCGTTTACATGGATGCCGTTTTGGCGAAGATCTGCAAACAGAGACTTCTCGTCTAATTCGTCATCATCTATAGTTCCATCTTTTGCAATAGCATCATCGTATACATGGCTAACTCTTCTTTCTAGGTCATTATTTAGTTCCTCCTTTTGAAATCTGAAGGAATCTGAGAAAGTTTGGTACGAGCCAATATTGCTTGACAATGTTGAGAAGCGAGGTGTAATTCCACTTCTAGGACGTGATGAAGTGGATAAATTTCTTTTCTTTGCAGAGGAGAAGTTATATTCTGCTTTGATATCCTCTTCCAATGAGAATCTTGTTTCAGGTATATGTTGCTCTCCAACTTCTGGAGATCTAGATGAGAATGGGTTGATCAAGGAAAGTAAATTGGAAAAAGCAAACCCCTGCCTTTTCTTATTGCTCAGTTTCTCCTTTGATTGAGGACTGATAGACCTCTTTAGGGAATTAGGCATCCTTAGAACCCTTTCTTAGATCTTTTGAAATAACTCTTTCGCTTTATTTACACCTTTTTTCAAATTTTGTTTCTCGTCAATTTGCGAGAATACACGACTATATGTATTATTCTAATATACATCTTACTATTTTATATACAACGAGCCTGGCCCTCTGTCTTATATTCTGTTTGAGACAGCAAAAGACAAAGCCTCTCCGGAATTGCTAGTTGTTAGGTTTGAAGAAGTATCATTCAACGTCAAGCTCTCTCCGTACGAGTCGAAAGGATTTTTATTCTCATATGTAAGATCTGGGTCGTAAAACATCGCAGGATTCTTAATACCTGTAATAGGATGATCTCTTGCGACAGAGTCAATTTCCTTAACAAGCTTAATCATACTATTCTCACCGTAGTTCACACCATACAGAGCAACAATTGGAATCACGCCCTGGACCCAAGCATCTATGATTCTTGCTCTTTGCTTGGTACCTAGTCTCGATATAGGAAACTCTCCTTTTCTAATAAAAGCAACAATGTCGACGATTATATGATGCTTACTCAAAACAGTATTTACTATTAACGGAACGAGAGAAGCAAAATACCTCGATCTCTTTGCCTCGCAAACGACTATCGTGTAGTCAGAGCATTTAAATATGCAAGCCCCATTCTTGTATATATCTGAATGACATGATTCAATAGTATTCTCTATATCAATAGGAAAGTGGTGCAAGCCCATAACTTCAAATGTTTCCGCTATTTTTCCCAAGATGAAAAGTGGTTGGAATGAAGTAACCATCTCTTTTTCATCTTCAAGATTCTTGTCATCTTCTCTATTTCTGCTAATTGATATATTATGCAAAAATCCAAGGTCCCCGGTTCTCAAATACGTCACATTTGGATTGCCTCCATTGATCCTTGCCTCAAATTGGTTATTAGTAAATTTATCAACTGGCCCATTTGGTCCATTGGTAAATGAAGTTAAATTTGCTTCTGAATAGACCCATATTTCGCCGAATTCTCCTTCTTTACACATCCTGTTAGTTTCTGGGTTCACGACAGCAATTTCAGTACAAACAGGAGCAATTCCAGAATCCTGGATGTGAAGAGCATTGGGTATGTCAGCAGGATTAACAATAGAAATGTAACCTTGCCGAAGAGCAATAGGATCCAAATATAAATCCACAGGCGCGACTTTCATATATGAACGTGTAGATATAATTGGATTGAAGCAATGGTTGTACACTGTCGATAAAGATGCTGCACTCAAGTTTGTAGGCTGAAAGACTTTTGCAATCTTTCTCAATAAATCAATTTCAAGCCTTGCATCAGTACTTATCATCATATTCTTTAGGTTTGATAAATTAAAGCCCTTTGGATTAAATTTAACTGCAGCATACTTAAGCATTTGTTCGGTAACAAAGACATCTTTAACCTTGTAACGAGCTAAAGAAAGGAAAAGAGCCAAGGGATTTTCTGCAAAACTCACAGGAGAGCTTAAATAGGTTGTAGTTCCTAAGTAAACGCCCAACAATACTGATTGTACGAATCCAATTCCTGAAGAATGCCTGACACATCCTACAATAGCTGAATGGGAAGTTAAGTTACACGTCTCTTTGAAAACTTTGCATATTCCCATAATGCTTTTATGACTTAGTGTTGCACCTACTCTATAATAGTCTGAAGTAAAGTTCAACCAGATAAGTGCAGTCGTCTTCTCATCACGAAAATTGACTGCCGCTTGATACCTCGAAATTTTGGAATTCAATGATGCAACATTCGAAACCTTTGTAAGCTTCGTCGTGTTTTTTATCTTGAGACCGTTCCTTTTCTTGCTTGTGAGGCGTTTTAATGAGTCTGCCATCGGACCATTTTTTAGAAACTTTTCGACGTCCTCATTTACCAAGATATCCTGAATTCCAAAATCTTTTATGATCCCAACGAAAGCTGGAAAATCTTCCCCAATTCTATTCGAATCAAATGGCAACAACGGGATAGGAATAATTCCACATATAAGACATGCATACACTGCAATTACAAACTCTTCTGATAACGAAAACATCAACATCACATATTGTCCTGGTTTGATAGCAGCTTTTTCAATCATGTAATGGCAAACCGCATAAATTTTATGTTCAAATTTCTTCCACGTCAATGGCTTCGAAGAAGACTTTCCGCTATGATCAATATTTTGCAATGCTATCGCATCGCCAGAGCTTGCGACTCTGAATTTCAAAACATCAGTAATGGTTTTAAAATCTGTGAGAGGTGCACCAGTCTTCTCGTCTACTGACTTTTCTCTATAGTCAATATTTGAAACTTGTCTAGGAAACTTCGATAGGGCAAGGCTCCTCAACTCTGATGCATACAGAGACCAGATTCCGCCAATAATATCTTCACCGTAAGGAATCATACTTATGGACTTTCTCACGAAGAATTTCACAAATTCAGCTTTCAAGCTACCTTCAAGAAATCTCTTTTTACATAGCATATTAGCGATTTCACGACCTCCACTTCTCATTATCTTTGGCAAGGTATCACAGTCAACAACTACGACACAGTACAAGCGCAAGAAATGATGCTTATAAAGTTTGTCGAAACATTTCTGAGCAACCAAGTTTAAAGCGGGCTCATTCAAGGGAATGGGACTCTTTACCTGACCATTTTCACCTTCAGCACCTTTTATTGATCTATTAGAGCCCGTTGTTTGTCCATTCGAATCAGTCCCATCTTCCATGGCTTTAATTACCTCTGCTTCGACAATTGCCACGGGCAAATATTCATTGCCAATAAAAATATCAAATATTGTACAGTCATATACCTCTCTGACTTCTTTTGCCAAAGTAGCTAATAAATGTGAGGAGTAATGATACCTAGACCCATTATCTATAATAAGATCTTTTTGGAGCTTTTGGTATAACTTTTGGTCCATCCAACTGATCCTTTGGCGAATGCGATCTTCATATAATCCCAAAACATAAACCTTACCTTTCATTGTAAATCCCAACAACCCGGTTCTCAAGAATTCTCTTTCACTAACACCATTCGCATCTCGACACTTAGCATGAAATATTTGTTTGGAGCCTTGACTCAGGCCATGAAAGCCCCCAGAGAGGCAAGGACTGTCAACCCATATTTCTCCTAACTCCTCTTTGCAGACTAAAATAGACAGCTCGGGATTGACGACGGCCAAAGAAGCATCAGGCAAGGGGTAACCAAATGCATCGACTCTCAAGGTGTCTGGAGATATGTCATCTGATGATGAAGGGTTAGTATCAACAACTTTAACAATATTTCTTGATAAAGATTCCTTATCAATCAATACTGCTGACAAGTCACCTGGACCAGTGTCAGCTTCATCTTGAATACCTTCTAAGCCTAGATTCTCTGTTCTTCCTAGCCAGTCTCTTAATGAAATGACCATTCCTCCATATTCGCTTAACGTTAGCATTGGAATTATCGCATTTTCAGGATGTTGGCAACCTAAAGGACGTAGATATCGTTGCGACAAAATCTCAATAAACTCCCCATCAATAGTTAAGGCATTGACTAAAACCCATTTGACGGAGGAGAAATCTACCTTTTGCGTTTTAGAAAAGTACCTTGTCGAATTGGGGGCTTGCTGATAGTCATAAGTGACCCTCTTCAAACCAATGTAATCCCCCAACAATAAAGATGCGTGGCACTTTGAAACTATGTTAGCATACAAACCTTGAATCTCCATGACCCTTTGAGGTGCCCAAATAAGTAAATTACCTGAGTAAACATTGAATAATATACCCAATATCATGCCAATTGAAAATCTGATATCTAGAGTAGCCAAAACTACTTTAGAGTGTCTACTGTAGTGCTTGTGATCTCTTCGAAGATTTCCTCCAGACTCTGGCATACTCAGAAGCGTTTCATTAAGGCAGTTCATTTGGTGTAAGATTGTTGAATGGGTCAAAGCAATGCCTCTGAGCTCACCGACTGGTGATCTTGAATATTCCACATAAGCTAAGTTGTCCTTAGACACAGTTCCTTTCTGCAGATATTGTTTGGACTTCCAGTTAGCCACATCCGTTTTCTTTGCAGATCCAAACTCTGTTGTTCGCCAACGCACAAGTTTCGATGGCCATTGAATCTTCAGAGAGGATGCGCTGAGCTTGTCAATTTCTTTGGCAACTGTGTCGGTATATAGAAGTAACTTTGATGAGTTCCAGTTGATGATTTCTAAAACCTCATGCAATGATATATCTTGGTGAATAGGAATAGCTGTCACTCCAGCGAAGAAACATCCAAACAATGCAATGACAAACTCCGTGACCTCGCCATCCTTATAAAGCAATATTACAGTATCACTATGTTTAAGTGCCATCCTGTGCTTTATCTCATAACCAACTTTCAACGCTTTCAAATAGAGCTTTTCCCATGTTATAGACGAAACTTCCTTACCCTTGATGTCAATCACCATAAACGCCAGCTCAGTCTTATATAGGTGGGCTCTACTAGCTAATACATCCAATAGATATTCGGGCGATGTGTTCAACCCATTCAGAAGATCAGCCCCCATTCGAGGATCCAATGGTTTTTGAAGCTTAGCCGAATTTATTTCTAAGAATTGCTCCTGTTGTTGTTGATGAATCCGATTAACATTTTGCATGATTTCTTCTCTTCTATTAATGTAAGTCCATTGATCTATGGTTTTATGCTCCATGAAGTCAGCTTCTAAATTTTGAAGAAGCATGGACATATCTGGTGGAATATCTTGGGAGAATGGGTTACCCATGGGGCCCGGTGACCTTACTGGTGTCGATATCCCTTTAGAGGACAGTCTCGTTGCAGCTGGATCATCAGGCTTTATATGACCAGAAGTTTCCTTTGACCTCCCAGCACCACTTCCACCTAAAGCTGACAAAGACATAGCCGTGTTATTGAAATCTCTCTTTGATACAGATTCTATATATATGGCTCTGTTACTTTTGTCTTTGTATATTTGAAGTTGCACTCATTAAGACACCACCTGAAACAAATATGATGAAAAGAACTAATGTCGGTTATGGGGAAATGTCGCTATGTCGTCTCTCTCAAAAAAAACTTCTGAGATGAGACGGCCTCTTACTTTTAATTTTGCAATAATGTGAAACGCATAGGCTCTAATATTTATTATCTATTATGAGTTTTGGCGCATACTTTGGTAGATCCTATCGAAAAGGTGTGGTGATATGGATGCCTCACTCCGTGACCTCAGTAGCGCGAAGAAGCATATTCATAACTAGTAACAGCAGGAGGAATAAGAAGAAAGAACTAGAAAGAGACAAAATCGATAGATTTATTAACAGAGATGCGGAAAGGAAACTGAGAGAGCAAGAAACGATGTATAGAAATAAATTGAAGGAGTTGAAACTACTTACTCAAAGTGTGTCCGAAAGAATAAAACGGAAAGAAGAAGACGCAATGAAACTGACTGCGGTCGATCATATCGAAGTAGAAAGGGACTCTGAAATTTTATATAAAAACCTTCAGCCCTGTGATGAGCCTCGAGGTATTGCAAATCCGCAGGCATCTTTGCTCAACAAAGAATTTAGGCCTGATGCGTATTCTTTAGTAGTTCCAGCTGTTTCTGTGCCAGATTCAATATCACGAAAGATTGGAATTGCCCTCAAGTACCTTGTCTCAAAAAACGATCAACGTTGGGATCTCGTATTGCAGCAGCTCAGTGAAAGTGGCGGCTTTACAGAGATTCCGCGTAAAGATGTCAAATATTTCATAGAAAACATTCCCAGAAGATATATACTGTCCCTCATTCCCCAGTTGGAAAATATGATGAGCGATGCAGGTATCAAGTCATCTCCCAGCATAATTAATAGCTTTATAGAAGGTATTTCTGCTGGGTCTGTTCTCTCTGATCAAAGCATTAAAAAGATTGAAGAATTCTCTCAGCAAATAAGGTCAATCAGTAAAACGAAGAAGTTACCTAGGCGGACATACGAACTTCTTATAATGGCTTATGGAAAAAACAACAATCTTGAGAAGATAAATTCTTGCTTAGCGGAAATGAAGAAAGATGGGCTTCAGCCGTCTTCCCAGACGTTTGTTAATATCCTCTCGACTTGCGTTTACAAGGCAAATGACCACAAGCAAGCAGTAGAAATCTTTGACTCGATGAAATTTTTGTCTGTGAAGACAAACCCAGATACATCGTCTTATCAACACATCATAGTCTCATATGTTAATAATGATAACATAGAGAAGGCACTAGATTTATATCAGGAAATGATTTCAAAAGGTATACCACTAAATCAGGAGATATTAATAGCTCTTGCCAGAGGTTGCTCATCCAGACCTCGTTTAAGCTTAAAATCATGGGACTTTGTTTTTGATATTTATGAGAATGGGTGGGAGCCCACTTTAGAAACTTTTGAATATATCATTTACCTCGCGGCTCGATCTGGAGATCTTCCAATGACAAGGGCCTTGTATTTTAAACTTAATGAATCCAAATCCATATCTTCGAAAGCTTTTTCATTCTTGTTGTTAGCATACTCAAAAAGTAGGGTGAAGTTAAAGGAGGTAAACGAGCCTCCCAATTTGGTATATCATGATAAAGGTAGAATTTTCAGAAAGAATATATTATCAGATGTGAACTACCTAGTGAAGATTAATCCTCATGAGCAAGGTCCACCTTTTCTTCCTAAGCTTGATCTTAATACGAAAGAAGAGATATTAGCAGAATCGAGCGCTGTCTGGACACATGCTATGATTCAACATCCCAACTTTATCAATATAAAAAGCGCAAACACATATTTGAATATAGCAGCAGAAATGGGTACTTTGAAGGACTTTAGGGATAGATTCGAAAGTACAACTTTCCTAGACAGATCAAGTTTGCCGGAGGATAAAAGCATAATTGTGGAGGAACCGTCTGAGTCCGTTTTTTCTGAGAAAGAGAAGATTGGAACTCTAGATGCTCAAGGAAGTGTCGATATAAAAAACATGCCGATTTTTTCGCAACATAGTATGAATGGTCGCAAGGTAGCACGTTCTTCTTTAACATATGTCATCGCAATAAAAGCTGCTGGAAACTTTAAAAATTACAATTTTGCTCAAAAGATATGGTCCGAAAGGGGGACTTTTCGTAAAACTTCATCTTTCAAAGTACTTTCACGACTTGAAAAAGACGTTTTGGATTTTCAATTCGCAAGTGCAATGGTCTCCTGTTTGACCAAAATGAACTTACTTGATGATGCCGAGGCGATACTTCTCAGTACGGAATATCAATTCAAGTGGAAATGGAAAGAATTGAAGGAGCTTCATAAGGCTGCTGTTGAAGTCGGAAATGAAAAGCTCTGCAAAACAGTCAGAAACGTTGCCCGAAGAGCACAAATCAATTTTGAAGGTAAAATAAGACGTAAAGATTTCAAGAGATATCTTATGGAAAGAGGATACTAACTGTCGTCGTTTATAGTGTAAATAGTGTATAGCATTTCGTACAGCATCATGTAAATATTTCATACATCAATATATGTCTTACGCGTATTTCTTTCGTAGATTTATTTACAAGTCTATTAATGTGTTGTCACTATACTAATCATTCCTGGTTTTACGATAAGTCTTTTGAGTTCTCCTGTTACATACTTCCTCGTGTTTTCTTTCGAACAAACAATTTCGAAGATTTCCTTCTCCTCTAATTCAATTAAAGATTTATTTCCTTGAAACAGTAACCGGGCTTTGCCATTTATAAACACATTGTATCTTATGAATGGTGAATCAATTCTCTGTGATTTTGGATAAAGCTGTTCGGAAATCGAGCTCCACGGACGACCTGTTGTAATACAAATTCTCTCCCAACATTCTTCAGAAACACAGGGCGTCACTGGATACATACCTATCAACAATGTTTTATAGGCATCCAATATAATTTCCTTTCGAGCAGTATTTTCTCCCTTTAGTGAAGCAACGATAAGGTTTGTTAACTTCATATAGTCTGAAATTATTGTATTAAAGGACAATTGGATTTCAATGGACTCAGCTATTCGCTCGATAAATTCTTGAACTTCACGAAACAAATTGAAATCCAACTCGTTAAATCTAATGCTATTGTAAATCTTTTCATTGATTTTTATATTCTTGAAGTTAGTCATTGTATGATTCGAATCCTCGTTCTTAGGTTTATGGTCTCTGAAAGCAGTATTTATCCTTTCTGGTAATGATATAACAGTGTTTAACCAGCGTTTGATTCCATGGATCTGACTCTCGTTCCAATTCAATACATCCGAAATAGGAGCTTGAAATAAGATGAGAGCTCTCGTCGCATCTGGTCCATATTTTGAAATATATTCAGCAGGATCTGCCCCATTAAATTTAGATTTAGACATCTTCTCGTAAGTAATATTTGGCTTCATTCCTGAACTTTTTATTTTCGGTGATGTAGGATTTGAGAGATCTAATTCTTCGGGCTTCAAAAAGCGATTAGTTTCTGGGTCAGTGAAAGTTTCTCCATGTACCATTCCTTGTGTAACTAATTTTTTAAATGGCTCATTTCTAAAAGAATCACAGGACCATAAGCCAATATCACCAAGGAACTTAGAAATGAACCGTGAATATAACAAGTGCAAAATTGCATGCTCTATTCCTCCTATATACATATCCACTGGCATATTTTCGTTCACTTTTTTAGGGTCAAAAAGCCTTTGCTTGTTCTTGTTATCTAAATATCTGAAAAAATACCAAGAAGAATCCATGAATGTATCCATAGTGTCGGTTTCCCTTTTTGAATCTGCACCACACGATGGACATTTGGCTTTTACAAAAGATTCCAAATTTGCCAATGGGTTTCCTTTCGTAAATTTATGTCCTTGTAAAGGAGGTAAAACCACCGGTAAATCCAGATCAGGAGCTGGCTGCGGGCCACATTTTTCGCAATGAATGATTGGTATTGGTGCACCCCAATATCTTTGACGACTTATCAACCAATCTCTAAGTCTATAGTTTATTACGTCCTTTCCTAAATTTTGTGACTCTAAAGCACTCAAAACTTCTTTTGCCGCTTTCATCGATGGCATTCCTCTGTAATTTCCCATGTCCTTTCTCCCATTATTCAAAACAGAGCTGTCATATAAGACACCATCCTTCTCCGTGAATGGTAAATCTTGTTTCCTAATGGCCAGCTCTAAATCTTTGTTTCCAACAACTTGGATCGGAGCAATATCTGGATTCTGACGATTCCAAAATTTGAAGTCTCTTTCATCATGACCAGGACATCCCATGACAGCACCTGTACCATAACTGCTTAACACATAGGGCGCCACGTAGATCGGAATTTCGAATTTTTCGTTCCTATGATTATGCACATCGATTGGAATAGATGCTCGTAGATTCTGGATCAAATATCCTTCAGTTGTATCAACTTCTTTGCCTCTCAATTCTTCAATGAACAATTGTAATTTTGGATCATCCCTCGCAAGTTTTACAGTAAGTGGATGGTCCAATGCAAGAGCCAAAAATTGAACTCCAAATATAGTATCTGGTCTTGATGTAAATACAGGTATTGTAGAATTACTTATATCATTGATCAAAAACTCTATCTCTGCACCATATGACTTACCAATCCAATGTTTCTGCATAGATTTTACCTTCAGCGGCCACTCCTTAAGTATGTTTAAATCTTCATTTAATGCATCAGCGTACTTAGTTATACCTATAAACCATTGTCTTAGTTTTTTCTTTTCGACTATCGCACCAGATCTCCAAGACTTACCATTTGCGTCGACTTGTTCATTAGCAAGTACTGTCTGATCAACGGGGTCCCAATTGATCTCTGCTTTTTTCCTATATGCTAATCCATGCTCGAAAAGTAGCAAAAACAATTTCTGAGTCCATTTATAATAATCTGGAGAGCAAGTATTTATTTCTCGATCCCAATCAAAATCTGCCAACATCATAGACATTTGTTCTTTCATATTTTTAATGTTTTCTTCCGTCCAAACAGCAGGATTAATACCTCTTTCAACTGCAGCATTTTCTGCCGGTAACCCAAAAGCATCCCAGCCCATTGGTTGAATCACTTGCTGACCTTTTAACCTTTTAAATCTGGTGATAACGTCATTGATTGTGTATACTCTAAGATGTCCCATATGCAATTTTCCAGATGGATATGGAAACATCGTCAAACAATAAAACGACTTAGATCCATTTTCATGTTTTGTTTTGGATTTTGGCATTGCCTTCCACTTTATGGTCCACTTTTCAGCTATTTCATTTAGAGTTAAAGCCGCCTTTTCATCAGTAGTGCTTGAAATTGGTCGAGTGCTATTCCATTTTAAAGCAGTTAAAATACTAGAGCATCTAGAATACAATGGGGAGACAAACTCCTTCCGCATCCTCAGACTAAATCCAACTTCTGTCAAATTTACAATTCATAAACGGTTGAATAAATTTTGAAAAATAATTTTTTTCCGCTATATACCGAGAATAATCTAACTAGACTTAACTCTTTCGTTGACCAAAGATACTAGAGAAGTGAACAAAAGGTCACCAAGACCTTTGAACCCTTTTTTATCTAGACCTCTCAAGACCTCCAACTTAAGTTTCTTGTAATCAACATCTAGCCATCTGTGGCTAGGATCATGAGTCAACTCGTTGATGCTATTTTCACTAATGGGACCCATATGCCTTGTGGTGACGGTGTCCTGGTTGTCCTCTAGATTCCACACAATTTGTGCCCCTAAATAAGCCCAGCAAGGGTTGTGAAACACATTACCCATGACATTTAAAGAAATAAGATTGGAATAATTAAAGAGATTCAAAGATCCAAGTTTATGAACAAATTGAGGGGATAAACACATTGCTCTCGACTTTGAACTTACACCTGGTTCAAACTCTAGCGCTTTATCACGCCAGAAAAAGTTTATAATGTCCATAATATATGAATTTTGTAGTATTTTTGCAGTTTGTTCACTGTCCTTGAACTTATAATTTTTGCAATAGCTAACGTATCCGCAAAGCTCTGAAAAAAGGAACGGACTATTGCAAAATAATATGTCATAAACCAATTCTGGCTTGGGTATTAGTGCCTTTGCATCCAAGTTTTCTAGGTCACTTGGATCCATTGATTTGACAACATTGAATAATTTCATTAATGCAAGTTTAACTTCCAAAGAAGACGACAAGTAATTGTCTATAATAAATTGATGAATAAGAGGAATCGATTTCCTGATTATCGAATAGATTTTTTCTTTGGAGTCGAAACCGTAACTATTTACTTTCATCATTGAATACCAAAGTGAAAATAGGGATGCTATTTCAATCAAGAAAGACGACACGTAAGGATCAGTTTTTGACCTTCTTGTAAGGTCTCCTTGCTCAATCTTGAGAAGCGAGAAAACCTTTTCTAAAAATGAGTCTCTGAGCTTCAGGAACTCTATCACTGGTAAAAATTTGACGAATTTTAATCTTTGCGTTAAATTCTCCAATTCTAGGCCTGTTGCATTTGCAAAATTATGAATGGGTCTCACATTGAACTCGAATAAAGTAAACTCCACTATCAGTTTGAGATTGATTGCCCCACTGCAGAAAGTAAGGAAGTTAGCAATTTTATTGGTTAAAGAATCAACATCTCTTAGCGACAAATTTTCATCCAATAAACTAAACCGAACGTAACAGTCTAACTTTTTCAAATACGCTTCGTTCTTCGACACTCCTTGCAAAACAAGAAAGAACTTTTTGAATCTATCTGATTCGTAGGATACGCCATCTGAGGGCCTGAAAAGTCCACTAACACTTATAAATTTGACGTTATCGAAATTCTCAATTAAATTTTTGAAGGAATGAACGTCATTTATTGATACTTCGTTTTCGTTTAAACCAAATTCCACCACGTCTAGATCTGGTTCACTAAAATGGCCATTTTTTATTCTCTTTCTATCTTTAAGTGTCGATTGGAAGATTTCGTATCTTCTCAAATTCTCCTTAATCACACCGCTGTTGCTGAATCTGGAACTGGAATTTATAATTTCAATATCATTTAGTTTATCCAAGTAGTCGAAATTTGGATAACGTAGGACCTTAGGGTTAACACGTCCCAAGTCATTTAATGCATTGCCGTGAACACCTGAGTACTGACTGAAATCAATTGCAGGGTTTAAGGTCTTAAAGAGTATCAATAGACTTTTCAAATGATCGTCAAGAGGGAATTTAAAGTACAAATCAATCACCAACTGAATTTGCCATGGTTTGAAAGAATTCATCGTATATGTTCTTCCTTCGTTTAAGTACGTTCTGAAGGTTTTGACATCATTCAGCGCACTAAGAAAAATCAAGTTTGCTATATATGGTCTCAGGAATTCGTATGACAAGTAGTTGAAAAGAATGGGTAGCATTCTATGTAAGATGTTAAAAACGTCATCCCCAAATAAATGAATAGAAGACACTAACCATTCTAATAAACACAACTGTATATTCTTGGGCAATTTTTTTACCCTCTGTGGTCTTCCATTTTTATAGTAAACTTGTGGTATTCCTATACTGCTTATGATTTGATATATCAATTCCTTTTTTAATATGTACGTTTGATTAGGAACAAGAAGGTTTTTTATAATATAGCGCTTCTGAGTTGCTGTAATACGAGACACTGTTGATACCGGCGCATCAAGTATTATGTCTAACAACGTATCAAGTGCCTCCTCTTCGACTCCTACTTCCTTTACAGCTGCATTCAAATCTTCCAATATCTTACCAACATCGATATTTTCGCTAGAAAGGTCCGGTTCGATTAGGTCTCTTATTTTACTATTTACCTGATCGATAAAGCTTGCAGTACTTTCGGTAGGGTTATTTTCTGGGTTATCTCCAGACATCTTTGATTCATTAAGAGTTAGGATTGCTAATAGCTTTGATCTAGATCAAACGGTAAACAAACGAGCTTTTACTTATCGGATCGATTGAACCGGCCGAACACAAATTTGGAATATAAAGAATATAAAATGGGGGAGCTTTTTAATCCGAAATTTATATTTCAGAAATTAAGCAATAATGTCTCTATTTCTGTTGTCTGGAAAGGTAGCCTTACTTACAGGGGGTACCAATGGTATAGGTTTGGGCTATGCTAAGGGTTTAGCTAGTGCCGATATCGATCAATTGATTTTAACATATAGGTCTAAATCGACATTAGATAAAGCAATTAAAGTCATCAAAGAAGTTAACCCAAATGTTCAAATAGATGGAATAGAAGCAGATTTTTTAACTTCTGACATTGATAAATTAGTCGAAACAATTTCGGAAGAGGCTTTTAAATTATCCAAGAGTTCTAAGGTAGATATACTTGTCAATAATGCTGGTACAACCCATAGACATCCATTTGAAGAATTTCCCCAAAAAGATTTCGATGAGATAATTTCTATGAACTTGCTACTTCCTGTTAAACTTACAAAGCAAATTGGATCTAAAATGTTAGAAACCAAAACACAAGGAAGCATTGTTTTCACAGCCTCATTGATGTCTTTCCAAGGTGGACACAATACAACGGCTTACTCTATAACGAAAGGTGCAATTAAACAATTCACTCAAGCTCTTTCCAATGAATGGTCCCCTAAAGGAATCAGGGTTAACAGTATTGCTCCAGGATATATTGCAACCAACCTTACTGATACTATGGATCCTACTCGCAGGGAAAAAATCAGTCAACGCATTCCTATGGGAAGATGGGGAGACATGGATGATTTCCAAGGACCAATTGTTTTCTTGGTATCAGATGCTGGAAGATATGTTACTGGGGAAACGTTGGTCGTAGATGGCGGCTGGTTAGGCGCTTAGAAGTATTTTTATTTTTAACATTAAATAAACTATTAAATTCCACCAGCTTCTCTATACCACCTCACACCTCTGTCGAAACTGATTATACAAATGCCATCATTTTTATCACCTCCTAGTCCTCCTCTAATATTTTTCTTGATAAATTTGACTCCGCTAACAATGCTATTATCCATATCGTTCTCATTTGGATTCTCCAAATCAGATACAGAGATTTGGATCGTAGCCTCTCTTTCTCGGGAATCCAAGTCCCAAATCCGAACACACTTATCAAAACCACCACTTGCGAGCATGTTTCCCTCCTCATTAAAGCTCAATCCCATTATCCACCCTTCATGTGCGAATCCACCAATAGCAGTCTTTGCAGAGTGCGATGCAGTGGTCAAAGATCCCACATTTTCACCATAGTCCACATCATACAACGTGATTGAGCCAGCAGATTGATTATCACGGGAAACTGCTAACAATCTCCCTCCAGGAGAGAATTCTAATGCTCTTGCAATAGAACTAGAAGACTTTGTTGAAGATTGCAAATCAGTAGATGGGAAAGTATAGATTGGCTTTAAAGTTGTTAAATCATACAAAAGAACGTCGCCATTTGTATATCCAACTGCAACTTTTTTGCTTGATGTTTTAGATACAGCCAACGAGTTCGGAAATGACATTTCTTCGGTTCCCAAGTTTCCATGCCTTTCAAGAAGAATACTTATTTTCTCTTCTGCAGCAGAGATATTCAAATTTAATACGCTTACATTTCCGCTTGCTTGAGTAACCACGAAGTAGTCCTGTCTTGATTCAGGGTCTTTGTAAAATGATGGACACCAATATGTGGAGCTTCCTAACTCTGGACATTTCACATCTTGAAGTGAATCCAAATCGTCGTTGATGTAGTACTTAAGCCTGATTGTCCCATCAAAGCATCCAAACGCAAGAATGACTATTCGTATATTTGAGTTTGGCAAGATGTTCTGGTAAGATGCCACATGATGAATTCCCATTTTCTCAATAAGATATTGTTTAACAAGACTATTAGGATCTTGAAGTTCATCCTGTGAATTATCCCAGAATTTGGCATACCCATCTGACGACACGGTTATAGTATACTTGTTGGTGATTTCAAGCCCCAAAATATCCAGATCATGCGCATTGGAAGCGCTGACCGTTGATATGTACTGTTTTCCCATGAAATCTTTTGGTCAAATGCTACATCACATTTTTAAAGTGAAATTTAACTTCTCAATATTTTTATAAGAGATTCACGTGAACTGCATTTTTTGGGTACTATCAGTTCTTTGAGTTAATTAAGCAACAATGGTGTATGATCATCTTACATTTCCTTTCCCTTGTTATAAGACACCTTATAGAAAGGGCCTCGTTATATAGCAATCTGTTGACCAAATATACTGTTAGTGGTCATCTTTGTGAATTCTTACAATTGTTGCGAAATTTTGAAGAAATCAGTATAATGTTTTGTAGATAGCGAGAAAAGTAAGAGAGAAATGGCTTATTTCTAAGTGACCGGACGAATAATAATGGCGACCGGTAGGTTTATTAGTCTATTAAGTTTCTGTATTTATTACACACATTTTCGAGATTATTTCTCATCTCTTGCTTCCTTTGTTCATCACACCAGGATCCATTAATACCATTCAAGGATATTTTTCTCCATTGATCAAGAGTAAATCCAAACCTCGAGTGAACAATAAGATAGTTATGTAAAATATATCCGCCAAAATAAGCAGGATCATCTGAGTTCAATGAAAAGGGAACATTTTTCTCCAAGTACAAATCAATGGGAAGCTCTGAAACGTCCTTAACAACTTGAAGTTTCACATTAGACAAGGGACAAAGTGACAACATAATCTGTTGGTCCGCCAATCTTTTTAACAAATCTTCGCTATCTTTCGAGTTTACACCATGGTCAATTCTTGTGACGTTCAACAAGTCCAAGGAATTTGAAACATATGTATGGTCTCCCTCTTCCCCTGCATGAGCGGTGAGTCCAACTTCAGGAAATTGCTCCCTTAAGGTTTTGTAACACTCTGAAAACAATTCTGGTGGGAATGGTTTTTCAGACGAATCCAACCCCAATCCGTGGATCTTACCATCTTGGTAATACTTCGAAGCACTTTGAATCGTCTCCATGCCAGAATCAGGTGGTAAATGCCTCAATAAGCACATTATCAATTTGTTGGAGGTTCCGAATTTTTTCGTGGCATCCTTACATGCCTTATCGAAGCCTGATACCACTAAATCAATGGAGACTCCTCTTTCAACATGACCTTGGGGATCAAAGAATACCTCAGAGTGTTGGCAGCCGTCTGAATTTGCCCTGCCGAAATATTCCATAGCCAAATCGTAGAAATCATTCTCATGGATCAATACAGACATTCCAACATAGTAGTGATCCAAAAAGTCATCCAAATCTTTAAATGAGTTATATCTATCTAGACACTCTTCCACGCTGGAAGGAAATGAATCGGGTAATTTTATTTGGTTTCTTTTAGCCAACTTGAACAAAAGAGATGGCTCTAAAGTACCCTCTAGATGAACATGATGTTCACATTTAGGCAACTCGCCTAAAAAGTCTTTCATATGTGTACTACATTCATGTTTGCTCATATTGACGATGATAGTGGTGTACTTACAATAATGACTACTAAAAAAAAAGAGATTACTATAAACCTTTAAATATTCACTTTGAGCCGTGCGAAGAGCAGAGGTCAAATCTCAAAATGTAAGAAACAGAAAAAAAAAAGAATTATTACGTAGTAAATGAAATTTAACATGTAAATTAAGTCTCCTTGGAACCCTCGAGGTTCAGTTATTCTCTATCAATAAACATCCTTTAAAGTCTTGAATAAAACTCCCTTATAAATGGTATCGAAAATGTTTTAAACCTTGATCGGCATTGCCGCGGCACATGGTATCAAATGCCAAAGAGTCTGAAAAAGTCAGCAATCTTTTATAGTCATATAATTAAGAAATGACAGCATAGTCTAACAGAGGTAATAAGAAAGGGTCACTAAGCTTCATCTTTTCTACGGTGCTTCTGGTCCCAGAGTAGGCATCAAAGCATCATGCGGTAAGAAAGGGCTGCAAATTAATGACCGCTGATCAAGTAGTCCTCAAACATATCCTCCAATCAATTACTTATTATGTCAATTTAATGTGTGTATTGCGCAGACAATTAGCGTAGCTCGTAATTCAGATCATCTAATTTGGACGTGGCTGAGATTTCCGTTTTTAAGCTTTTTTTAGAAACCGTGATGCGAATATTTACTTTTAAAGTCGAGTTTTGTGTTAAAATTCACATCAACACGCTTAAAAAAACGTTAGGCTCATAAAGTCTATTACGGGTAACAAATATATACACTGTCTACCAGTATGAGCAATTACTACCTGCCTTATAGCACGGGTAGAGGAAATTCGAGACAGGATAGTTCTGAGAATGAGCTTCTTGGACACGATAGAAGCGGACGTCCAAGTGGGCCCTATGAATATCCATACAGAGATGATACGAGCAACGTTTCGATCGAATTTCAACAACCCGAGAGGGCTTATAACAACGGAATAGGAAGTGGAGGCATTGATGAGAGCTACGACGATGTCACTGGTTACTACGATGACAGTTATCATTTGGAGAGGCCAAGCAATATTTTCAATACATCAGATATTCAGCCTCCTAATCTTTCACCTATGCAAACAGATGACCCCTTTCATAATGAAGCAGATTTGCAAGGTGGAACCTATGAAATGAATCAATTCCATGATTATAACTATGGATCAAACACGTACAATCAGGCATTTGTACCCCATGTTTATGATGACGAGGAGGAAAAAGAATTCGACAGGGAAATTCAATATAACAAATTTGAAGGCGACCATTATGTCTTGAACACCGTACAAGTACAACCAGAGTCAATAGATGATGAGCCAGAATCCCCATTTGGTGACGATGAGAATGGCGAATTCGTGAAACCACCTGATGAAGGTGGAGAGGAAATAAGATCTAAACCCCAGATAGGTGTCGCATCTGGATTGAATGGTCATTTAGTCTTAGATTGCCCAGTAGCCACAGAGTTACTTACAAAATTTCCTGACTACAGGGTTAATCAGAAAGATGGCGGACTCTCAAGAGAATTTGCATACATGAGATATACTGCTGTCACATGCGGTCCTTCTAATTTTTATAGAGATGGTTATATCTTAAGGCCAGTTCATTACCCAACTCCAAGAGAAACCGAACTAATGGTGGTAGTTACTATGTACAACGAAGATGATATCTTATTAGCGAGGACCCTAAAAGGTATTTTTAAGAATATTAAGCATTTGGAATCAAGAACTAGATCTCCAGTTTGGGGCAAAGATTCCTGGAAAAAGGTAGTGGTTTGCATTGTGAGTGATGGAAGATCAAAGATAAATGAAAGAGCACAAGCGTTATTAGCTGGCCTCGGTGTGTATCAAGACGGATTAGCTAAAAGTAGAGTTGATGACAAGAAGGTACAAGCTCACGTGTATGAATACACAACTAGAGTAGGGATTTCAAGTGTCGATGATTGCGTGAAGTTAACAACGGAAAAAATCGTCCCAGTTCAATTGTTGTTTTGCCTAAAGGAAAATAATGCAAAGAAAATTAACTCTCATAGATGGTGTTTCCAGGCATTAGGTCAGGTTTTGGATCCTAGAGTTGTCATTTTGTTGGACGCAGGTACTCAGCCCTCTGGAAAAGCTCTTTATCACCTTTGGAAAGAATTCGATAAAGATCCACAGGTTGCAGGAGCATGCGGTGAAATCAAAGCATCTTTGAAGAAAAGACAAATCGTAATGAATCCTTTAGTCTATGGGCAAAATTTCGAATATAAAATCTCAAATATTTTAGATAAACCAACGGAGTCTGTGTTTGGATTTATTTCGGTGCTTCCTGGTGCCTTTTCAGCATACAGATACGTTGCATTGCAGAACGACGTCAATGGTAGGGGACCTTTAGAAAAATATTTCAAAGGTGAATTTTTGCACGGGTCGGGAGAGCTTGACCCAGATGATGATGAATATCAATTAAAACAAACTCAAATAAAGGATGAAGCTGGAATTTTTACATCCAATATGTATCTAGCAGAGGACAGGATCTTATGTTATGAATTGGTGGCTAAAAGAGGGTGTGCATGGCTCTTACGATATTGTAAGAGTGCAAGTGCAGAAACGGATGTACCAGAAGGACTCGCAGAGTTCATTTTGCAACGAAGAAGATGGTTAAATGGATCCTTTTTTGCGGCAATTTATGCATTAGCTCACTTCCCCAAATTATGGCGATCATCTCATTCGATCGGAAGAAAACTATTTCTTCATGTCGAGTTCTTTTATCAATTTTTGAACTTGGTGGTATCTTGGTTCTCCATCGGATCATACTTTTTGGTGTTTCGTATTTTGACTACGTCCCTCAGTGATTCAGATTTAAATTTTGCCCCCGGGAATATATTATCAGTTGTTTTCTTGTGGCTTTACTTGGCTTCAATTGTCACTACTTTTGTTTTGAGTTTTGGTAACAAACCCAAAGGTACGGAGCGATTTTATATTGTCATTGTTGTATTTTTCGCCATCTTAATGGCTTATATGATTTTTGCAGCTATATTCATGGCTGTTCATTCAATTCAAGAAATCTATAAAGACCACACGAAGATAACAGTGAAGCTATTTATACAGAATGCAGAGTTTAGAGACTTAGTGGTTGCAACTTGTTCGACTTATGCCTTATACTTCGTGGCATCTTTTTTATATTTCGAACCTTGGCACATGTTCACTTCATTTATCCAATACATCTTGTTGTCGCCTTCTTATATAAATGTCTTGAACATTTATGCTTTTTGCAATATCGATGATATCTCATGGGGAACTAAAGGTGATACTGGAGCTACAGATTTAGGTTCGGCGAAAGTGAGGGAGGATGGTACATTCGATGTTAATATCCCTATACTCAAAGAAGAGATAAACCAGTCGTATTTGAATCAACTAGAGAAGATAAAAAACCCTGTTCCAAAGAGTGAAGGCAAACAAGAGACCAGTAATGAAGACTATTATGCTTTTATCAGATCTATGACAGTTTTAGTTTGGATGATTTCCAACTTTCTTATCATTGCCTTAGTGTTGGAGACAGGTGGTTTCAGCCAGTTCAGTAGCTCCGATGACATAGATGACATAAAAACCAATAGGGCTAAAATTTTCTTGACTGTAATATTGTGGATGGTTGCATTCATGGCTTTGTTCAGGTTCATAGGCTGCGTGATATATTTGATTCAAAGATTTGGCAAAAAATTCAAATCATCGAGTAGCAAACGTAGGCAAAAGGTGTGAATCCTTAGACTCAAATATCTATTTATAAGTTGTCCTTAATACATCCTAAATTGATGGCCATTCTACTAGAAAAATAAAAAAAAAAACACTTGTTTGTCATAATGTAATTAACTTAGTACTCGTATTTGAATTCTTTTAAAGCGTCTCATGTTGGTTAACTCGTTCCTATTGGAGGTCGAGATTCACTATTTTCTGAAAATACATATTGTAGTGCATATACCGCCAAATAAGAAGATAAGAGCATTGTAAATCTGATAAACGGAAAGTTCATTCTGTTATTATACATTTTTTTAGTGTACAAACATCTTATGAAGGAATCCGATGTCAAACTCATCTAGGAAAAAACTCTTGCTTATGGGCCGTTCTGGCTCCGGAAAGAGTTCTATGCGCTCCATAATTTTTTCAAACTATTCTGCCTTCGACACCAGAAGACTAGGGGCAACAATTGATGTTGAACATTCACATTTGAGGTTTTTAGGAAACATGACTTTGAACCTTTGGGACTGTGGTGGACAGGATGTGTTCATGGATAATTATTTCACTCATCAGAAGGATCATATTTTCAAAATGGTGCAAGTATTAATACATGTATTTGACGTTGAATCCAAGTCTATAAACAAGGACATAGAAATATTTGTCAAGAGCTTGACAAATTTGCAGAAGTACAGCCCTGGGGCTAACATATTTGTTCTTTTACATAAGATGGACCTTGTGCAAATAGATAAAAGAGAAGAGCTCTTCAACACAATGATGGACAAATTACAAAAAATTTCTAACCCATACCAATTTAATCTAGTTGGGTTTCCTACTTCAATATGGGATGAGAGTTTGTATAAGGCATGGTCTCAGATAGTGTGCTCGTTGATTCCCAACATGAATATATTTAATAGTACGTTGGTTAAATTCAATAAGATATTGGCAGCAGAAGAAATAATTCTATTCGAAAAATCAACATTCCTCGTTATATCATCTACTTCATCCATAGAACAGCCTGGTCAAGAGTTGGACCCTAAAAGATTCGAAAAGATATCTAATATTATAAAGACGTATAAGCAATCGATCTCCAAGTTAAGATCCAACTTCGCAAACTTGATGATCAGGGGTAGTAATGGCAATCACTTTTACATTGATATTTTAACTGATAACATGTATATCATGATAATATTAAAAGACAGAGCGAAGGACCACTTTCAGTATGAAGAGTTGATTGTTTTGCAGAACATAAGAGCCGCAAGAAAATGGTTTGAACTCATTGAGAATGGAAAATGATGAAACTCAAGCTCCTAGTATTAAAAAAGAATAGACACAGTTATAATCTTTATTTCAAATTGTAAGTACTCTAGTTATCTTACAAGGACTCTCTTAGGAATAGCAGTTGAGTATTGAAGAGTTACGCGTTCAGCACGTGACTTGTAAACGATCGTAAAAATTTGAGTTTAATTCTTTCAATTATCAGACCAAAATAGAAAGGAAAATAGAATTATAGCGTATTATTAATATATAATTTGAACCGGCAGTAGGTTCTCATATCCTAAGAGTTTCAAGACCTATAGAAGAATATGGATAAGACTTTCAAATTGTTGCTCCACCCCAAAGAATTATTAGCAGTGTACCAATTAAAATGCATCAGAAAGCCATTGCACCCAGTAAATGCAAAAACTCAGTCTGAAACATTAATAAGATGTTATGAATTACTAAAGATAACGTCTAGGTCTTTTGCGGCTGTCATCAAGGAATTGCATCCAGAATTGAGAGACGCGGTAATGTTATTCTATCTAATTTTAAGGGCACTCGATACCGTAGAAGATGACATGACTATTGAGCCAAACGTAAAAGTGCCATTGTTACGTTCTTTTCATGAAAAATTAAACCTCGAAAAGTGGAGTTTTGATGGAAACTCAAAGGACGAAAAGGATCGTTGCGTTTTGGTTGAATTTGACAAAGTTTTGATTGAGTATCATAAATTGAGGCCAGAATATCAAGAAATTATATTGGATATTACAGATAAGATGGGAAACGGCATGGCAGATTATATTTTGGATGAAAAGTTCAATACCAGTGGTGTGGATTCAGTAAAAGATTATGATTTGTATTGCCATTATGTTGCGGGCCTTGTAGGCGAAGGTTTGACCAAATTAATGATTTTAGCTAAATTTTCAGATCAATCATTATCGAATGATAATTTTCAAAAATCTGAATCAATGGGGTTGTTCTTGCAAAAGACAAATATTATTCGTGATTATCATGAAGATTTAGAGGATGGGAGATCCTTTTGGCCCAAAGAAATTTGGTCTAAGTATACTTCACATTTACCTTCATTCTATGAGGACGCTTCCATCGAATCTCAAACCAAAGGATTGGAATGCATCAATGATTTAGTTTTGAATGCGCTTGGTCATGTCAAGGATGTCTTGACGTACTTATCGTTAGTAAAGGATCCCTCCTGCTTCAATTTTTGTGCGATTCCTCAAGTAATGGCCATTGCAACTTTGGCGAACGTTTACAACAACCCTAAAGTTTTGCATGGCGTAGTTAAGATAAGAAAAGGTACTACGGCAAAATTGATTTTAGATAGTAGAACATTGCCTAACGTTGTTAAGATCTTCAGACATTATATTGAAGTTATTAATCATAAATCATCTGTCCAAGACCCAAATTATCTTAAAATTGGTATCAAATGTGGAGAGATCGAACAATTTTGTGAACTCATGTATCCTACAAAAGGATCTATTCCTGCTGGGGTGAAAAAGACTCCAACAGAGATCAATAAGAACATTATTGCAAGACAACAAATTGATGACCAAGTTAAATATGCAATTCAATTCGAAAAGCTCAAGAGTTATACTTCCATAATAGGATTTGTTGTCATGATATTGAGCTTGAAATTCATTTACAACTGACTTGAACGTTTTATGGAACTATTTTAAAAACTTAATAAACTTTGAATTTATTTTGCTTCCCCTCCGCATTCCGTAGAGATGTATTTAAAAATTAAAATTTGAAGTTACAATGTAGAGGCGCAATTACATCTTGCGTTATGCTTTATTAGAGGACTTGAATATATTATTACGAGTATTAGTAGAATGGCTTCTAATGTCCCTGTGATTAAGTTTGGGATTAGGGAAATAACATGGTCAGATTATAATTTTAAGACCCCTATTTTATTGCAAGACCAAAATGGCCCATGCCCATTGATAGCATTAATCAATACTTTACTTTTAAAACATGAAATTCTCAATAAAAACACGGTGTTTGACGGCTTACTGTTTGATGACATACAAATTGCTAAAGTTAAAAATGTTGAGAGTTTAAAAGATTTCTTGAGATCTAGAAAGCAGGATGGCATTGAGCTTGAGGAGATCTTAGCCAGGACGGGAGATTTGTTATTAGTATTTGGAAACGATAAATCATCCGAATTTAATGTCGATAAGCTATTGGAAGGCTTGCCTAAACTTCATACTGGGTTATCTGTAGATCCTGACCTTACAAACGGTACGTTTCCTAATGGGGATATTTCTAGTCAGTTATTCAAAATCTTTGAATTAAGACTAAGACACGGCTGGTGTATTGATGAAATAAAAATATCTTCGAAAGACCAAAATGACATACAGTTGGAGGTATTACGCCTTCTACATGATTTGAAGACTTTTGATAAAGTTCAAGATTTTCTTTTGCTTGACGTAAACGAATTGAACGAACCAAATGAGGAAGAAAAACAAAGGATTAGACGGGATCAGAATTTAGTAAATAAGTGGCTTAAGGACAATCAAAGTCAATTGACCACAATCGGATTAGGAAGATTAAATTCAGAAATGGAAGCAGAGCAGTTGGTGGTGTTTTTTAGGAACAATCATTTCAACTCACTTTTCAAGAAATCAGACCATGAATTTTATCTTTTAATCACCGATGATTCATTTCGTGAGACACCTATAGTATGGCAATCTTTGAATTCGGTGAAGGGAAACGAGGATTTGTTCTTCGACGGTGAGTTTTGTCCTATCTTCGATACAAACATAACGGCCAAAGAGTCTTTAGATAATGATTATTTACTTATGAAGAAGTTACAGGAAGAAGAAGATATACACCTCGCAAAAAAACTTCAAAAAAATTATCATGAATCCGAAAAGGAGAATGGAAAATTGCTTAAGAAAAACATTTCTCAAAAGAGTTCGACATCGAGCCAGAAAGAGACTAAAAAGGAGAAAAAGCTGAAATGGAAATGGTTTAAGTAGATTATTATAGACTGTGTATATTAAAACTTTAATTCTCAGGTTTAACTATATCTTGAGTCTCTTCCGATCTACCGTTATTTTCGATAGAATCAACTGCTTCTATATTAGGTTGTTCACTGCTGAGACCTGCTGTTTCTGATTTAACATCCAGATTAGTTTGTGATTCATTATTTGAAGCTGCAACCTCATGAGCATCACCTTGGTGACTAATATCTGACTTTTCGTTATCCTCCTCTGGTTCCTCATCGTCGCCTTCGTACTCCATAGGGTCAAACTCAGATCTCATTTTATCCATATTTTTAAGCTCACTTGTGTTGGGCTCCCGTAACTTAAAGTTAATCTCATCAAAAGTGCTCTCTCTCAAAAATCTATTTACTTCAGCATTAGTTGATTGCCTATGTTTTTTTAATTCAATTCTTCCATTTACAGGATAATAATACCCTAAAACACGCTTCTTCTCGTTATCCTTTGACGGCACAAATTTTATTGATAGTTCTTCGTTAGATCTCGCAAACTTATGGAAATTCATGTCATAATTTTTGAAATGCTTGAATGTATAATTATCCACACTTTCATCCTCGTCCAATAAGCTCACGGGCCGCTCTTTTTCAGTAGATTTCAACTTTGCCTTTAGTTCCGCAGCTTCAGCTGCATTTTCTATTTTGTATAATGACATCCATTCCCCATCTTCTGTTCTTATTGGTTTAAAAATTGCGGTGGATAAAGAATTTTTTTGAAATTCGTCGTCATAAGAATCCTTTTGTTTGCTTTTAAGGGCGTGAAATTCCCTATTCATGGAGGCTGAGCCTGTAAACTTTACTACATGATATTTGGTGTCCATCATCGAAGTGTCAGGAAGTAGTGGCCATGTAGAGACAGCTTTTAGCTTTTTCTTCCTAGGATGCTGCAAGGTATTCAACCCTTGAAGAGATAATTGAGATCGCTCAAATGTTTCCTCGACTGCTTTCAACTGAGAGTCAGGATCTAAATGCTCATCATTGTTGGTTACTGGATTAACCTGATCGACAATCGAGCTTTTTGGAGCATGCCTCTCCGATATATATTCCGTTCTTCTTAAAAAGGAAACACCAGGCTCTGATTTGGAAATCTTTCCAACACCGGCATCCCTGAGTAACGCTCTATCCTTCACATGTAGTTGTACAGGGGCTTCACCCTCTCCATATTTGAATATCGAGGAATGATTGTTATTATCAAGGAATCCTTCATTATTTATTAAATTCAAATTTAAACCTAGTTCTTCATCGACGTTTTGCATGAGACAGTGAAAGTTTTCCTTACGAAACAAAGAGCTCATAAGCTGACTCGCTTCTATCTTTGGCGCAGTTTTTTCAGTAGTATTGTATTTAATGAATTTTGGATTTACCGGTGGAGGTGGGAGATTATTCGTGTAGCGAACTTTGGCAATGTAATCTTGCCTTATAGGCTTTTGAGGCTTCTGAGACATATTTATCGCCCGTTCCCACTTTATTACTATGGTGATCTTGGTATTTGTTTTAATATGGTGAACCCAGTTTTCAACAAAAATATTCATTGCTACAATATGCACACCATTCATTCATATCTACAAGTAATTGATTTCTTTACAATAGCAAAAATTTTGAAGTAATACAGAACAAGAGGAGTTAAATATCAAATCACAGTCAAGCTCTAAAAACGAAGGACTGAAAATTCATTTACTATATTTAGTGATAGTGTTATAAAAGTTCTTACCCTGCGCTTTTGCAATCTCTAGCTCCAATTCACTTACCTTTCTGGAACCATCTGGACCCGCAAAAGTACCTGCACCCCAAGGAGAGCCACCGTGAACCTCTTCTAAGGAGCTGATTCCAGGATGAGAGTACCCCAAAGGAACGAAGACAATTCCATGGTGTACCAAAACAGGAAGGGAACTCATGAGGGTTGTTTCTTGCCCTCCACCGGCTCCACCTGTCGAAACAAACATTCCAGCGTGTTTCCCGATCAAAGAGCCATTTGCCCACAAAGATCCAGTACTATCCCAGAATGCCTTCCATTGAGATGGAAAGTTACCAAACCTAGTTGGGATACCAAACAAAAAGGAATCGTATTCTTTTAAAGTATCAATAGTGGCGATTGGAATATCAGGTCTTGGAGGAGCATGCAACTTTTTGAGAAGCGAGTCGGGTAAAGTTTCAGGGACTTGATACAATGTGGCACTTCCTCCTGCCAGTTCAACGCCAGCTTTGACCGATTCAGCAAGTTTTGCAATGTGATGATATAAGGAGTAAATAATTATAGCTGTCTTAGGTTTTGACATTTTTAATACGAATGGCGAAGCTAATTGCAGAATTGAGGGCCCTAAGGTGTTGAGAATTTCAATTATTTATAGCAAGCTTCCAAGCATACTCAATTCATTCTATGCCGAACTTAGTAAGTGAATACTAAGATATTAGAATGTATTTATGAGCGGAAATCTTATCATATGCACGTGCCATTGTCCAACTATGCTCTAGATCCGATTAGTCGACTTGGTCTTTCCGGAAGGCAACAAGTTCATCTATCACGTCTGTCGATTCATTCGGGTCTTTTATAATTCTTACACAGCCAGTGAATGAGGGAAACATAGAATAGAAAAAAAAAAATACATACATAACTCTAATTAAAAGTATTGCTTTATGGATCTTTATAAAGCGTTGGGTCTATACCGTTCCATGTTAAAACATCATGAGATTCAGGTTTGTTTAGTTTCTCTAAGATTCCTTCATCCAAATCAACTTTTCCGAAAGAGGTACCGCCCAATTCGTCAGGGTGTCCATCAGGTAATACATCTAAGTTTTGTTTGAGTCTTTCTACCTTCTCAGTCTTCACCAACACAATAAAGCCTTGCAAAAGGGACCACTTTAATAAAATTTCTATTTTCAGTATACCATATTTCTTCTCCAACTCTAATAATTCAGGGTCGTTTAACTTGAAACCGTGGGTCAAAGGACAATAAGCTTCCGCCAAGATGTCATTTTCAACGAGATATTCTCTCAATTTCAAATGCGGGAGCCAAGGATGCAATTCCAATTGATTGACAACCGGCTTTACCAATAAGCCCTCCCAACCCAATAACTCTTTTAAGTGTGGAATTCCATAATTAGAAACACCTATGGAATGCACGTTTAAAATAGAATTGGATGGGTTGCACACATATTCTTGAAGAGCTTTCCAAGTGCCCAATCTTTTCTCTTTGCTGGTTTTAGGTGAATGAATGAGCACGAGATCAACATAATCGATGTACTCTTTCACATCGGCAGCAATTTCTTCGATTGCCTTCCGGGTCTCCTCGTAGCCTTGTTGGCCATTTGCAATTTTAGTTGTAAACCAAATGTCTTCCCTAGTCGCTTTATCGGGATGCTCTTTTAAAAATTTAGCTATACCTTGTGAAGATTCCCTTTGATTCTTGTATGCCACTGCAGAATCAATGTGTCTGTAGCCATCAACTAACGCTTGATATACTAATTCTGCCGCCTTCTCCTTGGGAACAAGATAAACTCCATATGCCATTACGGGTATATGATACCCATTGTTCAACCTATACCTGCTATCTTTTGTCAATTGAATAGATGTAGTTAAGTTAGACATTTCCGTTTACTCAATTTACTATGTCTAGATTTTAATACAGAGATGAAAGATAATTACGATTGACCTTACTTCATGACTTTAAATTATATACTCGGGTGGCGGAACTGATATTGCTATCGGTAATACACGACTTCTGTGCCACAACTTTACTTTGTTGGCAAAATATGAGGTTAAACGTTGACAGAGATTCAAGTGCAATGCGGGATGACTTAAGCTGCTAGAGAATATATTTAAGAACCTTTAGCCTCGAGTACTTTGCTACTAAATTATAAGAAAAACTTAACTTCTTTCTGAAGACCCATAATATAATACACGTGACGAAAGCAACGTAGTTCAGAAGCTTCATCATCCAACTTTAAAGAGTTCGGCCAGTAATTACGATTTTTATGGCCTTTTTTTTACCTCTGAGAAAGAGAGCGAACAATAGTGTGAGGTATCCTAGAACTGATCAAACATATCTGAGCTCTCTTCACTTAAGCACTAAAATTTTATAAAAGATGAAAGAAAACTCTCAATCTCAAAGTCAGTCATTAAGTTTTCACTTCTCTAGTTGGGCACAATTGTACCTAACGATATTTGATTTGTAACAGTGTTGATATTTCTTAAAAACTTCAATTCTAATAAAAACTTCGATTGTAGTATCCTCATGTTATGATTATCAAGGGATCCTGTATATAACTTTTTATCGGGCTTTTCCTACTTCTCCTTTAGCTACTATCAACCAGAAAGGGCTTTCGTTCGGTTTCGAAGACATCAAGTTACATTTGGAGATTTTATCAGTATAACGGTTAATATAATGTCAGTTAGAAAGAAGACTTTATTAAAGGTCATTATCTTGGGCGATTCAGGGGTTGGAAAGACATCGTTGATGCAGCAGTTTGTTAATAAGAAGTTTTCACATCAATATAAGGCAACAATTGGGGCAGACTTTTTGACCAAAGAGATTACCATTGACAACAAGCAAGTAACTTTACAAATATGGGACACTGCTGGCCAAGAAAGGTTCCAAAGTTTAGGAGTGGCCTTTTATAGAGGCGCTGATTGCTGTGTCTTATGTTATGACGTTACAAATGAAAAGTCATTGAACAATTTGACTTCCTGGAAGGACGAGTTCTTGGTACAGTCAAATGTTTCGAATCCTCAAGACTTTCCGTTTATTATAATAGGTAATAAGATTGATGTTGATGAATCTAAGAAGATACCTTCCTTACAGAAGAAATTAGCAAATATCACAAATAATCAGCTCGGAGGATTGAATTATCCTGTTTTCGAAACAAGTGCAAAAGACTCCATTAACGTTGAATCAGCATTTGAAGTGATTGCCCAGATGGCGTTACAACAAGAAGAGTTAAATGATGCCAACGGAAACGATGTAAGCGATGACTACAACGATGCAATTAACATCCACTTGGATAGCGACCAAAGCGGATGTGCTTGTTAGATATACTTTCATAGATCCATTGTATCCCTTATAGCTTTTCTTTAAATGTTTGTTTTAATGTATATTCTTGAATCAAATAATATCGTACAATAAACACAGTCAGTCAAGACTAGTTTTAAAACTATAAATTTCTTCGAATGCAGAAGCAAATACCTCTCATTAACAAGCGCATCAAGTCATTGTTATTAGAGCCTTGCTGCTGATACTGTTGACCATAATTGTTGTTCTGCTGGTAGTATTGCGGCTGCGAAGTTCCATGGTATGCTTGCTGGGGCTGTGTAATAGGTGCATTCCACTGTGTCGGAACTTGACTTTCATGGGTATTTGTTAAATCAATCACCAAAACTCCAGTGTTTTTTTGATCAACATAGTGCCTCAAATGACCTTCGTTACACATTTGATCTATAGCAGGTTTCAATTTAGCGATGCCGTTCGAAGAGTGCAATCCCTTTCCAACTATAACTTTCAAATGTGACTGATTGGTTCTAATAGCATTTGCAATTCTTTGCTGTAATATCCATTCAGCCTCTTTCACATATAAACCATGTAAATCGATCTCGTCTTCAGCACTATCAGCATTATTTTCACGAAAAACATACTCGGCAGCTTGCCTATTATAGCCCTCAGCTTCTTGTAAGATAGCCTTACTTTTTTCACTCAACTCATGAGCCTTTTGCTTATCTCCTCTTTTAAATGCATTTTGAGATTGTTGACTTAGTTGGTTTCTCTTCTTGTAAAGAGCGTCTGCTTTAGCCCTAAGTCTCTTATAATTAGAGTCCGTCGCATGATTATAGTCTCTGGTATCATTGTCAAAAATCAAGCGAGCGCCTCTATCTATTATCCCGCTCATAGTGTTCAGCAATATCAGAGAGCCACTTCAGCTATCTTCATTGTCAATTTTATCTTTTCTCAAAGATATGAAATTTCGGTTGCATACGAACATAATGCGCAGAACGTGTTTTCCTATTATAGCATGCTACAATCATAATTAAAACCTACTTTAATTCATCAATATATAATTCAAACTAAACAAAAGTAGAACTAGCTTATTTCTTAGTAGCCTTTTGAGCAGCCTTGGTAACCTTACCGGCCTTGTCAGACTTCTCGACAGACTTGATAACACCAACAGCAACGGTTTGTCTCATATCTCTAACAGCAAATCTACCTAATGGTGGGTAGTCAGAGAAAGCTTCAACACACATTGGCTTGGATGGAACCATCTTGACAATAGCAGCATCACCAGACTTGATGAAGTTAGGGTTCTCTTCTAATTTCTTACCAGTTCTTCTGTCGATCTTCTCAATCAAAGTGTCGAACTTACAAGCAATGTGAGCAGTGTGACAGTCC